TTAGTGTTACAGAATGGTGAGTATCTAATCCTACGACTTCTCTTCATTTATAAGCTGGAACGTGTGCTCTCGTTATTTGATTAAGATCAGAGAGTTTGTGTATCAAAAATAGGATAAATGTGTGATTCTTTTACTTATTTGCTTATTTTCAAAATAATGAATTGATTCCCAATATCCTCCAAAGGTGACTAATGAGGTTCCAGTTTTGCATACTTTTTCCAGCTTTGCTGAGGTGTGATGGATAAACAGAAATTGTATATATTTAGGTTGTACAAAGTGATTTTTTGATATATATACACATTATTAAATGGTTGCAGTGATCAAGGTAATTAACACCTCCATCACCCACATAGTGACCCTTTATTTGTGGTGAGGACACTTAAGCTCTATTCTCTAAGCAAAGTTCAAGTATTTGATATAGTATTGTTAGCTAGAGTCACCAGGCTGCACATGACATCCTTGCAACTTATTTATCTTATAACTGCATGTTCGTACCTTTAACCAGAATCTCTCCATTTCCCCACACCCAAGCCCCTGGCAACCACCATGGTATTCTTTGTAACTATGAGTTAGACTTTTTTAGATTCCACATATAAGTGATACCATGCAGTAGTTGTCTTTCTGTGTCTGGCTTATTTCACTTGGCATAATGCCCTCGAGGTCCATTCATGTCGTTGCAAAGGATTTCCTTATCTTTTAGGCTGAACAATATTCCATTGCATATATAGACCACATCTTCTTTATCTACTCAGTTGTTGATGGACACTCAGGTTGTTTCCATACGTTGCCTGCTGTGAATGATGCTGTAAGGAACACGGGGTACAGATAACTCTTCAAGATGATTTCATTTGTATACATATGCAGAAGTGGGATTGCTGGATCATATGGTAGTTCTATTTCTAATTTTTTGAGGAATCTCCATATTGTTTTCCATTGTGGCCGCACCCGTTTACACTCCCACCAACAGCACACAAGGGTTCCCCTTTCTCCACATCCTCGCCAACACTTGTTATTTCTTGTCTTTTTGATGACAGTCATTCTGACAGGTGTGAGGTGATATCTCATGGTGGTTTTGATTTGCATTTCCCTGATGATTAGTGATATTGGACACTTTTTCATATACCTGTTGGCCATTTGTAGGCCTTTTTTGAAAAATGTCTATTCAGATCTCCTGCCCATTTTTTAGTTGGGTTATTTGGGTTTTCTTTTTTGCTATTGAGTTGTATTAGTTCCTTATATAGTTTGGATATTAATCTCTATTGGACACAGTCATGCGTCACTTAACGACAGGGACATGTTCTGAGAAATGTACTATTAGGCAATTTCATCATTGTACAGACATCACAGAGTGCACTTACACAATCCTAGATGGTACAGCCAACTACACACCTCAGCTCTATCGTGCTAATCTGATGAGACCATCTTTCTTGACTGAAATGTTGTGATGTGGCCACGACTGTATGTGGTTTGCAAACATTTTCTCCTATTCTGCAGGTCGCCTTCTCTCTCTACTGATGGTTTCCTCTGCTGTGCAGAAAATGTTTGGTTTGATGTGGCCCCACTGGTTGATTTTTGATTTTGGTGTCACGTCCGTAAAGTCATTTCCAAGACCCAGGTCAAGGAGGTTTTCCCCTGTGTTTTCTTCTAGGCGTTTTATTGTTTCAGGTCTTACATTTAGGTCTTTAATGAATTTGAGTTTATTTATGGTGTAAATGGTGTAAGATAAGGGTCCAGTTTCATTACTCTGCATGTGATTATCTGGTTTTCCCAATGCTATTTATTGAAGAGACTATCATTTCCTCATTGTGGATTGTTGATGTCTTTGTCAGAGATTAGTTGACCATATATGTATGGGTTTATTTCTGGGCTCTCTATTCTGTTTATTGCTGGCTCTAGGAGGGAGTCCCCTTGTGGCCATGAGAGGTGCAAGGGAGGGGCTGGTGGTGCAAACTCCCCATCCAAGGCGGGGCGTCCCTGAGCAGTATCCTCTCGTAGGACTCATACCGGAAGCAAGTGGTCATTGATGGGGAGACGTGCCTGCTGGACATCCTGGACACAGCAGGCCAGGAGGAGTACAGTGCTATGCGGGACCAGTACATGCGCACTGGGGAGGGCTTCCTCTGTGTATTTGCCATCAACAACACCAAGTCCTTCGAGGACATCCACCAGTACAGGTGAGCTGCCCGTGGGCCCTCAGGGGCCTCCCTGTCCTCCATCTGCATCTCCTGGATGCAGCCGAACCTGCAGCCTGCTGGCTGATTCACACCTTTCTCCTCACAGGGAGCAGATCAAGCAGGTGAAGGACTCGGATGACATGCCCATGGTGCTGGTGGGGAACAAGTGTGACCTGGCTGCACGCACTGTGGAGGCTTAGCAGGCGCAGGACCTTGCCCGCAGCTATGGCATCCCATACATCGAGACGTCGGCCAAGAGGCCAAGACGCGCCAGGTGAGCCGGTTCTCCACCCCACAGTTATCCGCGGACCCGCCCCACCCAGCCACACACCCCCCGCCCCCCCCCCCGCCCCCCCGCCAGGGAGCAGCGCTCACTGCCCCCTCTCCCTCAACACAGGGCAGCCACTCAGGCTCTGGCTCCCGCTTCAGCTCCGGGACACTCTGGGACCCTCCAGGACCTCCATGACCCACCAGCCCCTCTCGTTGTAAGTTTCCCCGGATGGCAGGGCAGTGAGGGAGGCCAGGGCCAGGGTGTGGACTGATGCACCTCCAGGGGGAGGTGGAGGTCCCTGGAGAGAGCTGCCCTGAGCCGGGCCGGAGCGGTGACCCTGGGGCCCCGTCCCCTTTCCCCAGAGCGCCCTGTGGGCCCTTGTTGGCTCTGATCCCTTAGTGGGCTGTTGGGGACAAGGGCAGTAGTTCAGACAGGACCTGGGCACAGGGTGGTCAAGCTCAGAGCCAGACCTGGGGGCTGCCCTGCCCTGTGGGGGAGCTGCTGAGGAGCAAGCCACCTTGCCATGGGGTGGCCCTGGGGCCGCAGGACGAGCAGGGCCAGGCTCCGTTTGTGGGGGTGGAGGTAGGGAAAGGACTGGGATTCTGCTTGAGCCCGCGGCAGGGGTCCCTGGGTCTCCTCCCCGGCTGGGCTCTGAGGCCGGGTCCGCCTCTCAGCTGGCCCCTTCTTCCCAGGGCATGGGGATGCCATCTACATGCTGGTGCGAGAGACTGGGCAGCACAGGTGCATAAGCTGAGTGCCCCCACGCGGCTGCAGGGCTGCGGTGCATGTGGCCTCGCACCAGGCACGGCAGGAACCGCAGCTCCATCTGGCCCGCGGCCCCTCTGTGGGGACAGCTGGCAGAGGCTGGTTGGGGGGGCCCGGGCTACGCCATCCTCTGCCTCGCGGGGCTTCTGGTCCATCCTGCAGAGAGTTCTGGGCGATGCGAGGACAGGCTGGTCTTGCATTTTAACCACGAAAACGCTTTATTGAACTTTAAGAGGGAGGGACCCGGCCTCCCACAGTGTCCTCCAGTCCGTCCCGGAGCAGCAGCTCTCGGGTTCTCCGAGCAGGCCCAGCGCCTTCAGCTCGGCCTGGGGGCTCTACCCCATCACTGCCAGGTGGCCGCTTGGGGCCCAGCGACTGGCTGTCCCTGCCACCTCTGGGGCGGGAGGGTGGGACTGGCCCGCCTGCCCCTGCCACTCCCTCACTGGAGTGGCCTGATGCTCCTAGAGCTGCCTCTAGTCACCGACGTCGCCCTGTGGGGCATGCCCAGGCCCCAGGTGACCACACACTGCTCAGAGAGACCTGGCCCTGCTTTGGCCAGAGACCAGGACAGGCCAGGGACATGGTGGGCTCAGTCACCACTGTCTTCATCCCGGCTGGGGAAGCGCTCATGGCGCCCCTTCCCTCCCAGAGCCCAGGTTCAAGCCAGGCCAGGCCCCTCTATGAGAGGGGGGCACCGTCCTCCAGGACGGCCAGCATGACGACCCGGGGCACGCTGCTGCTGGATGCCGGGCGCCTCAGGGCCATCGCCCTCTCCATCACACTCCCCTCTAGAGGGTCCCAAGCCTCCAGCTTCCTTGTGGACATGGAGATCAGGGGGTGGAGGGGACAGTCGGGGCCTCGGGGCAGCTCGCTGGGCCCTGCCAGGGCTTCATCTCCACTGTGCCCTTCACCACCCTGAGAGGGGCATCGGCTGCAGGCGTCACAGGGCAGGAAGGGTGTCCTGGGCCCTGTGGCTTGGTCCTCGTCAGGCTGGATGGGGCCTGTCACTGGGGCCCCAGTGGGGATGCAGGGCTGAGCCTGTCCTGTGGCCCTGGGGGTGGCCCAGGCGGGCAGTAAAGGGAGAGACGCCCAGCCTTCCAGCTCAGAGCCCACGGCTGGGGGCCACCTGTCCGCGGCTTCATGATTCCCTGGGAGGTTCGGGAGGGAAGTGAAACGCCGTGGCTGCAGCCGATCCCTAGAGCTGTCCTGGGCCGGGGGCAGGCAGGACAGACCCGGAGCCTCTGGGGCTCTGAGAGAGGTGTGAGCAGCCATGGGCCCCGTGGAGGCCCCCTTATGCTGCAGCTCCTCGGCCTCGGGGACAGCCTGGGTGGGCGAGGGTCCTGGCCGCTCGTGCTCGACGGGTAGGCGGGGAGGGCCAGCCTGGCCTCACTGGGCAGCTTCTCACAGCTGGGAGAGGCGAGGACAGGCCTGGGCTCCGGGGACGCTCGCTCCAGGCCCAGGGGCACGGTGGGGAACTCCTCTGGTTTGGATGAAAGTGAGCAGACTAGGTTAACTTCTGCACCAGGCCATCTGGCCCGCGCAGGGTGGGGCCCTGTGGTGTCCTCGTGGCTCCCCACATGGCCACCCTGGCCTGACAATGAGAACAACCGTCCAGGCTGCTGATGCTGTGTCTGCAGCGTCTGCCCTCATAGCCGGCCTGGCCTGGCTGCTGAAGCTTCTCAGAGCAGAAGAGGAGACGGGGGGAGGCCCTGGGGGCTCCCCACTTTTCACAGCCCCCAGAGGGAGAGTCGGGAGGGGACGGTGCCTGTGAGCCCACCTGGAGAAGGCAGGTCACATTTCATCCTCTGCAGCTCCACCATCAAGGCCTGGAGGTGCCTGAGCATTGCGTTATCCTCCAGGGCCCAGGGCTGCCCAGCCTGTCCTGCAGAAACTCCCGCAGGCCTTCCAGAGGCAGCTTCAGGAGGTGTTCTAGGCAAGGGGATGCGCGTCAGGCCAGGGGCCCACCCTGACTCCAGGTCCCTTGTGTGGACAACTGCTGTGTTCTGCTGGGCGCCACCCCTGCAGGTCCCCCTGTGCCCAGGAGGCACATTCCCGCCACTTCTCAGAGGGTGCCCTGCCCTGACCAGGCCAGAGCAGAGGCCACCACCCCCGGGCACTTAAGCTCGCACAGACTCACTTACTCCTGTGCACCTTGAGCATGGTGTAGGCCATGGCCATGAGCACATGCTCACCCTTCAGGATGTAGGCGTCCCAGAGCTTCAGGGTGAGTGAGAAGGGGGTCTGTGGGGGAGAACAGGCGTGAGGGGGCATCCTGAGCAGAGCCACTGGGGGTTCCAGCATGTGGTGAGAACCCCTTGTGCCTCTGGTCCCCATGTCTGACAAGGTCCCGCAGCTCCTCATCTGTGCGGACTCATCCCGGTGGGGACATGGCTGCTGGACGAAGGTGCTCCCCGCCAGGCCTTGCAGGGACCTAAGGGGCTGGCCTGCACGACTGCTGACCTGGGGGGCAACAGGGATGGCCCCCCACCCAAGGGAACACACCACGAAGGAACAACACTCCGTCTGCAATGTGGGCCCAGAGCTCGTCCACACCCTGGGCTGACCTGGCCTTCCCTCCAGAGCCCAGGTGGAAACAGCCCGGCCCCGGGGCCCGGAGGTGTCCATCCTGGAACAGGCTCTGGGCTCCCCAGGAGGGGTCCTGGCCCCATCTGCCACTCGGCAGGGCCTGGCCTGTCTGGGCTGAGCTCAGCCCTCCCCGACGCCGGGGGCAGGGAGCATCCCGGGACGGGCCCCTGGCAGCCTCACCCGGTCTATGAAGCATTGCAGGAAGCACTTGGCGGTGTAGATGCCGGTGCACATGTGCTCCTCGTCCTAAGGGAGGGCAGAGGGCTCAGGGCCCTCCTGGCGCACAAACCTCCCTATGCGGGGCCTTTGCAGCCGCTCCCGGGGGCTGAGTGGATGCTCCTCCCGAAGCCCCGCTCAGCCCCGGCTGCCCCTGGCCACCGGACGAGCAGGATGAGTCCAAACTCTCTAGGCAGCAGGGGCCTGGCCCCTCCCCAGTCCCCACCCTGGGCCAGCGCCCAGGACGAGGCGGGACGCTCCTACTCCCCAGGTGCTGCTTTAGTTTCGGGAGCCCTTTGGTGAGGACCTGCTCATGGTGGGCCTGGAACCTGAGCAGTTTCGGGAACCCCGGAACGAAGAAGCCTGAGAAGCCCCCGGCCCCGCCAATCAGAGCCGGATCCCAGCGGGGTTGGGCGCTGGCAGGTGCCCCCGCTGAGCCCAAGGCCTCCTCTCGCCCACAGTGACCCCACTTGTGCCCACGGCCTCTGAATGCTGGCTGGACGCCCTCTACCAGAGAGCAGGATGCCCTGAGACCCGGGGTGGCCCAGGAACAAGACCCCCTCATGGAGGCTCACTTGGCTGGCGCCCTGTGCTGGGGGTCAGGCAGATGTCCCCACACCGGCACCCCCCTTGGCTCCCCACTCCCCACAATGGCCACAGTGGGGGCATGGGGGTCCCACGTGGCAGGTGATGGGGTGTGCACGGCCATCTCCTGGGCTCAGGAGTCAGGCTGGGGGCCCGCAGGAGGGGGAGACGCTGCCATCTGGGCTTCGTTTGGCCATGCACCCGGAGGGCGGCTGGGCAGGCGGGCAGATGTGAGGAAAGAGCAGGAGGGACGTAAGAATCATCTGACGAGGACAGAGCCGGGGGCCGTGGCTACAGGACAGAGAGGGCAGCGTGGGGAGGTGGTGCCCTCACCTAGAGGACAGGGTGATGAGGCAGGGGTCCCCGGGCAGCAGCACTGCTGGGGCTGCCAGGACCTCCTGGGCTCTAAGTCACGTCCAGCGGTCCGCAGCGCCCACCTACCATGCATGGCATGCCTCTCGCTGACCATGAGCTGGGCCAGCGCCCAGAAGGCGTCCTCCTCGCCCAGGAACATTAGCAGGACGGCCGCGACCTCGCTCACGCCCTGGCAGTAGCCCACCTCCTACAAGAGCCAGACCGCACGGCAGGATGACCCGAGGCCGCCTCTTCCTCCCTGTGCTCCCATCTCAGCGTCTAGGAGCCCCTGGACAGACCCCTGCCCGGCCCAGGCTCTCAGGGCCCAGAGGGGAGTGGAGGCTCGCGTGGAGCCCCCGAGATGTCGGCGGGGAGAGCCACTGCAGCAGCTCCGGCGCCAGCACCACGGCAGCCCCGTGCCCGAGCTCTGGGGTGTCCCCCTGGGGTCCGCTTTCTCAGATGAGGGAGAGGTGCCTCCGTGAGGCCCACCAGGGTGACAGGGACCCGCGAGATCTGGAGACCCCGCCACGACTGCCGGCTGGAGCCTGACCGGGCGCAGGATGGCAGCTGGGCCATACCCCGCTGTGGGCTGCCTGTGGAGTCGGCTGAGCTGGTGGTTCTTGAGGGAAAGTTCTGGAAAGGGGAGCAGCCGCCCCGGGAGCCGCCTCCCTGTCTGCCTCACTCTTAGGGAGTCGGGTTGATGGGGAACTTCCTCCCTGCTGGTTTCTGATGAATAATGTGGTGGCTTCAGGATCAAATCTCAAGTGTGACGACAACAGCGATGCCCCTGAGGCCCCGCACTGACTGGTGACACAGCCCCACCGAGACGGGCGTCCGGCAGCCCCACTGAGCTCGTGGGCCGGGCAGCGCCGGGGGTGAGGGCCCCCTTCTGGTCCTGGAAGTGGAGTCTGCATCCAGCCCTGTCCGCCTCAGCGTCAGGGGAGAGAGCCCCTCGCTGCGTCTCTGTGACCCTGTGAGCTGGAGGCCTGACACGTGCCTCCTGTCTGGTCACAGACACTCGATTTTAAGAGGCAAGGACAGTGTGGGACCCTGGGCCTGGGGGCGGGATACTCACGGTGTTGTAAACGGAATAGGCTGCGAGCACATGGAACAGGGCTTGCTGCCTAGGAAAGGACGACAGGGGGCGGTGCTGATGCCATCGGGTTCGTTCTGTGACAAACACCGACGACAGAACAGGTGTGGTTAAGAAGTCAGCCAAGAAGCTGACGTCTTCAGGGTGCCTCAGTGTTTAACAACATTTTGGGGTGAAGTCTACACGCGATGAAATGCAGATACCTCAGGGGGACAGTCTGATGAGTTTTTATCTTCATTCTTGATTTTTTAGTTTGTGTACGTCAAAGTTCCGTCTTTCACCATGCAACATTATTTTGTTTGCTTTTTTCACCTCCCTTCTCCTCGGGACCCTCGCGTTCTTCCAGAACCCCTGCATCCCCCCAGGACCTGCATCCCTCACAGGACCCCTGCATCTCTTCTGGGATCCCCATCTCCCCTGGGATTCCCCATGTACCCCCGGGGACCCTGCCTGCCCAGCGGCCTCACTTGATGCCATCGCGGTTCCAGAACATGATATGGTTTCGGAATGTTCGGTTCACATCCTGGTTGATCTGTTTGATGTCCTGAGAAAACAGCCTCGCCTGCTCCTTCATTCTCTGTGGGGGGAACCAGGAGGAGCCGGCATCAGAGACACGAAACACTACCTGCCACCAACTGCACCCTGAGCAGAGCGAGCGCTCCTGGCTGGAACCTGAGTTTTTCCGCAGGAACCTCATCTCTGAAGCCAGGGAGGGTCCCAAGTGCCCACCACGCCCATGAGGCCCACATGATGCCCAGCAGCCCCGGGGAGGGAACCCCGATGGTCAGCCCGTGGACTCCTCCAAGCCCAGAACCCCAATAGGCAGGTCCAGGCCCCTGACCGCTCCTCCCTGCCCTGCACGGGGGCCCGTCCAGGGTGACAGCGCCTGCCTGGGCTCTGAGCTCACCCCCAGGAGATGGCTCCCCGGAACCTGCTCCCAGGGCGCTGGCCGCTCAGGGCCCTTGGGAGGCAGGAGGGCGGCTCGGCCTTGGCTCCCTGACACCCGCCTGAGTTCTGCAGCTGGACAGTGAGACGAGGCCACTCTCTCTGCACCCTCCACCTTCACCCGCTAGCTAATTCTGTTCACCACACAGGGATCCAGCACCAGCCCACCTGGCCAACCCCCAGGGCGCTGGGTGACTAGAGGGCTGCGGGGGCTCCAGGCCCATCTGTGGCACCCGCTCCCGTCGCCCTGATCTTAAAACCGCCCGGGGGCGCATAGCCCCATGGCCCTGACACCCCCACTTTCGGCCCCCTGGTTGCGGAGGCAGAGAAGCATCCTTGGGGTTCCATGCAGGCCTCCCTGAGCCGCGTGTTTCCCACTTTAAAGCTCCTTGTGCTCAAGTGGAGGGAACGCTTGGCCTCTGCATCTCCCCCTGGACCCACCGACTTTCTACATCAGTTACTCATTCTGACTCGTAGGTGTCTGCAGAATGTCTTGAGTTTCTGTCTGTGATCAGATCACCTGCAAGCGAAGGTCATTTTGTTTCTTCTTCATCTGTGTGATGGTTTTTTTTATTTTCTTGTCTGACTGTATGAGTTAAAACTGCCAGAGCAATTCTGAATCAGTGGTGACAGCAGATGGCTCCGGTTCGTTCTTCTGATGTGGATGGAAATGGCTCCAGCATTTCCGGCCCCTCAGAATATTTGCTGTTGGTTTTTCTTCAACAATTTCAGAAATACTCGGTTTATTTCTATTCTTCTATTTCTCATGATTTTTACCAACGGGGAAGTGGCTGCTGAATTGTATTCACTGGCTTTCTGAATCCGCTGATGTCATGGATGACTTTCCCCTTTTACGTGTCCACGTGCGGTTTGGTCCCCACGGGCTGGCTCTGGAAGGCACTGTCCTGGGTCATGGGGTCATTCCTTTAAGATCCTGTACGTCTCCCCTGCGAGGATCATATCTAGACTCGTGCATCCACGGCGAGTGTGCGATGGACGGAAGGTCTTCCCCGGGCACTCTGCACGAGGCTCTGAAGTGGGGCCGAAGCGTCACGAAGATGGAGCGTCCCCTTCGCCCGACCTGAGCCCGGGCCGAGGAGCCGCGTCCACTGTACTGGGAGCAGCGGCCTCCACGGACGGCGCTCTTGGCTCGGCTCCGCTTCTCCTTCACCTCAGGCTTCTCTCCTCCCTCCACACGGGCCAATGCTGCCGGGAAATCCTCTGTTCAAAGGCCGCCCCGAGCCGGGCACGGCCTCCCTGTAGTTCTCTGAGCCCGTCCTGCCTGCGGCCAGGCCCGCTTCCCTGAACGCCCCGCACCCTCCCCTCTCTCCCTTACTCAGGCCCGGGAGAAGTTTAGCTGTAAAACTGGTTTTTCAAAGGACCAGTTCCTGGTTTTATTTATCTTTTCTACATCTTTTGGGCTTCTATTTCATTTTGCAATTTTAAACTCCTTCTTTATTCTTTTTCTAATTTTTTTCTAATTTTAAAGTTGAATACATAGTTCTTTAATGTTAGTCTTTTAGAAAATAAAACACTGTTTTGGGGGGCTTCTCATGGTCTGTTACATAATGTCATCCCAGTTTTGACGTCCTTGGGTCTAAAGTTTTGGTGCTATGGTGAACAGGACATTTTTCTTAGAACATTTACACAGTAGCTGGTCAATAAGACGATGGTTTCCCTGATGTCCATGGCACACTGTGTAATACAAACTATAACCATGTGTGCTGTGCGGAGTAACCACCTGCTCCTTTAGTCCCCTCTCCTGTGGCCGACTGGGCTCTCGGCTGAGTCCCTGGTGTCTCTACACACGGGCAGCGGCAGCTGTGGGGCAGTTTGTCTGGGTTTTCACCCGAATACGGCTGCATCTGGCGGGCTCCTGGTCACGAGTTCAGAAGCGGACTCGGCTGTCAGGGGCTCGGGGGAGTCTGGGCAGCTGTGCAGGGAGCCTGGGGGCCCGGATGTGGGAGCAGGTGGGTGCGATGTCAGTGCTGCCCCTCCGCTCCTGGGAAGGAGCTGGCCTGGCCTCGCCTCACCCTGCACGGGGCGGTGGGAGGGGTCTGGGCTCAGCCCCCGCTGGAACAGGACTCCACAGCCAAACTCATCCCGCCTCTTCTCTCCACACCTCCTTCCCCGTCTCCTGCGGGACCACAGGGACACACTGCCTGCTTGACAACTACAGCCTCCTCTCGTCCTGGTCTGTGGGGCCCTTGGAGGGTCTCACGATTGAGCACGATGCTGGCTGTTGTTCCACAGTCATCAGCGGATGCACACTTGTGGACATATTCACCACATAATTCCCGGCTGCTTGCTGAACTGTGACCCCATCACACCCCCTCGGGCTGCATCTCCTCTTGTCCAGGCTTTGCTGGGCCGGTCCCACTCGGTCTGGGTGCATCGCTGCCTTGCATCATCAAGTGTGCACAGAGCCCCCTCCCTGGGCCATGTGACCTGGGGGACCCTTGGGTGGAGACAGGGCTGAGCCGTGGGAACCAGCCAGGTGCCGGGTCCCCGCTGGGGGGACAGGAAAAGACCAGTTCCTGGTCCCATTAAGTTTTTCCTTTCTACCCAATGGCACTCCTGTCTGTGATTTCCGTGGGTTTGGTTGCTTTCCTCATTTTGTGGGTCCTGTGGGTGTGCTTCCTTGCTCTTTCCCTGGTTTCTGTCCTTTGCTGTGTGACTGTCCCCTACTCAGGGCTGTGGGCCGTAGTTGGATTCATGTGGCGTCTGTCTGTCTCTGGCTCCAGTGTCTGCACTGGGTCAAGCTGAAGGTAATGGAGGCCCAGGCAGCTGAAGGACAGGCAGGGCCTTCCCGGTGGGAGTGTCCAGGGCCCGTGAGTCCAGTACGGGCCAGGAAAGAGCTGAGGCCAGGTGAGAGGGTCCCATGGCGCATGACCACCCGCCGGCTCCCCCAGCTCCTGAAAGGCCGGGCCTGTGGGCGCTGCCTCTGCCGAGTGTGGAAGGGCCGTACCTCGTATTTGCCTTTATTCTCCACCTTCACCTTCTCCAGGTCCAACAGCAGCGACCACACTCGACCCCGCACCTGCGGGGGGATCCCCTTAAAGACCCGCTTGTGCATCTACGGGAAGCAGAAAGCTCTGGTGACCAGGCCGCAGGGCGACCCCGCGCACGAGATGGAGTGGGAGGCATCTGGAAGATTCTGGCCTCTGGCTCCGTGGTTCTGTGACCAGGACCCAGGCACAGAAAGGGTTACGGAGGGTCTGGGCAACAACTGACATGGTCCCTCAAACATCTTTCAGACAAGAGGCAGCTCTGTGCTCTGCTTTGCAGAAGCTGATGTCCCCGTTTGGCAGACGTTGCTGTCTCGCAGAGACACTCACGTATTTGCAGCAAGACCCCTGCCAACGGTTCAGCACCAAGCGTCCTACAGCCACTTTCTCTCATTAACGTCTTAAATTCTCCCGCTGGGAGGGCCAAGCAGCCGCTTTTGGAGCAGGCGATGCAGCAGGAGCGAGTTTACCTGCTCCACACACCCTAAACGGCCACAGTTGTTACAAATAAACCTGTTCTCCTCCGCTCTTGTGTATAACGTCTCCACCGGCACCGAGCTCGGGGAGACGCCGCTCTGGGAGTCCCCGCTGTTCTCCAGCGCTCGTGCAAGCGAGAAACCTTTCTCCCCTACTTCTGCTTTGGTGGGCTTTTCGGCTCCGCACTCACCAAGAGACAAACCCACTGAGTTCGGTCACAGTTTCTCGGGAGACGGTGGGTCTACCTAGACCTGGGCCCCGTCTCCCACAGCTAGGAGTGGACGAGGCCTCAGGGGATGAGGTGGACAGCGGTCCCGGCTTATCCCTCCCTACGGGGCCCTGCCCTGGGGTGGCCTTGGCTCTGGCCTCAGATTCTCTCCAGGTGAGGTGACCCTGTGGGGTGGGCAGGGAGGCTGTGGGCTGCCCTAGGGACACAGGCCCGTGGTCCTTTGGGCTCAGGCAGGGTGCAGCCTGCCAAGCGCTCAGGTCCTACCTTCTTGCTGCCCTGGTACTGCCCCCAGTCCCTCAGCATCTTCAGCCACTTGTCGGCTCGCCTGATGTCTCAGCGTTTGTGCTGGAAAATGAGAAATGGTGGTGAGAGCCCAGCTGCCCGCTTCCTAGAGGGGCCCTAGTGCATCAGGTCACATCAGGTGCCCTGACATGAGGAACTCAAAGGGGCCGGAAAAGGCGCCGACCCTCTCCCACAGACCCCTGGGCCTGCCCCGGTCCCAGCCTCAAGGTGGGGTCCTGGCGGCTGGCAGGCAGTGATCCCTGAGCTGTGTGTGTGTTTCTGAGACAGGTGGGTTCAGTAAACCACGTGCCCTCAGGACAGCTCTGGGGTCGGGGATGGCAGGAACCGCAGCCCTACACCCACGGCCGCCTCCCGCCTGTGCAGCAAGGACAGGCTCTTACCTTCGCCTCCTGGGTGGTGAGGCTGGGCAGCTCCTCCTCAATGGAAGGCAAGAGAAGCAGAGCCCTGAGGCCCTGCACCAGGCCAGGGGCCATAGAAGGACAGGGTCCGCCCCCAGCCCCCAAGTCTGGGCCCTGGATTCTGCGGAGGGAGGGCTGACCTAGGAGGGAGCCCGGACACAGGGCAGAGGAGGGCAGGGCGGCCAGGTGCCTGTGGCTGGAGGCAGTGCCCTCCTCCGGTGCCTGAGAAGGGCCGGTGCTGGCGTGGGGGGTGGGCTGCGCCCAGACAGCAGCCCCACAGGAGGTGACCTGCCATTGTCCTGGAGTCGGGTTGCCCTGAGAACCATCCAACGTGCCAGGGTGCCCCCTGTGGCCATCCTACTGAGGTCCGCACGCCCCCCGCAGGGTCTGCCTGTCCAGCGTCCAGCTGCTTCTCCCTGCCCCTGGCCGCCCACCCTCCTATCCCTGACGTCACCCGTTTCTTGTCGTCACTTCAGCTACTCGGGCCCATCTTTTAATGCTTGTGCTGTCAGAACCTCTGAGCAGGACCCGCCCCTGATGGGTCCAAACGGCTGCTTGTCCACTGGGTGATGGGCAGTGACTGAGGCCCGCGGGCAGCCAGATTGGCCCCACACCATGTCTGCAGCCTCCGTCCCTACCAGGCGGCTCACCACATGGCCTGCTGAGCCCTCCACCTTCATCTGCACTCCCACGGCGCCTCCTCCTCATCCCCCCTCACAACGCCTCCTCCCCTCCTCCCTCCTCCTCCAGGCTGCTCCTCCACTCCATGCTCCACACCCTCCCTCCCCTCCCCTCCTGATCAGGCACCTCCTCGCTGGCTTCTCCCCTGCAGGTCTGACTGGTGGTGTCTCCAGAGAGCACCGCAGAGAACTCGGGGCTGACAGAGGCCCTGGCTCAGGCGTCTCAGGTGAGTCCCTCCCCCAGGCCTCGCCCTGCTCTGGACTGTCCTCCCCCAGAGAGGAGGCCCCATCCCAGGAGCTCACCACCTTCGGTCCTGCCCCAGGCTGGCTCCGTCCAGGGGCACATGCCCCACCCAGTCCCATCTCCCTCCAGTCTCCTCTCCTCTCTCGCCACCAAGGCCCAGCCTCCATCCCCAATCTCCTCCCAGCCCCAGACAGGGGTTCAGGCCATCTTCAGCTGCCTTCCAACTCCGCCTGCCTCTGTCCCCTTCCCATGAGGTTCCCAGGCCAGGTCCTGTCTGAACGCGCCCCCTGCCTATCCTGTCAACGCCAGAGGCCACATCCCTCACTGCCCCTTGTGCCTGTGCCCATGTGGATGCTACACTAGAACCACGTGTGCCCTTGGGGACCTGATGGACAACATCCCACTGGTGGGACTGGGTGCCCCTCACTCTGTGGCCACACCCTGTGGAGCCACTGCTGGCCAGGCTGGACGTGCCCTCTGACTGTGGGCGCTGGACACCATCACGCCCTCCCTCATGCAGGCGTGGAGGCCACACTGCTGAGTGTCCCAGCCCGGCCAGGGCCCTGCTCCACCCCTGCCCACCACTCTGAGGCCCCTTCTGGTCTCTCAGCTGGAGCCGACTGTAGACCCTGGACTGCAGTGGGCACCAGGGGACGAGGCTCTGAGCTGGGGAGACGGGTCCTGCCTCCAGAGAGGTGTTTCCACCAACAGAAACCATCCCTGAGATGAAAAGAGCGGGCGTCCAGGTGACTCACTGCAGGAAACCGAGGCGGTCGGTGACCTTGGAAAGGGGGAGCTCGGGGTCTTCCTGCGGATCCACTGGAACCCCTGCCTGGCGTCCCTGCAACCCAGAGGGGGCAACGTGGTGAGGGCGCGCCAGAGCCAGGGACCAGGGGCAGGAGGGCACAGGGCGGCTCCTCCCTCCCCTGTCCTGAGGGAGCTCTGGAACCTGCGACAATGGGCACAGACTGAGGGATGAGGACGCACCTTCCCGAACGGGAGCAGCCTGACAGCCTCCCCTGCTCCCGCTGTGTGATCCCCACCTGGGCCCCACCTGCTCCTGCTGGCCATGGTCTGCCCCCCAGGCCGTACCTGCTCCTAGAGCTAGGATCTCCTCCTGGGCCTCACCTGATCATACTGGGCAATTATTTTTGCTCTTTCCAGGGCCAGCAGGGTCTCCAGGTCTTCCTTCATGTCTAATATGCAAGACAAAAAAATCCAAATGTAGCACTGCACTCAGAGCTTCAGAGAGCAAACCTGTGTGCCCCGCTGCCAGCCCCCCGGTCTGTCTGATCAGAGAGCGGGCAAACCCGCAGGCAGGGCGGGCAGCATCTGGCTTGGCGGATCACAGGTTCACACTCACACTTTCTTGCACTCCCGCTTAGGGGCTACCCTCCCAGCCCCCTGGGACTTCTGTCCTCGTGAGATCAGAGTTCTCTTCAGCTTATGAGGAGGGAGAAGGTGGACCCAGGTGCTCAGATGACCTGCTGACCGGCAGCGCGGTGTGCGCGCTCCGGGCCCAGGGTGGCACTGAGCAAAGGGGCGTGCGGCTGCCGGCCAATGATTCCCGCAGGCGCACTGGGAATCCGACTGTGCTCTGAGACACCAAAAGCACGAGCAACACAAGAGCAGATGAGTCAACGGGACGCCAGCAACACGCAAACTGCTGTGCTTCAGACGACACCATCGAGGAGTGCAGAGACGGCCCGCACGAGGAACGAAGATGTCTGCCAATCACCTGTCTGATCAGGGCCTGCTGTGCAGAATATAGAAAACTCCCCAACAAACGACAAATAGCCCAATTCGAAAGAGGACAAAGGTCGGAGGGACATTTCTCCAACGTGATGTACAAACGGCCGACAAGCCCGTGAGGAGGTGCTCAATGGCACTGGCCCCCAGGGAAATGCAGACGGAAACCATGAGACCCCACTTCCCGCCCACTGGACCGGCTCTCACCAACAGATGGACAGAAGGAGTGTGGGGGGGGGGAGGAACTGGAGCCTCCGCGTTGCTGGTGGGAATGTCAAATGGTGCAGCTGCTGCGGAAACCGGTTTCGTGGTTCCTCAGAAGTTACACGTAGAGTTACCATGTGACCCAGCAAGTCCACACTCGTCAGAGTTGTAAGGCATTATCTGAAAAAGGCTTAACAGAAACATCTCAAAAGCCATAAAATGTCAGCTTTTGACCCAGCAATCTGATGTCCAGGACGCCGCTGGGGAGACTGTCCAAAAGAGGGCAAAAGGACATCATTTTGGCTTTGTGTTTTGTGTCTACAGAAAGCCCATTGCTACCTGTTATTTGCTCCATCTTTTTGAAAAAGATGGAAATTACATGAAGCCCATGTTGGGACACTAAAATCTGGTGTATCTCCTGAGGTTGGCATTCTTATCTCTCATAGTCTATCAATTTATATTCATCAAAGCACAATACTAAAAGAGAGCCAAACTGGAATATAATTTAAACGGCTGTTGATGGTTTCCTCTGTGTGCAGATGATTTTTAGTTTGGTGTAGACCCACTTGTCTATTTTTGCCTTTGTTACTTTTGCTTTTGGTGTCAAATCCAAGGAATCATTATGAAAACCAATGTCATGAAGGCAAGGATGCCCACGCTCTCCAGTCCTGTTCAGCTTAGTACTGGAAGTCCAAGCCAGAACAATTAAGCAAGAAAAAGAAATGAAAGGCACCCAAAGTGAAAGGAAGAAGTAAAACTATCTGTTTGCGGATGACATGATCTTATATGTAGAAGACCCTAAAGACTCCACAAAAAAACTGTTAGATCTAATAAACAAATTCACTAAAGCAGCAGGATACAAAATCAACATATAAAAATCTGTTGCCTCTCTGTACACCAACAGCAAACCATCTGAAAAGGCAATTAAGAAAATAATCCCATTTACAATAGCATCAAAAGGAATAAAATACCTAGGAAGACACTTAACCAAGGAAATGAAATACTTGTACACTGACAACTATAAGATGCAGACGCCACAGAGGCCACCGCTTCCCAGCCCCGGCCTGCGCCAAGGCGATGTGAGGACCCACCGGAGAACACCTGTGCAGACGCCATGACCCCTCCCGTCACTTCAGATTCTCTGTCACCTGAAAAGTTGGGAGTGCCAGTTAAAACCACAGGAATGCCTGCCCCTGGCCTCAGAGCTGTGAGGTGCACAGCGGTTGGAAGCCATGTAGGCCATGTTTGAGTAACGAGGAAGGTCAGGAGGGAGAACTCTCAGGCATTTCCTATTCAAGGTCTACAGCTCTTTGAGGTCATAGGTATTGGAGGTCATCTCAAAGTGCTGAGCAGCATCACCTTACTGGGTACGTCATTTCTACAGAGGTTCAAGGCAATAGGTACAGAGCTTCACAGCAAGTGTCCAGAGCAGGATAAGAGTAATGCTGTCAGCTGGGTTTGCAGGATGGCTCTAAACCGGGAGCCCAAACCTAAAGGCACCAGCTGGACAGATCAAGACAGTGGATGGTTAGGTGAAACATGCTTGCTCTCTAATCTTGTGTAATTGGGTTTCTACTTCCCCAGCATTTACCCGTGTGCACCAGGAGGTGTTCACCACTGCACAGACGCCTCCTGCTCAGGAGATCATCAAGGGCTATATGATTACCCAAAACTACCTTGACCAAGGACTTAAGTGACTGTTGCTGAGCTGAAACTGCTTTGGCTTTGGAGTCAGCCAACTCGTTCAGTGTCAGGGAGAGATTCCTGGTCATTTGTTCATTGGCACTCACTCCAACGCATGGGAAGAAAGCTCTTGCCACGGAGGGAAACCGAGTCACGTACACCTCCTGGGAGTTCTTGTTTAGAGCGACTATGGAGATTCAAGGGGAAAGACCTATGAGAGCTCTCTGTTTGGTTATGCAGAGAGAACAGAACAGTGACTATGGCGGGGCACACTGTCCTTGTAATCTCCAGCTGTCAAGGCAATGGGTTGCCCAAGCCTGAAACGTCCACAGTTGAAGGTATAATCGGGGGTGTACATAAGGCTTCTGCGTAAGTGGGGGTATCTATGGACTCATTCATTGGTACAGAGGTGTTAACATTATCTAACCAAGGTTCAGACATTATGTTGTTACACACTGGAAGGCTACTTAAATATATGGGTATATCAAGAAATTTACAGAGGGCCTGCCTGATTTACAATGACGGCCCCACAGAATTTTTCATACAAATATTTGGGAGGCCTTGTTTTCCCCTCACAAGGCAGGGTCAAATTAAAGCAAGGAACAAGTTTAGGCAGGCTTAGCACTCTCAGTCAGTAAAATGGACCAGCAGCTCAATTTAGACAAACAACCGCATCTGGAACCCCAGTGAAATTGCTTACAGGGTGAACTGGGGTCATTACTGTCTTGGACAGACCGAGGTTTCTGATGGCAAATCCAGCAATCGAAGAGGTTCCCTCTTTCGCAAGGGATTGGAAAAATGCAGACAAGGGCATTGTCCTTCCAGGAAGGAGGGGGAGAAAATAAAGTAAGAAACAACAGTGGGAAGAGGGTGTACAGGCCTGGTCTGGTCAGCTGGGGGAAGCCATTGCCTCAGGTGTCGGCTGCTTCTCTTCCTAGTCAATTTGATTTGAGGTCCCCAGTGTTTGTACAGGACTGGATGTCAGGAGGAGCCTTCTTCAGCTGTGAGATGTGCACCCAAGGCTCGAGTCCCTGAAGTCTGGCTGCCATCTGGTAGTGAGCAGGACCTGGCATAGTACCCTCCAAGGAGATCTCAAGGGCAGCAAAATTGGAAATGTTAGTTTGTGGAGTTGCAGCAAGACACTTAAGAAAACTAGAAGAATTTAGGATCCAGTCCAGCTTACACATATATAACAAAACCTCAAAGACAATTAATAGGACTAGAATTTAATACCTAAGAAGGTACAAACGTAATTTCTCTCTACGATTACCCCCAATTTTATTAAACATAATCATAGTTAAAACTAATTTGTTTGTATTAAACTTGTTCTGATAACTGCAGCTAGAAAGGGTGATTGACCATACAAGCTCCTTTTTTTTTGTTTGTTTTTTTAAGATTGCTTTGCTGAAAGCTTGTAAGCAAGGTACTAGGCTGATTTTTCTAGACAATCCTTAAAGCTATGTGGTTATTTTTGAGTCTATGTACCTCTCTCTTGAACATGAAAATGTGGTCAAAGCCTTGATAATATTAGCCAATACTTCCAATTGTGTCCTGTGATAAGGAGAACAGATTCTCAATGATTTTATGCAAATATATATTTGTCATGAAAAGAATACTTAAGAGTGTCCAAGTGCTGGAAGGATCAGGTAGGGAGAAAAAGATAAATGTTTCAACCTCTGTTGCAAAGATACACTTTGCCAAATTGCTGTAAGTTACACATAGCCTAAAGGGGAGGAAAAAGGGGTCCTTTACATCTGGAAAACAAAACGTTACAGCAATCAGCCCTCCACTCGAGTTCCAGAAATTTCCACACAGTTCAGTGTTATGATCTTAAAGTTATCAAAACCTGTATTCCAGAGTACTTATTAAAGACTTTCCCGTGAATCTCTTTGAAGATGAAACATCTGTAAAAGTATCAGAGGAAAACAGTAACTGTCTGTAAATGGCAAAAGACTTTTTTTTCCTTTTTTTTGTGTGAGGAAGCTTGTTGCTGAGCTAATATCTGTGCCCATCTTCCTCTATTTTGTATGTGGGACACTGTCTCAGTGTGGATTGATGAGCAGTACGTAGGTCCGCGCCCAGGATCCGAACTTGCAAACCTCGGGCCACCAAAGTGGAGCACGCAAACTTAACCACTCAGCCACAGGGCCAGCCCCAACAAAAGACTATTTTAAAAAGGCAATGGGTAAATGCACTTGACAAGGAAATCTGGGTATTTTTGTGGCATACGCTTTTAGATAGTAACTAGAATTACAAGTGATAACGTTATATCTATTTGACCCAAGTTAAATGAAAGATTTCAAAGGCAAATACAAAAGGTTAAATAGTTGTAAGCCAAACTGAGCTCTTTTAATATTAAGAAGAAGTTGTTTTCCTAAGTAATTAAAAACTTGATAAAAAAAACAGGAAATTCTCTTAATAAAACACAAAATCTCTGTTTTCTAGGCATATTATTTAAAAGGTAAAAAAGCTTTCAAAATCTTATCAAAAGTAGGCCAAGAGCCCAAGAAAACTTTGTCCTTTTAATAAAAAAGAAAGATGAATTTTAACTTTGTATCAGGTTACTTTCAATGTAGCCAATCCTAACCATGCATACAATTCCTTCCCCAAGATTCCTTTCCACAAACCTACAACTTTTTAAAGAAACATTCAGATTTTGTCCTTTGTTTTCTCTCAACAAAAGTACATTTCCATTCCTCATACCTTTTCTTAGCAAAAACATACATCCTACTTTCCTTCTTACAGAGTCATCTCTTGTTATTTCTAGTAGCTTCAAACAATTGTGAATAGTCTGTTACTAGAAAATTTATAAATATATTTCATAATTCCTAGAAGTACATTTTTCTCATGGTAAAATTTCCCATGTGGCACAAAACATGTTTGCCAACAGGCCCAAACATCTTTAGTTTTCCTGCAATTAGAAGCCAAAAGCAGACAGACCTATTTTTAATAATATTTCACTGTTTTATCTTATTTGGAAATGATCTAGATGTTTAACTACTGCCCATCATGTAGTTTAACTTAGCAAAACTCTAAAGTTTCAAGTTACCAAAAAGATTTGGGGAAGCTGTTTTCAAGTACACGATGGTAACTCTTGAAGACATACCTGTTTTAATTAAACCAAGGTTAAATTAGCTTTATTTACCAAAGATTATCCCAGATCATCTGAACTTGAAACACGTTTGAGTTAGTTTATTATATTTTGGAGAGTTTTGTGAATACCCAATTCATATGAATGCTTGACTTCCTTTAAGGCAATTAAATAAAGCTCTTTTACAAATTAATTTTGGCAATACCATCCAGAGGTGATACACAACCTATCTATAGCATATGCACATAGACATACATAGCATGCAGATAGCCACAGAGATCTCACAGCTTTTATTAGAAAACTTTAGCTATGTCTCAGGTAAAATAACATAAAACTCAAAAGAATAGTTGGATCCAAACTGAGTTTCTGGCATACAGATTAAGTTAAGATTACCTGTTGAGACAGTCGGGTTTTTTCCCCTAAAGATTTTTATTTGAATGCTGTCAAATTCTAGAATTATTTCTCCCTTTTGAGCAGGATGGGTAACTCACCAAGAAGCATCAGCACACAGACAGAAAAAGAAGGCAAATTTTCTCCTAGGAGTTTTGGGATTTATTTGTCTATTATCAAAAGTCTAGGGTAATTTCTATTTAAATTTTCCTTATAGTTGTTTATTTTCTCCAGTTAATTTAGAGATAGCAATCAGGGGTTTAGCATTTGAATCCTCAGAGAGTCTTATTTTAAAGGGGCAGGTTTTTGCGGAAGGGAAGAGAGGAAGATAGTGCCGGGGGTGGGGCCTGAGCACATGATGGCCACCACACATCCAGAGACAAAGAAGAAGCGGGAGGGGAAAAAAGAGGTCTCAGAAGTCATTTTGCCTTCTTTCAACTGTTTGTTCACCTCAGGTAATTTAAAACTTGTGTTCTGCAAAGAGGCAATTTTGGAGTCTTAAATATCTCTGGAAGCCTTTAGATGCCAATTAAAACAGGCATACCATTCAGTCTGTTTTATTTTAGAGCCATGGCTTTCTGATTTAGTCCTGAGAAAAGCAAGTTTGGGGAGATCAAAAGTTCCCCTTAATGGCCAATGGTGTTCTAAATCAGTCTGTTAAATCAGTTCATTTAGTCAAAAATGCACATGCAGAGGGAATACAGTTTTTAAACACAAAACAGCCCAGGGACTCTAAAGGAGGGCTGCCCTTAGAGCATTCAGATGACTGGGATCCTACTTCTCAAAATTTTCCAAGACCAAAAGAAAATTCCCAGCTAGCCTGATTCCAAAAGGAACCTAGCCTTTCAGTGCACTACCAAAAGGAAAATAACTGAGTACGTACCAAGGAGGAAGCATGATGCCAAGGACGAAGCCTTGAACCAGAAAGGACAGAGCCTTTCACAATCCCAGATAAAGTTGGAGTGCTCAAAACACACGCAGAGCGGAGCTGGGACTCTGAGGAGACTGACCAAGCTGGAACTCACAGTCAGCAGCTCGCAGACGCAATGAGCACGGGGCCTCAGTGCCAGTCTCGCACTCGCTTCTGGGGTCGCTGTCTCTCGGGGGTTGCCTCCTTCAGATCCCACTTCCAACACCACTTAACATCAACTTTAAATAAAACAGCCAGTTACCTTACCAGCAAAATGAGGTTATTTGAGAATAGCCAGAGGAATTGCAATTCAGGAGAAGCAAGCCATGGCAAAAACCATAGGCAACGTCCAGAGAACAAAGGCGGGGTTCTTTTACAGGGAGAAAGGGGAGTTGGGAGGGGCTGTTCTAAATGAAAGCTCATTGGGGGGAGTAAGAATTGAGCAGGGTGACAGCTCCTCACTGGCTGAGCTGCAGCGTTTTCCACTGGCTGAGCTTGTCACTGGGCAAGAAGAAATTCTTCCTTCCCCCTCCTGGGCAGCAAAGTGGTAGCTAACTTCCTGTCTGAGATGCCAGGCACGGCTCCTCCTGGTCAGCGACCAAGGATGCGTGGTAGGGCCGAGAACTCCCTCTCCAGACCTTCCCAACTCCAATTTTACTCGACGTTTCCTTTATTAATGTTCACAAGAAAAACAAACCTGACCTGACTGACATTTTTATTACATTGTATGACATTTGTATGACACTGCCCCAGTGAGAATAAACATGGTTTTCAAGCACAAAAAGTCTTCACCAAAATCAGCCACATGCAGGACCAAAGAGCAAGTCTCAACAAACGTTGAAGGTCTGAAATCACAGAGAGTCTGTCCCTTGAGCACAGTGGGTTTAAGCTAGAAACTAATTTTTTTTAAATGCCTATTAAAAAGGATTAAAAACTAAATAGTCCATTGGTCAAAGCAGGGATCACAATAGAAATTAGAAAATATTTTGAACTTAATGTTAAAGAAAAAAATCACAAATCTAAACTTGTAGGAAGCAGCTGAAAAGGCATTTTTCTCATCTTAGATGTATACATGGGAACAGGAAAAAATCAGTGATCTACGCATGCAACTCAAGAGCTGACAGTAAGAAGAAGTTAAGCCCCCTTAAATTAGAAGAAAATACAAAATAAAGAACAGAAACTAGTGAAAGAGAAAAAAAAATACAGTATTGAGGATCAATGAAGCCAACAGTTCTTTGCAAAGACTAATAAAATTGATAGGGTTGTTGAAGAAAAAAAAGAGAGAGGCTATAAATAACTAACATCAGGAATGGAAAAGGAGAAATCACTACAGATCCTATGGACACTAAAAAAGAAACAGGATATCATGCAAAACTTTATGCCAAAACTTTGAAAATATAGTGCAAACTGACAAACATCTAGAAAAACACAACTTACAAAATAGAAAAGTCTGAACAGTTCTAGAACTACAAAAGAAATAGAATACAGGAGGTAAAAACTTTCTACAAAGAAAACAAAGAGTTCATTAGTGGACTCTACCAAACGCTTAAGGAATAATTGGCACCAATATTACAAACTCTTCCAAAAGACAGAAAATGGGGAAACACTTCACAACTATGAAGCCACCACAACCTTGGTACCCAAACTACTAGAGCTGAATGCACACTCTATGACGCAGCAATTCCACCCCAGGGACACACCCAACAGAAAGGCCTGCATAGTCCAGCAAAGGACACATATGCCATGTTCACAGTGGCACTGTGGGTGACAGCAGGGACCTGGAAGTGCCTAGCTGAGCATCAGGACGGAAGGAGGAGAGAAGGCCTGTATATCTGGGCAGTAGGAGGAACACAGCACCGACAGGGAGTGGACCACTGTCCCTCTCACATAGTGCTCAGCAAAAAAAGAGAACATACAATATAATTCCACAGCTCAAAACAGGGAAAATGAGTCTATGGAATTAGAGGTCTGAAGAGCAATTATTTTAAACCTCTATGCCTTTGCACATGCCTTCCCCCATGCCCCGTGAACTCAAGTAGCTCCTATATAGAGCTGACTCGCTGGCCTCATCAAGATGACTGACCAAGGCCACCAGTGCCCACACTGCACAGCTGTGCACAGCCACTGCCTCCAGCTCCTGTGGATGGGCTGCTGTTTTGAATACCACTTCATTCCCATAGGCTAACTCAGTGTCTGACCTGAGGCCCTCGAAGGAATGTCTAATTTTTGCAGTGCCTCCATGCAGGAAGAAGAGAATGGCTGGGTGGAGACCACCATGGACTCAGGACTCCCGAAGCGTGCGCCGCCTCCTTGACTGGCCTGCGTGCTTACTGTCTGGCTGAAATCAACAACGTCAAGCCAAGAACTTCTCAGTTGTCAGGAGGAGCCCAGGAGGGTATACAAAGGTCTCCCCACACCTGCCACATTGTGAATTTCCTCCCGCCAAGTGGCGGACTCACCCATGAATCAGAGGGACAACACTCAGCTAGAAATCTCCAGTGTCAGTTAAAAAAACTATCAACTACATAACCACTCACATATGAGCCCAGGGCAGCCACTGATCAAGCTTAAGTCCCAAACACTTGCTACTACATCCTCAATGTTTTCCATTTCACCTGGGCGTTGTCTGTGAGGACCCTAAGGCTCTAAGCTTACACTATGTGCACTTTTCTGTATGTATCTTAAATTTCAATAAAAAGTTTGTTTTTTAAAAGAAATATGTTTACAAAACTAGAGCAGGACAGGGACTCCAACCTGAAGACACCGTGGGAGGCATCCCTCCCATGTCTGACTGGTCGCCCTGCAGCACCAGCGGCTCTGTGGGACAGCATCTCACAAACACGGGCTGGGGTCTCTCTCCTCAGCCCCTCACTGTATTCCTGTCTAGTGAGACCCTCTATGTTGGGACACTGTGACAGGTACTAAGGAAAAGGCAAAACCATCCAAAGGCTCTCTATTTCAGGAAACGTGTGGTCAGGTGGGGCCGGAGGAACAAGGGAGGGGGCAGGTGGGAAGGGGCAAGGAATTCCCTCCTATTAGGTGGCTGTTGGGACTGGATCAGGAAGACAAAGCACAGACCAGCATGCCACGACCTTCCAGAGGTAGGCAAGAGTGTCATGTCTGGGAGGAGGGCAATAAAGAAGTGGGGGCGGGAGGACTTCTGTACACTCCAAATCCCACATCTGGTGAACTGGGTCAGTCTAAAAACAAAGATAAGGACATAACTGGGTGAATCAGGTAAGTTAAAAAAAATAAAGACACAACTTCCAGTGAATCCCATGTGGCCCCCTCTGTGGCCAGCGTCCCGTCTGGGAGGGGTACGGCCACATGGATGGTAGAGACCTGTGTGCTTGGCTTCGTGGAGTGTCTCAAAGTTGACGAGCACCTTCCCCCACATTTTCTCACTGCTCCTCACAGCAGCCAAGTCCTCATATCTCCATAGGGTGTCACGAAGCGGCCCAAACAGCTTCAGGGCCAAACATTTATTCTGAATTGTCTTCTTCACCCTTACGAGAGTTGCAAGAAACAAATCTAAGAGGTTATGGCATAGAAAAGAATGAAATGAAAGGAGAACATTTTAGCAGCTTTCCTAAAATGTCACTCTTGTGGTAGGGAAGGGAGCCAGTCCAAGAGGCAGGCCAGCAGAGGTCTTCCAGTGACCTGCGATGCACTCGAAACCTCACAGCCAGATTCTAAACCAAAAGTGCCTACTTGTTGCAGTGTACACTCCACACAAACTTAGGGCCCAGGTGCACCGAGCATTCACCTGTATCACACCCTGAATCTTCACCACCGGCATAAGGTACTTGGTGGGCCTGGTATACAGATGAAAATGACCAAGCTTAGAGGTTTGAGGGATGGGCCCCTGATCACCACAGGGCGAGAGTCACACCAGGTCAGCTGGTTCCAGGCCCTGCATCTTCCTGGTTCTCAGCCACCTCCCTTAAAGACAATCAGAAGAGCGGTTTAATAAAATGGGAAGGAACAACTCTGCCGGGCAGTCTCCTTATTTGCAAACCTCATCTGCAAAAATGTCAATTCTGAGAACTGGGGACTAGCCCACAACATGTTTGTTGAATAAGCACCCAAAATATAAGTCGCAACCTTTACGCAACAAAGTTCATAATGTTTATTCATGTGAGAACATCTCAAACCCATGCTCAGATTCCAACAAGCCTTGACTGTTGTTTCCCATTAAACAAAGAAATAAACTAAAACAAGAGATAACAAGACTAGGTCTATCTGGCACCAACACATACTCCTAAGATATCACATGAGCATCACTGTATTTCAGCAAAGGAATCAAAGGCATTGCTCATGACTACTTCTGCCTCTTCTCACAACCCAGCCTGGTACTACCTTTAGAGCATCCGTGACCACCTACCACCTTGAGGGTTGCCCCACATGCAGCTCCAGGCAGCAGGCCTACCCCTTCCTCCTCCAGGGCACCTGCTGTGGTGCTGGCCCACAGAAGGCTCTCCCAAACCGGCTGTTGAAATTAGTTTTAGAGGGCTGGCCCAGTGGTGTAGTGGTTAAGTTCACATGCTCTGCATCAGTGGCCCAGCGTTCATGGATTTGGATCCTGGGCGAGGACCTACACATCACTCATCAAGCCATGCTGTGGCAGTGTCCTGCATGCAAAATAGATGAAGATTGGCACAGATGTTGTCTCAGGGCTAATCTTCCCCAAGCAAAAGGAGCAAGACTGGCAACAGATGTTGGCTCAGGGCCAATCTTTCTCAGGAAGAAAAGAAAAATCAGTTTTAGAAAAGTTACTCAAGGTCAGTACACTACAGCTAGAGAACAGGAAAGTGAATAGTATAATTAAAAAATCAACTTCTATCAAAATTGTTAAAATGAAATTTTGGCACTTAAATAAAGAAATAAACCTTCAGGAAAAGTCCGTTTTTTCTTGAACATCCTCCCATCCCTTTTGCTCCAGCAGGAACTGACACTCCTGGGAACAGGGCTTCCCCTAAAGGCCCTCTCAAGTGTGGCTGGTTTCTCCCGTGGAGAACGGTAGCTGGCCTCCTCACTCCTTACTGCTACTTCCAGACCAGTCTTCCTCTCTTCAGTAAAACTCCCAGCTTTCAATTTTATGTCTTTCCCCGAGCACCACTTTTCAGTCCGTGGACACCAGGCCGGGCCCCTCATCAGGTAACCCTCCTAGGCCTGACCTCCCCTTCCCATGTTCCCCCCATCAGGGATTTCTGTCTGTTTTGCTCAGTGTTGAATCCCCAGCACGTACAACACGGCCCAGCACAAAGGAGCTATTGATAAATATTCATAGAATGAATGCACTTAGGTGAGCCGCTGAATTATTTCCGGCCCCTCACAGTGTCAGACGAATGAAGCACTACCCATAACTACAAACGGTGCCTTAATGAATAGCGCGGACAGCTTCTTTCTTACAACATCATGGCTATGTACACGCTCCAGCTCTACGACCAGGTCGGTGCTAGGCAAGGACTGCTATGCAGAATCTCGGAACCCAGATTTTGCTCGAAGTCACTGAACCGAGCCTCCCCGGCAGCCACGTTAATGTCACGACCAGGCGAGCTCACGTCCTCACGGCGCCCAGCGTCCGACGCCCGCCCACGGCGCGCGCCCCGCCCATGCTTCCCAGCCCAGCCGGGCCCACTGCTCCACGTGGGAGCACGGTGAACAGCCAGTCGGCCACCAAGAGCCCGCGCCAGCTCCATCCGGGGCCCCGCCCCGCCACTAGGCCACGCCCCCGAGGGCTCGGCTCCACACCCCAGCCCCTCCGCACGCCCCGCTAGGCCCGGCCCCCGCCGGTTAGGTCCCGCCCCCGCCCAGTAGGGCGCGCCCCCCTGGAGCCACGAGGCCCCGCCCCCGAGGACTCGGCCCCGCACCCCAACCGGTCCGCACGCAAGTCGCAGACTTCGCCCCGCTAGGCCCCGCCCCCGCCCAAGGCCCCGCCCCCTATGGCTCAGCCCCTCCCCCCGCCCGTCCTGACGCGACAACCAGACCTCGCCCCGCTAGGCCCCGCCCCTGCCCTAGACCCCGCCCCCTATGGCTCGGGCCCGCCCCCGCCAGACGCGACTCGGCAGCCAGACCACGCCCCGCTTGGCCCCGCCCCCGCCCTGCCGGAAGTAGGCCGTTTCCCCCCTGGTCTCCAGGCCACTGACAGTCCGTCGTCGTGTCGAGGTCAACCCTTACCGGCGCCGGCCTTGGTCGGGCCGGCTGTGGACGCACGCGGGGCGGTACTACGGCCACACTGCCCGGGGGAGAAGCCCGCTCGTGAGACGGGGCGTGGCGGGGGTGGGGGCTAAGGGGCGGGGCCGAGGGGGGCGGTCAGGCGAGGCGGGGCATGCGAGCCGGGGCAGCAGCGCCGCCCCGCGGGCGTCGGCGCGCCCCGAGGACGTCAGAGCGCCGAGAGCGCCCTCGCGCCTGCGCGCCCACGCCGGCCCGCCTCCCAGGGTACGCTGGGAGTCCCCGCGCGGAGCGCTGGTCTGCGCCTGCGTGGTCCGCGTCTTGGTGGTTTTCTGCGGTGCTGGTGTGAGGTGCGCCTTGAAACGCTGACCCATTGGCGCGCAGCAAGCTGCACAGGCAAGGACTGGCTCAGCCACACTTTATGCCCCAAATTGACTAACCCTCGACCTGTTGCCCCAAAGAATCGACCCCCTGGAAGGACAGCCCTGGCAGAGAGGAGTCGCCCACGGAGTTTTGGGGAAATGGTGGGGGTCTCGATGACGTAAGAGCGGAGATGGAAGGACACTCGCACGCGCTTCGGGTGGTCCCCACCCTCCGAGAGTGCCCGGGAAGGAGTACACCGCAGGCGGTGATGACGCGGAGCCCAGTGAGAGCTCGCGGCTGCCCCCGGTCACTCTGCCCCTGGAAGGTCACCGGACAATCCTGGGGGAGCTGGGTGGGCAGTTCACGGGGGCCAGAGAAGAACGGGACTGGGACAGCGCCTTGTGGGCCTCAGGGTCAGGATGGTCTCAGGGTTGGCCAAAATGTAAAAAGGGGGTCAGGCACTTTGTATTATTGGCTGGCACCAGCCACGGTACCCGCGCAGGTGTGGAGACACGCGGTGCGAGACAGCTCGTGGGCTTCTGCAGCATTTCCGGAGGGCAGTTTGGCGGCGTCTTGGAACCAGGCAAGCCCCGTCTAGGATGGGTGCCAGGAAGGTAACCACGTGTTAGACGAAATGTCGGCCTGTAGAGATGGGTTGACTAAATGGAATACAGTCAGACGGTGGCACAGAATGTGGCCACTAAAAGTTAGATTGTATACATATCTATTCCTAAGGGAAAAAATTTATATCAGCTCCATAATGCATTCGTTTCCTACTGCTGCTGTAACAAATTTCTACAGATTTGTTACTTTACAATTCTGGAGGTCAGAAATCTGAAATGAGCCTTAGGAGGTTAAAACCAGAGTATCCACAGGGCTGGTTCCTTCCCGAGCCTCCACGGGAAAATCCACTTCTTGGCCTTTTCCAGTTTCTAAAGGCAAGAAACTCCATCTTCAAAGGGCAGGCACCCCAACTTCGTGGTCACATGTGCTCGCTGATTTTGACCCTTTTGCCTCCCTCTTAATAACGACCCTCGTGATTACACTGGTCCTATCCAGGTAATCTAGGACAGTCTCCTCATCTTAAAATCCTTAAGTTACTCACATCCACAAAGACCCCTTTGCCATGGAAGGTAACTATTGACAGGTTTGGGGATTAGGACATGGACATCTTTGGGGGCCATTATTCTGCCTACCATTCCTAATACCTGATTTTTTATTTTTAAAAAGTGTGTATTGTGTGTACAGAGTGAGTAGGAGCAGATAAACAGATGTCAGAGCATTTGTCTCTGGAAGTGGGCATTCTAGAGCTTTTCATTTTCTTGTCTCTGTCTTCTGGTTTTTCTACAAAGAGCGCGTGCTGCTCATGTGACAATCACATTGGAACGCCAGTGCACCGAGAGGCACCTCTCCACCTCTTGCCCTCTGCCTCCCTTCGTCCTCCCCACCCTCAGGCTGCAGTGGCCTCTGCCAGAAACCCAAACCTCCCTCATTTTCCTGCATCCGTCAGCTGTCTTCACTTGACAACTTGACATCTTGAACCTGCTCAGGGGGAACTCATGGGTGGGGTTGTCTGCCCCTGCGAAGCCAGTGCACTCTACAGGGCCAATTGGTGGCCTGACCCCCTTGTCCACTGGCACCCAATGAGCTACACAAGCAAGAACCAACCCCACTCGCCAGATCTGCTCCCAGCTCTCCCCCCCCAATCTGTAGTGTGCTGCCCCCTGCTGGCCACAACGATTACGCCAGGTCTGCAGTGAGGGGTTTGTGAAACCACTTCAAATCCCCCTGCTGGCCGGCCACCATGGCCTCAGGCGTCGGCCACCCATGGCCTACTCATGCCTGGGAGGGCACTTACCTGACCTCTGCCCTGCTACTCCAGCACTCGTGATTCCCTTTTGTCCTGCATGGTTTTTGCTCCTTTGCACTATCCACATTCTAAATACTATTAATTTTTTCCCCCTGGGGAAAGATTGGTCCTAAGCTAACATCTGTTGCCAGTCTTCCTCCTCACGCCCCCCCCCCAAAGCCCCAGTACATAGTTGTGTATAGTTGTAAGTTCTGGTTCTTTTATGTGAGCTGCTGCCACAGGATGGCTGCTGACAGATGAACCATGGCGTTCTGTGCCCAAGAACCAAACTCGGGCCACTGAAGTGGAGCGTGCTGAACTTTAACCATGAGGCCATCAGGGCTGGCTGTCTTTCAATTTGCTTTCTAATTTCGTGGGTCCCCCAGAGCCCCTCGAGGGCTACGACCTGTCCCCTGCTTGCTCACCAATGTCACCCAAATGCCTAAAACAGTTCCTGGCACACAGTAGGTGTTCAGTAAGTGCAGGTTGAATTGATGAATGCTGCGCGATTACAGCACATCAGCAGCCTGCTCTAACTTGTGCACATGGCAGCAGGACGGCTTGAAGGAACACCGCAGCCGTGTGCTGGGAGCTGGCAGACTCCCGCTGCGGGCCAGGCCGGGTGCTGACTCCCGGGGCCACCTCGTAGGTTTTCGGAGGTGGTGCTATAGGGCTGTTCTGCGTGTCTAGGAAGGTTCACAGCGTGCCCTCGGCCATCCTCCCTGTCAGCAGCGGTGTTTTAACTGGCGGGGTGCGGGTGTCATAAATTACTCAGCCCCCTCCCACTGATGGACATTAGGCTGTTTCCAGGGCATGGTTACCGTGTTGCGAAGAGACCTTCCCACCGTGTCTAAGGTCCTCCGTGAGCGTCTCCTGATCCGTACAGAGAAACGGGTGCGTGCGTGCGTGTTTCACGTGGGCCCTGTCGCGCCCCTAGAGCCAACTGACCGTCCCATCCATGTCATCACGGCCACACACGGCGTCACTCTGTCCAGTGCGACAGGGAGAGGCTCGGGGGTCTTCTGTCTGCGTGCTGCGGGGGGGGGGGGAGGGGCTCGGGGGGGGGGGGCAGGGGCGGGGCGTGGGGGGCCGGGCCTCCCCGCGGGCAGGCTTGTGCCCTGTTCAGGAGGCAGAGTTGAGAGGATCGGGGCCACAACGTGGAAAGTCACGTGGGGGCGCCGAGTTGGATCCCGGGCTCAGGGGAAAGCGGCGGGGGCTGGGCGCGCGGTCAGAGAAGCCCCGGGGCCGGGCCGAGCGGGGACAGACAGCAGCCCCGCCACCCCGGGGCCCTTGCCTCCGGAGACCGGCGGGTGGGCGAGCTCGCCACCCGCCCCTTCTCCGGGCACCATCCCAGGACGTGCCCCCGCCCCTTCCCGGGCCCCGCCCCCTGGCGTGGCTCCGCCCCGGCCCCGGCGGAAGCAGCGGCTCGGCGTCGGGTCAGCAGCAGCGGCAGCGCGAGGTGAGGTTCGGGGGTCTCGGGGCGTCCTCATGGTGTCTTCTGGGGGTCTCTCCCTGGCCTGGCGGCGTGGCGGGGGTCCCCGGGGCCAGAGCGCCCATCCCCGCCGCCCCCACGCCTCGCGGAGGTGACCGCGTCCGGGGTGGCCCGGCCGGGGGCGAGTGGGCCCCGGTTGAGGCCCCGGTTCCGATTACGAAGGTTGGGAAGGACCCGGCTTCTATCCTCCGGGCCGGGCCGGTCCTGCTGAGCGGCCCGTTCTCGCCCTGAAAGCATTAACTGGGCGCCAGTGTTCCGATCCTGGACCCTGGGGAGCAGCCCGGGCGGCGGGCCCGGTTCCCAGTGAGGCGCAGTCGTGGACCAGGGCCCCTGACCGGGGCTTGTGCGGAAGGCTGTCCGCTCGACATCTTTTGGGGGGTGTTACCTGTTTTCGTGGGGTTCTCAAAGGGATCGGTGGCCCGCTGGTTAAACGTCCTCCTAGCCCCGAGGCCCCGCCAAGGGGACACCCGAAGGTCTGCTCAGGCCTTCGAGGGGCGCTCGGTATGGGTTTCCTGTCCTTGTTAACCTCAAACCGTCTCAGGAGGGCTGGGCCCCTAACGTCAGACTGGATTCTGCGAGGGCGCAGCCTGGGGCAGCAGCATTGGGCTGAGGTCCTCGGCCCCTCCCGCCGCGGGGGTGGGCGGCGGCCGAGGTCAGCAGCCCTGAGCTCCCCCTCCTCATGCCGCTCCGGATCCCCCTCCAGCGATGCCGAGGATTCTGAGTCAGAGTTGGACTGACCACACCCTGGGCTCCCGGGGGCGGGGCAGACCCTGGTTCCTCGTGTGATGGTTGTGACTCTCGCCTGTTTCCTCGGCGGCCCTCTGCTGGACTTGCTGGGTGGCACAAGGGCCCCCTCTCTGCTCAGCAGGAGTGGAACGAGAGCCGCTTCCTGGGCTGGCCCTCCTTCCCACTCTGGACTCCCAGCCGGCTCTGGGCCCCCATCAGCATGGCTGCCGTGCCAGGCACTGACACATTCGAATGGGGCAGCGTTGTCAGGAAGCTGGGGGCTTCGGGCAGCAGGGAGCCTCACGTGGGCTTGAGTCATCCTGTTTGGCACAACCTTTCTAAAGGGCAGCTCCAATCGCATGATTTCCAGGCGGGGATCCTTTCTCTGCTCTCTGTCGCTCTTGAGTGAAACCCAGTTCCCTGCCCAGTCTCAGGGTCATGGTGCCCACAGGTTCCTCCCCTGCCGGCCCCACCTTCAGGGCCTCGGAAACACCCTTCCACAGTCAGCGCCCACGTGGGCTCTGGTAGCCCGTTTATTCAGGCTCTGAGCTCGTCCCCGCTGGGTTTCCAGGGCCTGTACCTGCTCTGGTCCAAAGGCCTTACTCTTGTCAGTCTGCCCGATGGCCTGTCTTCAGTGGCCTGGTCCCTGGGCTGACCCAGGTAGGGCAGAGGACATGCCCTGGCCTGTCCAGAGTCCCCAGCCCCCAGTAAGGGATCATGGAAGCAGGCTCCCCGAGTGGCCCCCTATGAATGCACGATCCTGAGTGCAGCCCCTGGGCCTGGGGTCCCCACCCCACCTGCTCTGTTCTGTCCAGGGTCCCTGTGGCTGGCTGCCTTGGGGAACAGTTAGCTGACCACAGCACCTGTCTCTCCTGCCCAGCTGCTTCAGGGCAGTGAGGCCTAGGCTCTTCACATCCTGGCGGGGGGTCTCTGGCTTTGTGGATGGCCTGGCCAGATGGGGCTGTGGCACTGCCTGCCCACCCAGCACAGCCCTCTTGTTCTCAGAGGGGAAAATAGGCTGAGCAGGAGGAAGGGTTTCCACAGCACTGCGCAAATGCTGCCTCAGTGCTCCCCCAACCAGGGTCTCCACACCACATCCAGGCCCAGGCTCCCCTCAACCCCTCCTTGCCCAGGCAGATGGGAGGTGGCGAGTGCAGGTCCCGGCACTCTAACGGGCAGGAGGTGCCCATGACGGCTGGTGCGGGAGGCCAGGAGGTGACTGTGGCCTCTGCTCCCACAGCCGTGTCCCCAAGCGCTGCGGTCCGTGGTGGCGTTTGCCAGGGAGCCTGGTGGGCGCAGCCTCCCTCTGCTCTCCCCCATTTTTACTCCTGGAGGCTGAGGCTGATAGAGGTGCTGGAGAAAGGGAGCACAGCAGGCCCTGACCCAGGGGGTGGCCGTGGCTTCTCCTGAAACGGGTCCTTGGGGTCCCATGTGGATGATCCCGCCGGCTGGATCTCTGGCCTGTTGGACCTTGAGAGAGTTTGGCTAGAACCTCCTCCTCTGCCTTCTGTCTAGAAAACCTTCCTCCCACCATGAACCTTGACATCCAGTGTGAGCAGCTGAGTGACGCGCGGTGGACGGAGCTGCTGCCTCTGATCCAGCAGTACGCGGTGGTCAGGTAGAAGGCATGCAGGGTCCCTGCGGGAGGTGCGGGTGGCTGGGGGTGGCAGGCGGGCTCCCTCAGCTGACACCACTAGTGGGCATGGTGTGCCCTGGAAGCACTTTACTTATGGACAGGCAGTGTAAATTTTGCATGATTTTCACGTGACAGAAAATGTTATTCTTCTCGTACTTTTGTTGAACCATTTGAAAATATAAACTCATTCCTGACCCATGCTGAGTGGGCGTATTTGGGCGGAGGCTCTGAGGGCAGGTGGGCAGAGCAGCCTGGCTCAGGGTCTCCAGCTCGTCTCCTTCCTCTGGGAATGCGGTGGCCTCACTGGGCTCTGTGGAGGCACTGCCTGTCCCACAGAGGGGCCCCTCTGCCTTTTGCCCTGCTTCCCCTGACGTCAGCGCCCCACCGCCTGGGGTACCCAGCATGGCCACTTTGACTGACTTTACCCCCTTTTCTGCCTGTGTCCTTTCCTGTGCCCGGTCCCTGCAGGGTCCCACATGGCATGTAGTGTCACCTCTCCTTGGCCCCCTCCCATCCACGATGGTCCCTGTCTCCCGCCTTGTCCTTGGCCATCTGACTCTTGAGTCTGCTTGCCCTCTGGAGAAAGTCCACCTGAGGTCTCCTTGTGCTGAGTCACACATTTTTGGCAACATAGAAATGATGTGTCCTGTCTGGCATGTCGTATTGTGGGGTGCACGATTGTGACGGCACCATGTGGTCGCCCCTGTGTCTATACAGTGCCTGCTGGCTCTCCACCATGAAGTTACTCTTTTCCCTTTGGAAGTGTAAATGTCTCGAGTGAGAGATCTCGAAGCTCTTCTCACACCTTGTTTCTGCTCAGACTCTTGCCTACTGATTTTAGCATCCATCGGGGGTCTCGCCAGAACAGTTATTACTGGGCTTTTGCCTAATTGGGGTTTTTAGTTTCTCTGTTCCTTCCACATTTATCACTTGTCATTCTGCTGGGAGCAAGAGCTGGCTTTCCTCCCCCCTGTGCTTGTTCACCGTTTCAGTCAATCGGGATGGACTTGATCCTGGGCTATCACCTAGTGCCATTGCCTGTCTCGTGGCTCAGTTGTCCATGCTGGCCGTGCCCCTCCCCAGCGCTGCCTCACAGCTGTGCCTCATGCAGCTTTGCTTTCCTTCCTAGAGGTAGAAGGAACTTTGCGCGCGTCCATATGCTGGTATCTTCTACAAAACTCACAAGAAGGTCCACACGCTTTTTCTGGTTCACTTTAAAATGTCTTGGCTGTGACCCACCTTGTTGAGTTCTTGTCTCACCGCTGGGTCACAACCTGCTGGGTGAAATGACCATCCGCGTGTCCTGTCCGTAGGCTGGACGACTGTGGCCTCACAGAGGTGCGGTGCAGGGACATCAGCTCTGCCCTCCAGGCCAACCCCTCCCTGACCGAGCTCAGCCTTCGCACCAATGAGCTGGGCGATGCCGGTGTGCACCTGGTGCTCCAGGGCCTGCAGAGCCCCACCTGCAAGATCCAGAAGCTCAGGTGAGCCTGCACAGGGACGTGTTCCCAGGTGCTCCCCCGCCCTGGGCTCGAATTTGAACCTGCCTGGGCGGTCCAGGGACGTGGAGACTTGTGGGTGGCTGCAGGAGGGGAGGAGGTCGCAGCAGGTGTCCAGGCTTTAGCCAGAGGCCCTGGAGCCTGGGGCTCCTCCCGTCTCATCCCAGGCCCTGCCCCAGCCCTGCCCCAGGCCTCTCCTCCCACCTCGTCCCAGACCCCTGCGCCTCGGGGCACTGAGGTGCATCCGAGCCCACTTACAGCCCCTCCCGTGCATTGCCTCCTGCTCTCTGTGCTCGGCCTGGAGACCCCAGAGCCCCGACTGGAGGAGGAGCAGGCGAGGCCGGGCTACGTGGTTCCCCGTGGGCATGGGTGCAGAGGTGGTGGGACTGCATCTGTCTTGCTCGCCTACTGCAGACGGAGGGGCGGCCACGCCAGGCTTGTGGGAGCCCTCCTGATGGCCAGGTGTGCTCCAGCCTCCAGAACTGCTGCCTGACGGAGGCCGGCTGTGGGGTCCTGCCCAGCGTGCTGCGCTCCGTGCACTCCCTGCGCGAGCTGCACCTCAGTGACAACCCACTGGGGGACGTGGGCCTGCAGCTGCTCTGCGAGGGGCTCCTGCATCCCCAGTGCCACCTGGAGAAGCTGCAGTGAGTGTGTGCCCTCCCTGGGGGTCCCTGAGATGCCTGCCCCACCCCCAGCCACACCCCGCCACCCTGCGCCTGCCCCGGGCAAGCCCCTCACTGCATGATGGGAACCTGCAGGTGCTTCTCCGTGACACTGGGCTCTGGCCCTCAGGGAAGAGCTGGCAGCTGGCCTGTGACCCCACACTTCAGTGTGGGGCAGCCTAGCCACCAGGAGCGTGCAGACGGGCTCAGCAACACTGGAAGGAAGCTGAGCCAGAAAGGCCCAGCTCAGGAGGCTGGGTATCTTCCTGAGTCCAGTGAACCCGGAGCTTGGGGTGGGGCTCGTGGTCAGTGAACAGTTTCCACGAGGCTCCAGGCGCTCACTGTCCAGGGAGGCAGCCTCTCAGGCACAGCTATGCTTCACTGCCCATCTGTTCTCCCGCCTCCATGGGCCTCACAGCCTGGGTGGGCGAGGAGACCCAGACAGATGCCCCCTCGGCTGGGACACTTTCCTGCAGGTGAGGGGCTGACTGCCCGCCTGTCCCCAGACTGGAGTACTGCAACCTGACTGCCGCCAGCTGCGGGCCCCTGGCTGCGGTGCTCAGGGCCAAGCAGGACTTCAAGGAGCTCACAGTGAGCAACAACGACATGGGCGAGGCCGGCGTGCGGGTGCTGTGCCAGGGCCTTGCAGAGTCAGCCTGCCAGCTGGAGACGCTCAAGTAAGTGTTGGGTGGTTGGGGGGCAGGGCGGCACTGCAGGCAGGGGTTCTCCCCAGCTCACGCGGCACCTCCTGTGCCCCAGGCTGGAGAACTGTGGCCTCACGCCAGCCAACTGCAAAGACCTGTGTGGCATTGTGGCATCCAAGGCTTCGCTGCGTGAGCTGGATCTGGGCAGCAACAAGCTGGGCGATGTGGGCATCGCTGAGCTGTGCCCTGGGCTGCTGAGCCCCAGTTCCCAGCTCAAGACCCTGTGGTGAGTTGGCCTCTGGGCATGGGGGCTGCGGGGGTCCGAATAGCTCTGCATGTGCTGTGTCACTCGCCCCGTCCCTGCTCCTTCTCAGGGCCATGGCCGTGGCCGTGGCCAGGTGGGCAAGGGGCTTGCGGGGCAGCTGGGTGAGGGGATGTCCAAGAGTGTTGCTGTGCTGCTGTCCGGCTGGCGTCCCCCTGGTGGCCCTGCAGTGACGCGCCCCCTCCCCCCCCAGGCTCTGGGAGTGTGACATCACAGCAGGGGGCTGCAGAGACCTGTGCCGTGTCCTCAGGGCCAAGGAGAACCTGAAGGAGCTCAGCCTGGCAGGCAATGCACTGGGCGACGAGGGTGCCCAGCTGCTGTGCGAGAGCCTGCTGGAGCCCCGCTGCCAGCTTGAGTCCCTGTGGTGAGTGCGGGTGGGGGGCAGACTGGGCCCCTGCGGAGATCAGGACACCCGAAGCGACCCCAGCAAGGAGGGAGATGGGCCAGGAGACTGGGAGAAGGGTGCTGGGGGCCAGGCCAGCTGCCTACCAGAGGGCAAGAGGCAGGCGTGAAGAGGGGACATCAAGGCAGGTGGCTGTGAAGGGGGAAGGCACCGTTTCCTTGGAGGGCAGGGAGGATGGTGGGAGGCTGAGCTGCCCAGAAGCCAGGCAGGAGCTAGGGGGTACCATGCTCCAGTGCACGGGGCCTCCCAGGGCACCTTGGAGGCGTGGCCCCAGTCCTGGTTTGTCCCCACAGGGTGAAGTCTTGCAGCCTCACAGCTGCCTGCTGCCACCACTTTAGCACGATGCTGACGCAGAACAGGCATCTCCTGGAGCTGCAGATGAGCAGCAACAAGCTGGGGGACTCTGGCGTCCAGGAGCTCTGCCAGGGCCTGGGCCAGCCCGGCAGCACACTGCGAGTGCTCTGGTGAGCATGTGCATGAATGTACGTGCACTTGTGTGCATGCACGTGTGATGGTGTGTGCATATTGCCATGCTGGCTCGGTTCTCATCCTAAGGGGTCAGGGCAGAGGTCCCAGCCCCTGACTGGCTCGTTCTCCTTCCTCCGTGTGGGTTCCCCCGTCTCTCTAGGTTTCCTCTCTGTTTCTCTTAACTATCATCCAGCAGCTTCCAGAACGGGGCCTGGAGAAGGTGATTCTTGGAGCAGGTGTTGGGGGCAGGCTGGCGTGTGCATGTGTGCGTGTACACGTGCACGTGCTGTGGTGCCCGGCCTCTGCGCCAAGTCTCCGTCCCTGGACCTCTGCGGCATCTGCTTTGCTGTGGCCTGGGGCTCAGTGCTCTTGGCTCCTTTTCTGTGCTGCTCGTGCCCTTGACGGTCTCTCATCCCCTTTCCATTTCCTTCTGGACAGACACGCTTGGGAACGCATCGTCAGGTCTTCTCTCCACTTGCTTTTCTTTGGGTTCTTGTTCTGTGTCGTCCCCCCATCAACTCGGTCTTATTTCTGCCGTCGTGTAGCTTGTCTGTTCCCGCGTGTCCCAGGCTGTGCCTCTCGGGCACTTTCCTGGGTGCAGGCTGGAGCACAGGGCTGAGAAGGGATCAGGAGCCCGAAAGGGATCCTCCAGCTTCTGCTGCCAGGATTGTGGGGGCGCTCTGGAGCCAGGCAGGGAGGAGGCTGAGGGTCAAGGTCCCTGTAGACACAGGGCTGCCTCCGCTGCCACATGGGGCGGGGCCATCCTCCGCCTCAGAGAGGCTCCTTGGCGTTGTCTTTGCCTCGTTGTCCTGCCACCCTGGGGGCTCCTCAGCCAGTGTCACCCCGACCCTGGTGAGAGTGGGTCTGGGGACCCAGCCTTCCTCCTGTCTGGGGCGTGTATCCGTGGCCTCCCTCTGGCCTGGAAGCATTCGTGCACTCAGGCCTCCTGTGCCCTCCACCCTCTCAGCTCTCCCCTTGGTGCCCCCAGGTGGAGAGGAAGCAAGGGTGGGTGGGAGGCCTTCTGGGTGGACAGCCAGCTCCACTGTGTTCTCCTGTTGTCCCCGTGTCCTCCACACCACTCCTTCCAGAAGGCCCTCTGGTGCTCTAAGTCTAGGATATGCCCAGCTCATGTCAGCCGGCGCCCATGGTGCCCACTAAGGGGAGTTCTGTGTGCGCCTCCCATCTTCAGTGGGGACAGCTGCCCGGGGCCAGCAGTCAGTTCAGGCCAGCAGACATCACGAGAAAACCACACGCCAAGGCTGAGATTTGAGGAACAGCTCCAGCCCTGGGGATTAGCACACCATGTGCAGCGTGTTTCAGGGTCTGTGGGTGTGGTGGTGTGTAGACCCCCTTACCATCCCGCACATGTGCAGATGGCAGCACAGGTCCAGGTCACTCTGTTGGTCAGTGGCAACCTGGGGCACCCTCTGTCCTAACTCCACCCTGCTTTCTGCCCAGGCTGGGGGACTGCGACGTGAGCAATAGTGGCTGCAGCAGCCTGGCCTCACTCCTGCTGGCCAACCGCAGCCTGCGTGAGCTGGACCTAAGCAACAATGCCTTGGGGGACCCGGGCCTCCTGGAGCTGCTGCAGAGCCTCGAGCAGCCTGGCTGCGCCCTGGAGCAGCTGGTGTAAGTGACGCATGGGTGGTGTGGCCGGGTTGCCGGCTCAAGCCGACCGGGGAGGATGGCGAGGCAGGTGGCACAAGGCCCACTCACTCCCTGCCTCCCATGCAGCCTGTATGACATCTACTGGACACAGGAGCTGGAGGACCGCCTGCAGGCCTTGGAGGAGAGCAAGCCAGGCCTGAGGCTCATCTCCTGAGGCCCCGCTCCTGACACTCCCAGATGGCCCCCTCCCTTCCCACAGGACCAGCCCCTGGCTCTAACTGAAGAGAAACGCTCAAATCAGCTTACTTCTGTGAAGAAATCTGGACACTTTATAATTATTAAAGCACTCTTTTGGCAGGAGGGTCTGTCCTTCTTCATGGGGTCCCCACAAGGCGCCTCCATATTGAGGTGCAATACTTTGTGAGCACTGTGCTGCCCAGAATCACCACAAATGTAGCAGCTTAAAACCACCTCGGGGCTCTAGCATGGGGCCTGCAGGCTGCCACTGGGCATTGGCCAGGCTTGGTTCCCAGGGGGCCACAGGCCTGGCCGGAGTTCCCATATCACTGGCAGATCCCACTCCTGCAGCTCCTGGAGGCCCCACCTAGACATCTACCTCCTCAGGGTCTGCAAGGACCAGGTCTTAGCCTGACTTCCCGTGTTCTGTCCTTGCAAGTGGCAGGAGCCTGGCTTGCCTTGGCCAGCAGTCTCTGGGGTTGTCGGTCAGCGGCTTGGCTGACAGCCTCCTATGTGGGATGGAAGGCCTGTTGAGCGGCTCCCTGGGCCATCTGCGGCTACAGCCTCAGGCCTCTAGATTGCTGGCACCAGAATGCTCTCTCAGCAGAGCCCAGGGCCTCTGGACCGGAGGGCAGGGCCCACCCTTGAGTCTAGCTGGCTGCGTCCTGCTGTGGGTGGTCAGCATAGGGGTGACCTGCCCTGAGTGGCACAATCGAGAGGGGCCGCTGCTCGGTGTGGCGCATGGGACACTCAGCAGCTTCCCAAGGCCCTGGTACCTGGGCAGCAGCTCTGGCTCGTTGCTACAAAGCCCTCCAAGCACCCAGGGTCTTGGTTTCTCCTACGATCCCCAACTAGAAGAAACCAGGACTCCGTGGAGAAACGGGCAGCCCCGGGTTTGGGCAGGAGGTGCATAGGGTGAGGCCAAGCGTCCACTGCCAGAACCCTGTCTCCTGAGACCAGTGGGGCTGCCCAGGCACAGCTGCTGGAAGGGTTCCCCACTGCCAAGCAGAGCCAGGGGAGCAAGGGTCACCACCACTGAGGGCCAGGGAGGCAGCTGCGGCCCAGCAAGGACCATGAGCAAGGCACCACGGACACCTGCCCAGTGACCCTCGCTCATCCTGGGAGTGTGAGCCTGGGTGGGGTTGGGGGCCCTGGAAGTGGGGAGATGGGTGGCAGCCCCAACCCCAGGGATCAGCACTCGTGCAGCACCGAGAACAGAACCAGCCTCCGGGTGGGGCACTGAGGCCCCACGTCCCAACCAGCTCTGGAGCCCGCCAGCCCAGCAGAGGGCAGCCACGGGACAAGGCCTGTGCTCTCAACACCAGGGCGACGCCAGCGGCAGGCAGAGACCTCAGAGGAGCCTTGAGAGCTGGGAAAGCACCCTGGGAGACTCACAGGAACTGCCCCATGAGCAAGCGTGGCTGCATCCTGGAGCTGGCAGGTCCGGGGTGGAGGTCTTCCCTCTGCAGCCAACGCCCCGAGGTTCAGCCAGTCAGGGGACAGGACAGGCCTCTGGGTGGGGGGTACACAGAGCCCCCTGGTCTACTCTCTCAACCTCTCTAGGTTTGAAATTCTCCCAAAAGACAGGTAAGGAGAAAAAGCTGAGCAAACAAGCCCTTCAAGGGTCCTCCCCCCAGGAATGGCGCTGGAGCGTCACCCTCACCAGTGAGCAGGGAACTGCAAATTCAGCGTGTTTTTCTGTGTGTGAACATTCTCGCTGTGGCTGTGGATGTGGCTGTCTCCCGCAGCCTGGTGCCCACCACCACCCACACCCCAGCTGGAACCGGCTCCTGAGCTGGCCTGAGGGGACAAAGAGCAGAGTGGGAGGCTGGGGCACCCTCGTGCCTGCTGGGTCGTCTGCCCAGGATGAGCGTCCAGGAGGAGCAGCTCCTGCCCACCGACTCCCCACCCTCCGGACGAGGTCTCAGGTGGGCAGGGGCCCACCCGAGGTCAGGGGGCAGCAAGGAGGACGCGGAGCTGCAGACTTTCATCATCGCTTTATTTGTTCTGTCTGCTCATGGAGATGACACTCCTCTTGGGCCACAGACACCCACGACCCCTCCTCCCGACCGCAGGCACCCGGCCGTGGAGTTTCTGACACGATGCCCTTGAGGGGCCAGCCTGGTGATCTCGGACCCCACACACACACGCCCTCCAGGTCAGTCACGTTAGATGAAGGCTCCGAAGACACACTCAGGGCTGCCCGCTTAGATCTGCCCCTTCTGAGCCATCTCTGGATGACCATCCTTCCCACGTGCCACCCGGGTGTCCAGCACGGACACCCCAGGGCCTCGGAGTGGCCCAGGGCCCACGGAGTGGAGAAAGGGGCCTTGATACCTCTGCCCGGGCCGGGCCATCTGGGCCCAGAGATCAGTGGGCTGACCGCACATGAAGGGGAAGGGGCTGACCACCCCTCTCTCTGCTGGGACTGGCTGGCCCAGGGCGAGCCCCATGACACCTGCCAGCCCGAGAGAAGCCTCAGCAACCAGGAGCATGGAGCACATGTGCGTGCCCCCATACACATGTGTGTTCACAGATGCCACATGCACACAGGCTGGAGAAGGGGACCCCCATCACCCCCTCCTCTCAGGGCCCCTCTGTGTGCACGAGAAAAAAGGAAAATAAAACCGCGAGGCCAAGGCCCACCAAGAGGTTCCTGGTGGGAACCCCACGAAGGACGAAGGGGACAGCACACCTCGGTTCCGGGCGGGTCCAAGGCGCAGCGTCAGTTCAGAGCTGGCACCCCCTCCATCTCGGCCTCCCCGGGTCCCTGGGGGTTGTCTGGGCCAGGCAGGGGGTCGTCCGGCCGAGGAAGAGGGTCATCCGGCCCAAGTGGGTGTCCGTCCATGCTGCCAACGGCTCTGCCCTGGTCTCCTCTGCTCTGCTGCTTCTGCCGCCGTGTCTCCTTGTACCTCAGGGTGATGTCTCTGGGGGTGGCAGGGGCCGTGTCACCACCAGCTGGCCCACGGTGGTCCCATGAGCCACAGCTCCAGGACTGAGGTGGCTGCTCCACAAGGGGAAGCTCACACAGCCGCAGGCCAGGGACCAGAGGGCTGGCAGGGGATGACAGAAACCACGCAGAACCCAGAGGCCAGGTAAACCCAACCCAAGAGATGGCTGGCACCCGCTGGAGCCATAGGGTACCCGCTCCCCGGGGCCACAGTGCTCACCGCAGGAAGAAGCGCCAGGCAGTCCAGGTGAGCAGGAGCACAGAGCCGAGCACCCAGCACTGGGCGATGTAGAAGGGCAGCGACAGCGTGAGCGTGTGCGGGTCATACTTCACCACGATGAGCAGCTCCGTGGCCGTGATGGCCGCCACCAGCCAGGCCTGCTGGCCCAGCTTCTTGTGGAGCTTCCTGCAGAGTTAGGGCACCAGGCTGAGCGTGCGGACCATGAACAAGGGGAGGCACGGGCCCCACCCCGCCCCACGCGCTGCCCCGCTGCGCTCACGGGTCATCCATGAAGTCGTAGATCTCCCGCATGGCCACGCCACCCACGTTCACAAAGAAGACCAGCCGCAGGAGGACCAGGTAGTGCTCGGGGGGCAGCCACAGCACGAACTTCAGGTAGAAGGTGTTCAGTTCTGCCAACAAAAACTGCGGGACAGAGGAGGGTGGGGGCGAGTCTGGCTGCCTGGGGGCCGCGCACGCGAGGCCAGCTGGCCTTACCACCAGGATGATGCCGCACACAGCCAGCCAGCGGCGCAGGCTGGAGGCAGGCTTCCACTCGAAGCGGACCCAGCTGTAGGGCGTGAACTGGAAGACGATCCTCTTCATCTTGCCCCTGGAACCACGGAGCCCGTCAGCCTGTGGCCGTACTCCCCTCACAGGGCCTCCAGGGGCTCTGAGCACAGGGCAGCACCCACTGGCTGGGGGTCCTCGCCCACCCACCCCCAGGCACCTGCGATGCATGGGAGAGAAGACCCCACTCCCCAGCGCCCCCCATGGCTTTTCCTGGACTGTTTCTTTCCTTTAAATTCCAAAGTAAAATAGAGTGCCTGCACCTACTACATAAGAAGGGCAGGGAAGGGACAAAGAGGAGCTGGTTAGAAGGGACGGGCCAATGCCATGGCCACTGCACAGGCCTTGCGGGTTCCCACGGGCAGCCCAGGGGCGACTCCTGGGTGGAGATGACAGGAGGAAGAATCCTCGTCAGTCGCCCCGCGTGAAAAGCGCATTAGAGGGAGGCCGGCCTGGGTCTAGGGGCCACTTCATGGGACGTACTTGTAGGTTGGAATGTTCCAGAGACCCTGCCACTTGTATGTCTTCAGGGACAGCCACTCAAGGGTCTTCATGCCGCAGTAGATGCCCAGCCCGTTGCAGACAAGCACGTCCATGATCCACTGCGGGGGGCCAGGCGGGAGGCAGGCTCCATGGACCCACAGCCCCAGACTGCCTTGTCTGAGGGGACCCTATGCCCCTGTCCCTCCCGCCATGGGCAGCCTGGGCCTTGGGACACAGGGCCTCAGAACAGGCAGGACGCTCCAGGACCCAGCCCCAGGCTGAAGCTTGGGAGGGGTGCCCAGCGGAGGCAGTTCCCACCCCCGGGGAGTCACCAGCATGCACGCGATCCCCACGTGATGCCATGGCACCTACGTGATCCCACCAGCACTCGCTGAAGTTGGGCAGCTGGTGCTCCAGGCTGTACTCGAGGAACTCGAACATCACGCTCACGATCATGCACATCCACCAGTCGCGGATCATGAGGGTCTGCGGGCGCAGCTAGAGTATCAGCCTCCTCGGAGCACAGCCTGGACACCCATGGGTGCAGCCCCTCCTGCCCCTGCCGCCCTCAGAGGTGACAGAAGCGAGGCATCGGCAGTGGCAGGTGCTCCTCCAGCTGCCTCGACTTAAGACTTTCAGGTGGCCACTTGTGTACCCAGGGCCTGAGGGCGTGGGCCCACATTCACCCTCACCAGGAGTGAGGCAAGGGTGGTGGCCAGTAGCCTCACGGGGGGTTAGTCTCCACTGTTCTCACTGGCCACCACAATGCCAAGGACAAGCGTGGGTCAGGGTCGGGGCCTGGAGCTCCCAGGCAGTTTACAGACCCTCTGGACAGCTTGCCCATCCTGTACCGCGGCCCCTGGGCCCTCACCCACCACTCAGAACCTCAAACTGTAGGCAGGAAACAGACCCAGAGCACAGGATGGGCCCAAAAACCACGGTGTCCCCACTAATGACAAGGTCACCCTACCTTCAGGTACCAGCCAAGAAAGTGCGCGGGCACGAAGCCGTCCAGCTTGTCCTATAGGTGACAGGACACAGGCCTCATGAAGGCCCTGCCCTGTGTACGGTCCTCACCCCCACGTTCCCTCACCTCCATGCTCACCCCCCCACAGCCCTGCCTGGAACCAGGAGGTACGGATGTCCCACTTGTCCCTCAGGGCCCTGGGGCCTCCTCTCCCTTGGGGAGCCCCCTCACTCCCGCATGTGCATCACTGCACCAGCTCCCACCCCGACAGCCCCTCTGAGCAGTGCCTGCCTGCCCCAAGGGGCAAGGCTGGGCTGCATGCACATGTGGCTGTGGGCGTGTGCAGACGTCACAGCCTAACCACCACAGAGAGCAGGTGCCCCCTCCACAGCCCCTCTAAACCGACTGGGCCGAGAGCAGGTGTTGCACTGGGAGGAGGGGTCGCGTCCCCACCTGTGGCTGCACGGCCCTCAGGGTTGTCCACACCTGTGGCTACACGGCCCTCGGGGCCCATACCTGCTCCAACGAGGCTGAGCCCGAGGGGAGCCCTGGGGCAGGCAGGAGGGAGGCCAGGCCTGCCAGGGACCATGCTGCCCCACCCCACGCATGTCTGCATGGTGACCTGGGTCCAGAAACATCCCCGCCTGTGGCAGCGCCTAGAGAGCACCCCCTCCTGGGAGAGCTCTGCCCTGAGTGCCCTAGCCGGCCGCCCCCGCGTCCTCACCCAGACGTTGTGGAAGGGGTCGCTCTCATTGTCCGCATCATAGATGAGGCAGTTTCCCCCGTAGTCCCTTTCTGGCAGTGGGACCCCTAGCCTGGGGTCGACATACTTCAGAAACTGGCGGCCGTCCTGCACGGTCTGCAAGCCCAGAGCCCCAGTTAGTGTGACCCAACGCAGGCACCCACCTCTGTCGCCGACACCTCGAGGCTCACACGTGGGACAAGGTTTGCAGTGTGCGGCGACACCTCCAATGACCGTGAGGGCAAGCACACGTCTCAGCAGCCTCCCCTACTCAGGGCTGGGTGGACCGGGGGAGTCCCAGGTCTGAGGTGACGCTCCATACCCCATGCCCCTAGCACAGCACCGCATGGGGTCACAGGTGCGCCTCCGAGGGAGGGGTGGGGTGGCCAAGCACAGGGTGCAGGCACAGACCACAGGTCTCACTGCTTCCCCTCCCCACGTCCGTTCAGGGCCCAGACCCCCCTGAATCGCCCTCTGGGACACTCCTTCACACAACATGGGGACAGCCTTTCCCAGACATGCTGACACCAACACCAGCCAAACGCTCCTCCCAGCCACAGGACAAAGGAGGCTTTTGGAACTGACTGACGGAGGAGGAGTCCCCCGAGCAGGCACAGCCTCACTCCTCCCTCCAGGCCCCCTCCAGCCACCCACGGGGGCCTCTGGTCCACAGAAAGGGGCCCCTGGACATCTATGCTCCTGCCCCGAATACCAGCCAGGGGACCAAGGGGGGAGGAGGATGGGGTGATGAGATGTCATCCGTGGCACATGTGGGCAGACAACACTCAGACCTGCACCCTGCCACATGACCGAAGCCACCTGAGCTAGACAGAGGCACTGCTGGTCCTGCAGCTTGACCCTCCCTGGCTGGGAGGGGTCTCTGGACGTGACCCTGAGATGGCAGCATCATTACTAACTAAAATTGCTCCACGTCTAGCTTGTAACCACAGGACCTGGGGCCCCATGAGGACAGCACCAACTCCGTGGGGTCCTGAGTCAGGAAATCAGGGCAACAGGGGTCCAGATTCTTGGACACTCGAGCACTGTGAGACTGAAAACTCGCACAAGTGTAGGCAGTCTCTGTCCCAGAGCGTCTCAGGGCCAACACAACCCACTGACGGCAGCTCCAGCCCTGGCAGCCCCGCTCAGACGGGCCCCAAGGTCAAGGCCAGGAGCCTCTGCTCCAGCAGAGGCCAGCGGTGCCCGTGACCCTCGGCCCTCCCTTGCTGATACAGCTCCCTGGGAGAGGACAGCAGCCTGTGGGAGAGGGACGCAGAGAAGGAGTGCCTCAGAGTGAGCGAGGGGAATCGGCTGCACTTACAGCCATCTGCAGACACACTGGTTGTACACACACGGCTCCATGCCATCGGCTGAGGGCCCAGAAGCAAGGAGCCCACTGCGCCCAGATCCTGGCTCCTCAGACTGTCCTCCAGTGAAGGAACCAGGGCTGCTTGGAGGAACAGCCGGTTCAGGGCCTGGGCAGGAGATGCCCAAGGTGGGCCTGGAGCATCTTGTGTGCCAGAGGGAAGCGCTCCCCAAAAAGTGCATTGAGGGGTTGTGCCAAAGGGAGAGGGGAGCCAACTGGAAGAGCTCCCTGTGGCCAAAGGAACAACATCAGTAATGGAATGGATTATAACCCAGAGTATAAGAGAGCCCGACAAGTCCATGCTGCTCCAGACAAGTGACTAAATACATTAATAAATGGTGGGGAAGACACAGTCTGCCAGGCACAAGGATTCCAAGTAATATGCAGATGCTCCCTGTCAAGGTGGGGTGCTCCACTCACCCCCTGAAGAGTGGACCTCCCCCCAGAGCACGGCATTGGGGGGACCTGGTAGACATACTCAGCCCAGGATGGAGATCAGATGTCAGCATCAACAGTGATGACATGTTGATCACATGAACTCTGACCCCGTCAAGTCATGAGAAAACACCACACAAATCCCAAGTAACCCTGACCCCAAAACCAGGAAAATCACAAACAATACCTCTTATGAGTATGGATGTAAGAATCCCCAACAGAACACTAGGAAACTGAATCCAGCAGGACAGAAAAAGGGTTAAGACACACAACTGAGGGAGATTTATCCCAGGAATGCTGAGCTGGTTCAAACGAGAAAATGCATCAACATCATACATCATATTAATAAAGGGAAAAAACCCACATGATCATCTCACTGGACACAGAAAAAGCATCTGACAAAACCCAATACCCTTTTATGATGAAACACCCAACAAATTAGGACCAGAGGGGAACTTCCCTCATCTGATAAGGGGCATCTATGAAAAAGTCACAGCTTCCGTGTCCTTCATGGTGAAGGACCGAGAGCCTCCATAAGGTCCAGACACGACAAGGCTGTCCACCTGGCCAGTCTAGGCGACGTAAGACTGGAGGCTCTAGCTGAGCAGTGAGGCAAGAGCAAGAACAAGACACAGGTTGGGAAGGAAGAAGTGAAACCTTCTCTCTGCAGATGACATGACCCTGTGCACAGAAAACCCACCAAACTACAGCAGGGCAGCTGGAGCTCACAGCTGCTCACAGGTGCAGCAAGGCCGCAAGACAGACCAATACAGAAATAAGCTGTATCTCTATTCACCAGTAATGAGCAAACCAGAGACGAACCGGAAAAAAAAATCCACTTACAACAGCATCAAAAAGAATAAAACACTCAGGAATAAAGGTAACAAAGAAAGTGAAGCCAGATTCTGAAAACTACAAAACGTTGCTGTAAGGCAACAAATGGGAATCCCACGTTCGCGGAGCAGCTGGATGCGACAGCCCCCACAGTGATGTGCAGACTCCGTGCAGTCCCTGTCAGAGGCCCACCCGCTCTCTTTACAGAAATGGAAAAGAGGATCCCAAAACTCATATGGAGACACAAGAGACCTACAAGAGTTACAACCATCTCGAAAAAGAGGAATAAAGTAGGAGGACTCACACTTCCCCATTCCAAATCCCACTTGAGGGCCGTTTACTAACCAGGACGAGGCCTATGCAAACGGTCCAGGCCACCAAACAGGGATGTCTGGGAACCATCACAGCCCAGAGGGCCCGAAGGGGGATCCTGGGGCAGAGAAGGGACAGTAGGGGAAAACAGAGAGAATCTAGAAAAGTAGAGATCTTGATTAATGATCATGTATTGATATTGGCTAATTGTAACAAATGTCATATTAATGTAAGATGCTCATAATAGGGGAAACTGGGTGCAGGATTTACAGGAACTCTGTACTAATTTCACAATTTTGTGAATCTGTTTTAAAATAACAAAATGAAATATTGACCATAAAAAAAGAAACCAAAACAAAAGCCGGCCTCCCAAGAAGATACAGAAATGGCCAATAAGCACATGAAAAGATGCTCAACATCACTAGCAATCAGGAAAACACAAATTAAAACCACAAGAGATATCATTTCAACACTTCATACCCATCAAAAAGAAAGGGGGGAAAGCACAAGTATTGGCGAGGACGCTTGTGCACTGCTGGCGGGAACGTACATCGGGGCAGCTGCCATGCTAAGGAGTGTGGCAGCTCCTCTTACACGTGAAACACAGAATTACCATAGGACCCAGCAATCCCACTCCCAGGTGTGCACCCAAAGAAACAGAGCAGGGACTCCAACAGACATCTGCACACCCACACTGACAGCAGAGTTATTCACATCAGCCAAACAGTGAAAACAACCCAAGTGTCCACGGAAAGATGAACGGATAAACAAAACGTGGTCCATCCACACAGTGGAATATTACTCAGCCTTAAAAAGGAATGGAATTCTGACACGTGCTACCACATGGATAAACCTTGAGGACATCATGCTGAGTGACACAAGCCAGTCACAAAAAGACAAATACTGTGTGATTCCACTCATATGAAATCCCTGGGGTCATCAAATTCAGAGAAAGTAGGGAGGCGGAGTCATTGTTTAATGGGGATGGAGTTTCAGTTTGGGAAGATGGAAAGTTCTGGAGATGGATGGTGGTGATGGTTGCACAACAATGTGAATGTGCTTAATGCCACTGAGCTGTGCACTTAAGAATGGTTAAGATAGTAAACTTTATGTTATGTTTTTTATTGTAATTAAGAATTTTTTAGGGGCCGGCCCCATGGCTGAGTGGTTAAGTTTGCATGCTCCGCTTCAGCAGCCCAGGGTTTCATGGGTTCAGATCCTGGGCGTGGACACGGTACCGCTTAGCAGGCCATGCTGAGGCAGCATCCCAGATGCCACAACTAGAAGGACCCACAACTAAAATATGCAACTATGTACTGGGGGGATTTGGGGAGAAGAAGCAGACAAAAACAAAGAAGAAGATGATTGGCAACAGCTGTTAGCTCAGGTGCCAATCTTCAAAACAAAAAAAAGAATTTTTTAAATGCACTGTAATAAAACTTAGAAAAAAACAGAGAATGGTGATAAGCTCTGTGGATTGTGTTAATGTCAATTTCCGGGTTTGATACTGTCCTCTATTTACACAAAACATTACCACTGAGGAGCTGGGTAAAGGGGACCTCCCATTACAATTTTTTACAACCTCTTCTGAATCTATAATTATTTCAAAGTAAGATGTGAAAAAAACTCAACATAGAAGAGAGATCTAAACCTAAAACATAAAACCATGGAAGTTTCAGAAGAAAATATAAGAGAAAAGCTTAATAACCTGGTATTAGACAAAGAAACCTTAGACCTGGCATCAAAATCACAACCCATGAAAGAAATAAGCAACACCTCTGCCAACGACTCAAGGGCATATCGCGAGCGGCAAGGGGCTCACATCAGGACCACGGCCAGGTGCAGCCCGGAAAGGGGGACACATTCTGAGAGACGGGCCGTTATGTGGCACACAGCTGTATATAAAAAGCTGTTATAGCTTAACGCCATGAAAATAACCCAATTTCTAAAAAGGGCAAAAAATGAACACTTCACCAAAAAGGATTATCTGCGTGGCTCATCAACGCAGCAGAAGTGGGTCGACACCATTAGCCGTTCTGGAAATGCAATGAAAACTGTGATAAGACAGGGATACACACCTGTTACAATGCCTAAGGCTCCAAGGGCTGACCGGGACAGGAGGGAGCAGCAGCGGCCGCTCTGGAAGCACTCTGGCAGCTCCTTAAAGGTAGCCTCCGCCAACAGGGGACGCGGCAGTCCCACCCAGGGTCTACCCCGGAAAGAGCAAGCTCAGGGCCACGGAAGGCCCACACAGGACAGCGAGCAGCCCTGCCCTAAAGGTGGCTCGACGCCCTCCTACAGCCGGGAGGGGTAACACTGCTGTCATGCAACCGCCGGGCAGCAGACAGGAGCGCACAGCCTGGTGGACACAGTCTGGGTGGACGTCAGAGGCACCAAAGCTTGCACACTGCACAATTGCATTCACAGGAGATTCAAAGAGACAAAACTATGGTGACAGAGGGAGAACAGGGCAGGCTGCCGGGGGAGGGGAGATGGTACGACTATCCAGGGGTAACACAAGGGAGTTTTGGGGGCAACGGAACCGTTCTGTATCCTGATTGTGGTGTTTACACAAACGGGAGTTAAAATTCACAGAACAGTGCCCCTGGCTTAGGAAGGTACATTACTGTGTGATGATAAATACCCCGGCCACATCGACAGGGTTTCGAGACTGTGGATAGGAAAGAACTTTGTACTAAAGATCACCACCAAAATGTGTTACATTTAGCAGAACAAGGAAGATTAAGAAATCAGACATTGGTGGCAACAAACCCTGCTCCACGATTTCCTAAGGCGATGAGTCCCACCCCCACCCAACAGCGGGCAGAGCATGCCAGGAGGGGAGCTCGCAAGGCCACACCTGGTGCACCAATCACAAGAAAAAAACCAGCCACCCCCCGCCCGGGTGCTCCTCACACACTCAGAGTGCCTGGGTCGTGGGTCAGCTGTGCTCCTCCCCTGGGTTTGGCCCCTTGCTCAAGCTGGAGCACCTGCAGCTCAAAGCAGACTGCCACAGGCACCAGCACCTGAACCAGTCCACCCACCTGGCCTTGCCCCGGCTCACCCGACCCAGAGGCCGTCGGGGCAGGGCCCACACAGCACAGCCCGCACCCTGAGGTCCAGCTCTCCCCACTCCACACTTAGAACAGACTCTGCTAAAAGGTGATGGTTAGTCTTCCCACCAACGACCCTTCTGAGGGTCCCCGCAGCCTTGGCCCACTCTGGCTGGTCCCACCTTGCTTCCTACAAAGCTCGGGAGGGGCTGACGTGCACAGCCTTCTCTGTCATCCGTCACTCACTCGGGGACCACATGACTATCTGCCTTCCCACAGTTCATCAACCAAGCAAACCACGTACCTGGAAGAGTATGAAGATGAGGAACAGCTCGTAGACCACACTAACGCAGAGCCAAAACCTCCAGTAAGCTAGAGACAGAGGACACAGAAGCATTAGGGAGGCCAGCCCACCAGTTCCGCAGAGTCCCCCCCATGTGGCTCCTGGACCTGCGGCATCTGCTCTGGAGCCCGCAGCTCCCTGTGGAGACTTTATAAAGAGATCTAACTCAGAAGTGAGCGCTGGAATGTTTTTTGCCTTCCTTTCCAGTCCTTAAATCCTTCCTCTTTTTCTTGTCCACTGCAGCAGCACAGAAGGCCAATCGACTGCTGGACAAGAGCAGCGACCGCAAACATCCTTGTCTCGTGTTTGCTCACAATGCTGCTGACCTTCATGGTGACGGAAGTCTACAGGCGGTTCTTGGTGGGTATCTTTTATCATGTTAAGAAAATCTTCTTATTCCAGGATGCTAAGTTTCTATGATAAACGTGAATTTTTTTTCTTCTGCATTTAAGAGGATCACCTTTTCTCTTTAGTGTTAACATGATGAATTACATTAACACATTTCCTAGTGTTAAACAACCATCCCTGAATTCCTAGGATAAACCCAACTTGGTCCTGATGTCTTGTTTTAGGACACTGCTTTTGGTTTCAACCAGCAGACTCAAGAACCCATCCCTCTGGCGGCCACAGTTAACAGTACGTATTATACACTGGGAAGCTGCTAAGGGAGCAGATCTTAAACGTTCTCACCATGAAAAACTGTCATCATGTGAGGTGACAGAGGCGTTAACCAACCTGCAGTGGTGGTCACCCTGCACCCACACACGTCAAACCAACACGCACACACCTCACACCCACACAGTGCTGTCAATTACACCCAGCAAGCTGGGAAAAAGAACTTGCTTCTCAAAATTCCTTTCATCAGCAGGGACACCTCTCTCTCCACCATCCGCTTTCCATGCTCTCCAATGGAAAGCGCAGTTTTTCAGGGGAGGGAAATCTAGAACTACTCTACAACGTAAGCCTGCCTCACCCCCAGAACCTTGACAACACTATAAATACAGGCCCAAGAGACCTGCCTGCCCTATGCTTATGTCTGTAAAACCACCAGCCGACTTTTAAAACTTGATTCCCCTCAAACAAAAAAGGTGGTGCTCGCAAACATTTAAGAGCCTCTGGACCAGGAGACCCAAGGCTGAGGCACAGCCATTCCAGGGAACTCGGGTTTATCTGCAGCCTGCCTGTGGTCTCGAGCCCCCCAGCTCTGGCAGAGACCGTGGGAGAACGGGCAGTCGGGGGACCTCACATGCCAGGAGGGCTGACAGTGCTACAGCGGCCAGGCTCCCCGTGTGCTCAGTCCTGTGGCAGCAGCTCCTGCACAGGTGTGCACACACAAGGCTCTAGGGCCAACCTAGCACTCAGGGGCTCATGCCTAACCCTCCAGCCGGGAAAAGAGCCACAAAGACTGAAGAAAACCCAACCCTGCACAGGCAGGAAGTGGTTAATTCTAAGGAAAGTTTGCTAACATACTTCTGGGAAGCTGGGGATAAACAACTGAGGTAACGAACTTATTCTTCAAGCCCTTGAGGATGGAGAGCGCCTGTGACACTCTCCCTGGTCCACGGGCTGCACCAGCAGCTGACGAGCTTGGGGTGACGTGACTCATGCTGCCTCTGCCCCAAAGCTGTGCCTGCAGACAGGCCCCTTTGGAGGGGCCTCCCCGGCCCACAGGTGCTCCCAGGAGAGCACTCCTCCTGTGAAGTGCAGGTCTCCAAGGGGCCTTGCAGACCCTGTCCGAAACTGAATCTGTCTCCCCCGTGGCTGCCTGATATCAGGGGCCCTGTGCTGTGCCCAGCCAGAAAGGTGGGCAACCTCAGACTCCCTGTCACTCTCACCCTGTAGGGCCCCCAGGGCCCCAGACCTGCCCACCCTACCCCCAAGCATCCAGCAGGCCCTCCTCCCACATTCCCACCACCAGGGTCTCCGCCCCTCCCCTCTCCCCTGAACCACCTGAGACTCCTGAAGTTGGGTTCCCTGATTCAGTACCCACCCCCCCCAACACTCTTGTTTTCTTCCTAAACGTCACACTGACCCCCTCAACAGCACTGGTAATATTCTGACTTACTCCAGCTTTCGAAGGGAGCCATGGATGAAAATAAACACCATGAGGGGAAGAGGCCTTTCAACGGGCCAGTCTACCTGGAATTGCAGCCTGAGAACCCACTTTTCCAAAGCAAGCAACTCCCACATAGTGGAGCTCCCTCCGGCCCCTCAGCAGGCCCAGAGGAGGGCAGGAGGGCCCCGCAGCGCCTCCCTGTTGGAGCAAGAAACCCTTCTCACAGCTGCTCTTGGCGTGCTGCCGGGGCTGATCGCAGACTCACTCCAAATGTAGCCTGCTTTGAGACGTCTGAAGATTTGCCGCCAGCGACTAAGTTAACAAGACACCTGGAAGAAGGAGCTCCAGGACGAACACTGGCAAGGAGCACCAAGTTCACGCAAAGGAACTACTCTCAAAGGCAGGCAGAGCAGAGCTCAGAATGCAGACTCAGAAGCTACCACACCGCCCTCTCAGAGGGGAAGCTGTGTGGTGCTCCTACAGTTCAAAGGAACCACAGTGGACACTTTCAGATGAAGATGAGCGGCACCCCACCAGGTGACTGACTGGAAGCCAGAGCCCTAGGATGGGACAGAGCTGAGGGTCTCCCAGAGCCCAGGAGCCAAATGCGGGACAAGCAGCTGCCTGCTGGCCAGTCTGGCCCCTGGCAGGACCCCATGTATCCTGCTCACGGCTGCGTCTAGGCCCGACGCCCACAAGGGACTTGCTGTGCCTTCAACCACGGACGAACACCGGCTGCATTTCCAGCAGCTCTTACTCTTCCTTCCAAATCAACCCAACGAGCACTTAGTCACACCTGGTTTTCCACCATAATTTTGGTGGGTCCTACACCGTTCTTTCTCTTTTCCACTGCTCTGCTTAGGTGCCCCCAGACCTTTCTGAGGCAAGACGGGATGTACCCAGACAACTGAGCAGGCGGAGGTCTTGCAGCCCCAGAGCTGGGGGACCCAGCCCCTCCCCAATCCTTGCCATCCCTCACATGGGCTGTGCCCTGCAGCTCAGGACGCTCATCACCACCCCATGGGCCAGGACCACGCAGGTGTCATCCAGCATCGATATCCCCCCCAGGCACTAACGGGGCAGAGCAGCCAACAAGGCCCGGTGCAGGAGTCCTGCACTACTCAGAGCACGGGGCCGCAGGCCACCACGGCGCTCACTGACTCCGGGCAGACATGTCCGTTTAGAGGGCAGTGCAGTAGTACCTACCAGGGCCCTCGAACTCACCAGCTCTACTCCCAGGACTTTCAGTTCAACCAACAATCAGATACGTACACAGGTGGATGTGCAAAAATTCACTACAGCCTGGTTTATTACAATAAAACTGGAAACCCTTAAGTATACAACCCTATGGGACTAGTTAAGTAAACTGCAGTACATTCAAATGATGGCTGAACCAACAGCCATTAAAAACCTAGCTGTGGGGCTGGCATGACAGCATAGTAGTTAAGTTCGTGCACTCTACTTCGACGGCCTGGAGTTCCGGTTCGGATCCTGCACATGGACCTGTGCACCACTCATCAGCCATGCTGTGGCAGGCGTCCCACATATAAAGTACAGGAAGATGGGCACAGATGTTAGCTCAGGGCCAGTCTTCCTCAGCAAAAAGAGGAGGACTGGCAGCAGATGTTAACTCAGGGCTAATCTTCTTCAAAGACAAACAAAAACTCCAGCTGTCAATAAACAGTTAACAGTTAATAAGCAAATGCCCGTGCTACACCTGCAGTGAAAGATGCATGGCACAACGTGGTTCCCATTCTTTTTAAAGCGATGCATATGTATACGTACACAAACGCATCAGAACTTAACAGTGGTTATTTTTGAGTGGCTATTTTATCTAAAAATATTTTTTGTATTTTCCAAGTTTTCTACAATAAATGCACACCCCTACTGAGACAGAAAAGAAACATGTTACTAAGTAGTGACTCTTCAGGAAAAGTGACCACCCCCTGCCCCTAGAGCTGGCCCCTGGGTGAGGCTTCAGTCCTGGACGTGCTGGGGCCCGGGGGCAGGACCGGGAGCAGTCAGAGCAGTGCTCTCCAGCTCTGAGGTCCAGGGAGTTGTGAGAACTCCCCATAACTTTGGAGGGTGAGGGACAGAGACAGGAGAACTCGCCACAGGAGACACCCAGTGAGCACCTCAGGAGCAGGGCAGGCACCTCACAGCCGAGGGCAGAGCCATCAGCTTCAGCCCATGCCAACCCTACTGGACAGGCCTGGGGGCACCTGGGCCTGCAGGAAGAATCCCCCTAAGGCAGGGTGGGCAGGAGGAGCAGAAACCCAAGGACAGCTGCAGGGCAGGGTGAGGAACAGGAGGACCGAGGGGCCTGAAGGAAACCCAGCAGCTGAAAGAAGCAGGACTTACAGGTCACCCTGAAACTCACCCCTCGCCCTCCTTGGCTGACAAGAGTGTGCCCTGGCCAGCTGGGGATGGGCCAGGAAGAGGGGAGGACACGACACTCACACCCAGCAGCACAGACACGGGGACCGCTCAGAACAGAACTGCCACACGGGCACACACGGAGAAAGAAATGGCAAGTTACCTGGATGAGGTCTGGAAAATGGCCCGTCTTTAGCTTGTGTGACTCCAAAACATAAGAAAACCAAAATACTGGCCACAATACCTCTGCAAATAAAGAACAAACAGCCCCTCAGTGTGCGGCAGCACGCGCCAGGCTGGCTTCTCCAGGCAGAGGGAGGTGGGAGGGTCCCCCAGGATGCCCACTGCAGGTGATGGCCCCCCCAGGTGGGGGCAGGGCGGGAGGAGGCTGGCACCCAGCGGGGCAGCCCTGGACCAGCTCCGGCCGCCCAGAGACAGCACCACCCTCAGGAGAAGCCCTTCCAGTGGGGGCTGTGAGTTATTTGTACCGTAGAGTGTTACACCACTCACACGCGCCTCACATTTTAAAAAACACCGAAAATTCCATATGTGACAACCCAGGGTTCACTAAAGCCCTCCTAAGATGACAGGATGTTAGGATCAACTGGCTTTCTGCCCCAGGACGGGGACCCCAAGCAGGTATTCCCCGACAGTGCTCCTGTCCTATTGGGGCCGCCTCACCCAGTCGCAACGGGCCTGCTGTCACTCACAGGAAGACAGAGTAAGTCCTGAAGCTGCAATCACACAAAAACACAGACACAGCCCAGACAACAGAGCAGGGCGACCAGAGAGAACCCGCTCTGGGGGGGATGCGCAGACTGCAGTGTTCACACGGCACGTGCACGTCCGTGCCCGTGACCACCGCCCGGACCGAGACCGCTCGCCCTCCCTGCACCACTCTGCTGCTCCAGAGGTGGCGGTGCCCACCCTCCAGCATGCGGTCTGAGGGCGTGGCACTGCCCACTCTTCCCACTGCTGACACTCACATCATGAGGACCCCACCCTTGGCAGGTCTGGCTGCTGTACAGGAAGCTGCTGTGCACAAACGCACGTTCTGACACGAGACAGACAGAGGCCAAAGGCCGTCTGTCAACAGACTTTCAGTCCAAAAACGCCTTATTCTTCTCTGCCCACCAAGAGCACCCAGCTCTCGGGGGCAGGCGCAGGTGAGGCCGAGCCCACAGGGCAGCCAGCAGGTGCTCGTGCAGGGCCAAGGGGTACAGAACGCCACAAGCAGCCCCCTGTGCTCCTGCCTACGCCACATCACGGCTGGGAGAGGGGCTGAGGGCCTGCCTGCCCTCTGCGCAGCCAGGACCAGGGTCTGGTCATTCATGGTGTAGGACCCACAACACAGGCGTGGACGCAGAGGGTCAGCAAGGTGTCCGCCTGCCTGAGGACTCAGTGGTCAGTGGTGGGGGTGGAGATGTGAAGAGCACGTGCAGGGCTGCCTGGAGAGTGGCACTGAGGCACCCTTCCAGTGCGAGGTGAAGAGACCATTAAACACCCTCCCGTCCCCCAAAAGAGAGAAGTGGGCGGCTGCCAAGAGACGCCGCTGTCAGCGTCACCCAAATGGCCTCAGACTTGGAGAGTCATGAGGACAGGATTAAGGAGATGCAGTCCCAGGGCGCCTCCGCCCGTGGTGCCAGGTGACCCTGACCCTCACAGCTGAGCCTCACGACTCCAACCTCGGTCACACAACTACTGCAAGGTGAGGATCCCCTGGGAAGACCCGTCAGTCAGGAGAACGACGAACTGCTAAAGGAAAGCAAATAAATCACATTTTAAAATAAACTTTTGATTTTAGAGCAGAAACGGTGCAAAGACAGTACAGAATTCCCATATTCCCCACACCCAGTCCCCCCATTATTAACACCTTACATTAGTAGGCTGCGTTAGTCACAATTAATGAACCCATACTGACACATTAACTAAAGGCCACGGTTTTCAGATTTCCTCAGCTTTCCGCCCCAGGATCCCATCCAGGACTCCACGTGACATCTGCTCATCACGTCTCCTTGGGCTCCTCTGGGCTGTGACAGCTCTTCAGGCGTCCCTTGTTTTGAATGACCCAGGCAGTTTTGAGGACTGGTGGAGATTCTGTAGAATCTCTTAATGAAGACTTCTGCTGTTTTTTAGGATTAGATTAAGGCTTTGGTTTCGGGGAGTAAGATCGCAGAGGCAAAGGACCACTTCCATCATATCATATCAACGGCACACACTGTCGACATGATTTCCAATTGTCAGCGCTGACCTCCGACCTCCATTCCCGGCTGAATGTGTCTGCCAGGCCCGCCCCATGCCATGCTCTGGGGGGAGGTCCACTCTCGAGGGGGTGAGTGCAGCAGCCCCCCTTGACGGAGAGCATCCGAATATTACTTGGAATCCTTGTGCCCACCATTTATTAATGTATTCAGTCACTCGTCTGGTGCAGCATGGACTTGTGGGGATCTGTTATACTCTGGGTTATAATCCGTTATTGATGTTGTTCCTTTGGCCACAGGGAGCTCTTCCAGTTAGTCCCCCTCTCCCTTTGGCACACCCCCCTCAATGCACTTTTTGGGGAGCACATCCCTCTGGCACTGGAAGATGCTCCAGGCCCACCTTCGGCAAGTCCTGCCTGGGCCCTGAACTTGCCATTTCTCCATGGGGCCCTGGTTCCTTCACTGGAAGACGGTCTGAGGAGCCAGGATCTGGGCGCGGTGTGCTCCTTGCTTCTGGGCCCTTAGCCGACAAAGCAACAAGACGTATGCCTGTGTACTGACTGTGCACATACGCGTGTACTGTAAATATTTCTGTGTGTAACCATCTGCATCTACATTAAGCTAAACATGAGTTCTCACTGGTGTCTCCACTACCATCTACTTCCCATGGATCGGCCTCCCCTCACTTACCTGTAACCTCCCACTCCAGCAGGGAGACCCCCGGCCCCTGCATCCGCCCACTCAATTGTCCAGTCCCAGCACTCAGGTATGGCAGTAACACACTCATGAACCTGAAGCCCGACGTCATCGCCCCGAGCACAGTGCTTGTGTTCAGCTCCCTGCCTTTAGTCTACACACTCCGCTCATTTCCAAAGTGACCGAGGGCGGCCCCTGCATCAGCCCCCTTGGTGAGGTGGCTGCACACGTCTGTAACACGGTTACATTCTCTTGTCACAGTCTACACTCCTGCTGGGGTCCCCGACCTCCTAAATAACTTTTTAAAACCTGCACATGTTGGGTTTACTCTGTGTTGCCAGGTTCTGTGGATATTGATAAACGCCTGGAGTCATGTATCTACTGTGACAGCATCACACAGAACATTATCAACCGAAAACACCCCTGTGCTCCACCTATTCCCCCTCCCTCCACCAGAAACCACTGATCTTTTTACCATCAGTTTCTCCTTTGCCAGAATGTCATAGAGTTGGAATCATACACTAGGTAGTCTTTTCAAACTGGCTTCTTTCAGTTAGAAACAGGCATTTTTGGTTCATCTATGTCTTCGTCACCTGATAGCTCCTTTCTTTTTATTGCTGAATAATATCCCACGGTCTGGAGGTACCAGAGTTTGGTTATCCATTCACCAGCTGAAGGGTATCTTGGTTGTTCCGAGTTTTGGTGATTATCTATAAAATTGCTCTAAACATACAGTTTCTGTGTGGACGTAAGCTTTCAACCTATCTGGGTAGGTACCTAGGAGCACGACTGCTGGACTGCACGGTAAGAGCACGTTCAGTTCTGTGCGGACGGCCAGACTGTCTTCCAGAGCGGCAGCAGCACTGCAACCCCACGGGCAGCAGCGAGGGGCCCTGCTGCTCCGGACCCTCGCCAGCAACCCATGTTGTTTCATTTTCTGTCTCAGCCACTCATTCACGTGGGAGTGGTAGCTCGCGGTTTTAATCTGCATTTCCCTGATGACAACGTGCTGGGCATCCTTCATGCTCTTATCTGCCATCTGACTATCTTCTCTGCTGAGGGGTCTGTTCAGATCTTTGGCCCAGTTTTTAACCGTGTTGTTAGTTTTCTTCTCGTTGAGCTTTAAGAGTTCTCTGCACATTTTGAATACAAGTCCTTTATCAGATGTGTGTTCTGCAAATATTTCCTACCAGCCCGTGGTTTGTCTTTTCCTTGTCTTAACAGTGTGTCGTCCAACTTAACAATTTCTTTCATGGATTATGCTTTTGGTGTTATATCTAAAAAGTTATCACCAAACCCAAGGTTACCAGATTTCCCCTATGTTTTCTTCAAGAAGTTTTATAGTTTTGTATGATAAATTTAAGTCTATAACCATTTTGAGTTAATTACTGTGAAAAGTGTGAGGTCTAGATTTGCTGTCTTCCACGTGGATGTCTGGTTGTTCCAGCACCATCTGTTGAAACAACCACCCTCCAGTGAATTGCCTTTGCCCCCTTGTCAAAGATGAGCTGACTGCATTTCTGTGGGTCTGTATCTGGGCTCCCTATTCTGTTCCACTGATCCACTTGTCTAGTCTTTTGCCTATACCACAGTCACTGTCACTTCACATTCAGCCTTGAAGCCAGGTGGTAGCAGTCCTCAACTTTATTCTTCTTCAAGATTGTGAATACATTTTCTATATATTATAAATACGCAAAACATATCTGTATCTTATACATATTAATTTATTTATATATTTATATGTACATATTTACACAAACACATAAACATCCCAAATGTCACCAACAGATAAACAGATCAATGAAATGTGTGTGGTGCATTCACACAGCAGAATACTCCCCAGCAATGTAACAGAATAACCGCTGGCAGACACAACAACATGGGGGTGTCACAAAACCATCATGCTGAGGGAAGAAAGAGGGTGTCCGCTGGACGCCTCCTGTACACGAGACTGTGCAACAGGCAAGAAGAGCCTACGGCGACAGGTGAGAGCCCGGGGCCAGCGTGTGGAGGACTGACCACAGGGCTCGGAGGAAACCGCGTGTAGCGCCACTCAGTGGGCGGCACACAGACGTACACACCTACAGAAACGCACTGAGTCCTATGTTTTATTTAGATATATATACTATTAAATTATACATCAATAAACTTGACTTAAGAAGAAAAACAAAACCTTCTCCCCCAAAGTGAGAGAACTTGTTAGATCCATAAAAAGAACAACGGTGCAGAAGTGAAAACTGAAGGAAAACAAACAAGGCTCCTAAATTTTTAACAATGTAATTATAAATTTTTTGTAAATAACTGTAATCTTTAGAACGTATCTTCTGTACATGAAACCTACCCCTATGGGGATCAAAAGCTCTGAAGTAACAACAGTAGGTCAGCCCAGCAGCCTCTCGGAGACCCTGGAAGGCTGGGTGGAGAGCTGCCCCAACGGGTCCTCCTCACAGCCCCAGCCGATGTGCTGGGGGCAGGGCAGGGCTGTGGGTCTGGCTCAGGTCTAAGGGGGAGGATGGACTGAGGACAGATGAACCCATGCACACATGCACGCATGCACGAGAATGTCCCTGAAGGAGCAGCAGAGCCACGGATGCTGGGGCGATGGAGGCTCCCAGGGAGGGGCCAGGAGGAGGGTCAAGCACCACCAGCAGAATTACGGGGCAGGATGGTGGCTCCTTCTGAGCCCTTGAAGTCAGCCAAGAGGGCCAAGACTGTGAGCTAAAAGTTGCCCAGTGTCCCCAGAATACAGAACTTCAGAGCAGAGGAGCCAGGAGCCCTCGAATTCCTACCCACTCCCCACCCCTACCTCTCTCTCAGTGAACTCGCACAGGGGATGCCTCGGGGGGCCCAGGCACCTTTCGTGCTCACTGTCCTAGCCTCTCATGTGCAGGAACAGCTCAGGAGAGAGGCCAGTGCAGGATGAAGAGGACTCGTCCCCACGGGTCCACGGCTGCTACCCTGGACGTGGCCAACAAGCCCCCTTAACCTCGGGGGTCTGAGCCCATGGCCCCCTGGGTCCGTGTTGGAGGGCAGGGCCCAGGGCTGTGAGCTTTTGTGACTCTCCTGGCAGCCACCTAGTGAAGCAGAACCAACCCTGTCCTTGGAAGGTGCTCCCAGGACACCCCACATGGGCCCACAGGTGGGGGGGTCACAGTCTTCCTCATGACAGTTCTTGCCCGGTGACATCAGAACTGCCCCACTCTGGCTAATTCCATATCCATATGGGGACACCTCTGGAGTGTGACCAAGCCCTGCTTTTTGGTATTCCCTGCGCAGCTGTGCCCAGATACCACACACCTCCACACCCAGGTGCTGATGGACAAATTCACAAAAAAGACCAAATTCTACTCGGAAAGCCCCTCCTGCCAACAGCCTCACTGCCTCCTGTATCCACAGGTCAGTGTCCCCTCTAAAGGGACCCGCTGCAGTGAGCACAGCCCCAGGCACCTTCCACCCCAACCCAGAGGGGCCCAAGGCACAGCCGACACTCCCCCACTCTGTTTCTGAAATCCATCACCACGCACAGCACGCTAACCAGCTCCACCTGCAACAGGCCTGCAAGCTCTCAGGCCGGGCTGGGAGGACCTGCCAGAGATGGAGCAGCAGGGAGCAGTGGGCAGGGAGCAGCGGGCACTGCCGAGCAGGAGGATCAGACTCAGAGGCCGATGCCAGCCCTTAGGGAGAAGAGAAGAGCCGGCAAAGCCTACTGGGACACGGTGTTGAGAGGAGGGAAGGAAACCCCAGAGCACGGAGCAGAGCCAGGACAGGAGATTGCGCCTTACAGGTGAGTGCGAGACCTGTGCTCCTGGGAGCAGGGCCCTGAGTCCAGACCCCCGGGCAGCCATTTCTAACCAGCAATGCCCGGCTGCAGCCAGGGAGACGAGCAGGGTATGAGGCCCATGTGGACCAGAGGCCGAGCACACACCTGACGGGGAGCTGCTGGGCATCCTAAGAGGCTGCTGACACCTGCAGAGTACATAACCATGCTCACAGGCAGACGTTAAAAACCCTCATTTGACAAAAGCAAGGGCTGCTCTGGCAATGAAGCTTCCCGAGCCCCAGCCCCACCAACCAAAGCTGACCAGAGGTCCTCAGGCTACACCAGGCGCCCCTCCCCACCCCTGTCCCTGCCCCAGTGCCGGTCTCCAGACCCCGGTCCCACCTCCTCTGGCTGCCCCACCAGAGTAAATGGGGCCTCGACCCCAGGATGGGAAGAGCAATGGGGGCTTCGTGGGCCTCGAGAAGGAAAAGTAAGTCCATCCTGTACAGCAAACTCAAAGGACCAAGTTCTAAAACCAGCTTCTGCTCACACATTTCTGAGACTGGCCCAAGAACCATGGGATCTAGGCAAAGGACACACACCTCTCAGCTAGTCCCCCTCTGGAGATGGTAGTGAAGACAGTACACCACTTCTTGACCTGCAGGATGGGACCCTCCACCAGACAGGCGTCTGACATCTTAAAGCCGGTTTAAAGTTTTCAGAAAGGGAGAGTATAAACAGAGCATAGAACAGTGCTGGCTGACAGGGACCATCCCTGGTGGTCACAAAGACCCCTACACCCCCAGACACCCAGACTCAGTCTCTGGGATACTGTGATTTCTAATAAGAAAAGTGCGTTTGGTCTTCATCCCATTTCTGGCACAGAACTAAAACCCTTGGCATGTCCCGTGATGACAGCAGAAAGGTGTCTTCTGCCATGTTAAGGAGGTGACTGGACCCCCTCCGGATGGGGCTGCAGGAGAACCGACCACGTGGTTAGAGGGCTGGGGCTGTCAGCCTGCCCCACCTCCACCTCTGGGGAGGGGAGAAGGGATGCAGGTCACCAAAGCGACGATTTCATCAACTGTGCCCATGATGAGGCCTCCACAGAAACCCTCAGGAAGGGGCTCAGAGAGCTCCCAGGTTGATGCACACGTGGGGAGACGGGGAGCGAGACACCCCGAGAGGGCATTGAGGCTCCTCGCTCCTTCCCCACACCCTGCCCTGTGCACTCTTCCGGCTGGCTGGTCCTGAGTTACAACCTTTTATTATGAACCAGTGATCTAGTGAGTAAATGTTTCTGAGTTCCGGGAGCCGCTCTAGCAACTTAGTCGAACCTGAGGAGGGGGTTGTGGGAACCTCTGCTTCAAAGCCACTCCATCAGAAGTACAGATGACAACCTGGACTTGTGGCTGGAGTCTGAAGCTGGGGGCAGGCTTGTAGGATGGAGCCCTTCACCTGTGGGATCTGACGCTATCTCCAGGTAGACAGTGTCAGAGCTGAGCTGAACTGCATGACACCTGTGGGGATCTGAGAACTGCTTGTTGGTGTAGGGGGAACCCCCCACTGGAAATGGTGACCAGACATCCTTTTAGGCCCCATCCCTGGAGCTGCTGCAGCACATTCTGGTCTCTCACTCGTGCAAATGCAGTCTGGGCTGCTGGTCACACAGCACACAGTGCAGTCAAGGGTCCCAGGAACAAGAGGAGGGGCCAAAAATGCCACACAGCTCTGAAAGGCAGCCCGGGGAGGGAGCTGCTTCAGGCACAAGTGATGGGGGGACAGATGCAGATGGCCTTCAAGTGGACGCAGTCCCCTGAGCCCCGGCCAGCTAGAGGAGAGCAAGGACCCATCCCCAGCCACACCAGGCGCCTGCAGTGCCTGGGCTGGCCCAGTTACCTCTTGGTGTTGTAGGCCGTGTCCCGTGGCGTCTCCTCCAGCAGAGTCACGTAGCCAAGCACACAGGTGAGGATGCAGAGCACAGTCAGGGTGTGGGCTCGCCTGGAATCCAAACACGCAGACCACATCAGAACACGGAAAGCATCATGACCACGCGTGTGGCACCAACCAGAGGAGAGCTTAGCCTTCAATCTCCAACTCAGAAACACTGGCTGAGAGTTACTACTTGGGGGAAGCCTAGGTGGGTCTGCATTTGCCAAGTCAGCCTGTCAGTCAGAGCAGGAAGGGCCCTGAGCAACCAGGGAACAGACGGAGCTCTGGAGCACTCAAGGCTGCTGCTCAGAGGACAGAGGGGCATCTTCCATCGCTGGCGTCTGGAGCAGGCATCTGTTGTCAACAGTGACCAGCAGCAGGTTAACTCAGCACTTTTCACTGAGCAAGATTACGCTGAGATGACCAGCCCTGTGATTCATGAAATGACCATATCTGACAGATTTGCAAGGACAAGAGCCCGAGAAAGGAAGGGCAGAGAGAAAGGGACACCAAGACGCAAAGCAAGAAGGGCGCATTTACTTAAAACACCTGGCAGAGAGAGGGCCCAGGCTAAAGAGAGACGTGGGCTTCAGCCCCTTCTGTCCGCCCCCTCTGGCTCAGCCTTCAGAGCCCTGCCATGGGAGGAAGGAGACAGGGCTCCCTAGCAGCTGGTGGATGTGCCTCACCTGGAAACAGGGCTGACAACCAGTCAGGTGCCAGGCTGCAGGGCAAGCAGACCGATGCTGAGACAGGCCCACACGCTGCCCCACGACACTCACCTGGGCCCCTCTGCATCTTAACAACTGCCTGCAAAGGAGTCACAGACCCAGCACCTAGATCCAAACAAGCAGGGTGACCTTGGAGAGACAGTGTAACCTCATCTCTACATGAAGATGCCTCCAACCTCGAAGAACATCATGAAGATTAAGTGAACACACATAAAGCACTGAGCCCTGGACTTGCCACCAAGGTTAGCTCCCTGCCCCGTGTCAGAACCCCGTGCAAACATAAACTACCACAAATGAGAGCTTCATGGTAAAGAAATGAAAAAGCAAGCCACAAACTGGGAGAAAACATTCACAATACATACACCTGCCAAAGGACGTTGTACCAGAATATCTAAAGAACTCTTACAACTCAACAATAAAGACAAACAATCTAATGAAAATGCGGACAAAAGATTGACTAGACACTTCACAAAAAAGATACACAAATGGCCAGGAACACATGACAAGATGTACAGCACCAGTGGTCTCAGTGAAAGCAATCGTAAACCACAGTAAGGCACCAGCACTACGCACAACAGGCCGAGATGAGAAAGAGTGACAACACCCAGCACTGGCGAGGATGTGGAGCAGAGAGAATTCTCAAACGCTGCAGGTGGGACTGCAAAACAGTACACACGCTTTGCAAAACAGTTTGGCAGTTTCTTAAAATGTTAAACATACATCCAACCCAGCCATTCGCTCGCAAGTATTTACCCAAGAGAAATGAAAACATATGTCCCTCCAAAGACTTGTGCATGAACATTTATTTATAATAACTGAATCTGGAAGCAAACCAGACGTCCATCATAGGACGTGCAAACAGCGGTGCATCCACATCGTGCTGAGCCACCAACACCGGCCATAACACGAGGAATCTCAAAAACACGATGCTGACAGAAGTCGGGCACAAAAGACACCAGTGTCTGCTTCCCCGGATGTGGAACTCGAGAAGAGGCGTCAACACAGCACCAGGGACTGGGAGCAGAGCCTGGGGCGCAGCAGCCTTCCAAGAGACGGAATCTTACACATCCGGAGCCTGGTGGTCTGCACAGGTGTGTCCGTCGGTCAAGCACCAACGCACTCCCTTCAAGTGGCTGTGTGTCACTGAATACAAGCATACCTGATGTTCCACAAAGCACGAGGGCACGCGAAGACTGGACTGCAGCCGTACCCATCCTGACACTGGGCAGCCTGCCCTTTTGTTTCTTTTTCCTGATTTTTCTTGCACATTTACTCATCCATATTAATTTTAACATCAGTTGGACAAATTGACACAAATAATTCTATTACGATTCTGATGGGAATTGCACTAGATTTATAGATTAATGCAGGAAGGATTGATGTGTGAATGACACTGAGGATTCCCCCATTCATGAGACATGGAATATCTCTGTGCTTATTTAGGTGTTATTTCATGCCCTTTAATTAAATTTTATTTTCTTTATGAAAAGAAAAAAGTCATGTCTAAGTGGACAAGCCCCAACTGAAGAAAGCAGAGACACATTTGCCACATTTCACAACACTAGCCATTTAAAAGCAGGAGAAGCAAAACAAAACTATCTACTGTAATACAATTCAACATCAACCACCTTCTGCTTTAAATAAATCCACGTCTGAGCTCTAAGCCAGGAGGGAACTCCATACGGTCAATGCTGCAGTGCCGGAGAGACCCGTGGAACAGTTACAGCACAGACACGACTTTAGAGGGTCCTCTTTCTGACTTTCACCCCTGAGGTTACCTGGATGTCGTGACGCAGAAACTCACTCTGCTGGATACACATTCCTCACCAGGCTTCTCTTCACAGGACTGACTTCAGGTCCAGCTGCAAACATCAAGGCTGAACTCAGATTTCTCACCAGAAAGATCAGGCCAGAGGAAGGGGGACACAATTTGTAAAGCACATCGTGGTGAGGAAAGGAATGTTAAACAGGGATTCCCTGTCCAGCAAAGACATCCTTCAGGAATGAAGGTAAACTCAACATTCTTGGACGGCGGAATAACGAGAGAACCCAGTGCCGGCAGACCTTCTCTAAAAGAACTGCTAAAGGAAGTTCTCCAGACAGAGGGAAACGGGACCACCAGGACAGAAACAATAAAGAAAGCACACTGCCCTCCTCCCGAGCTATTTAAACACGTCACGTCTGACTAGTGAGAGCAGCCACTGTCAAACTGCTTATGGGGACCAGCACGGCCAAAGGAGGAAGCTGGATGGATCAATATGAACCTGACGTGGCAAAGCTGGGCCTGGGAAAGCTTAGGAATGTCCCCTGTTACTGGAGCAACACTCAAAGCTCCAGAGATGCACTAAAAGCAAGATGTCAGCTGAAATGGAACAAAACCAAACGAAGGTGGGAAAAGGACAGGAAACGGAGACAGCAGGAGCAGGACAGCAGCCGTGCATGCCAGCACTTCAGTGACTACGTGGACCCATCTAGACAGTCACGCAAGGAATGCCGTTTGGCAACAGCAAAGTGCATCAACACCAACAAATCCAGACATGCCAACTGAGGGCTGCTGGGGACGGCCCAAGACTCCAGGCAGGCCTCCCTGCCCCTCCCGGACACCAGAGCAGGGCAGAGGCTCCTCACCCAACCTCCCTATGCCCCGGAAGACAAGCGCACTCTTGGGCTGATAGACAGCTCGGGGGAAGGTTTGGGTCCTGTGATCCAGGCACAGGACAACAGCGGCTTAAATCCTGTGACTTCAGTCACTCGGCAAAGGTGAGGGCGTGAGGACAGTTGGCTCCCTGCCACGATGAGTGGAAAATACCCAGTGGTCAGTCCCTCTCCTAAGATGACCACACTCGCTGTGCTGAGTGAGCAGGAAGGCAGGCCTGCCAAACCAATTAGTGAAGATACGAAGGTATGGCCGGGAGACGGAGTGCACAACAGTGCTTCTGCCAGGGAAGGCCAAGACCAGAGGGCCTCCCAGGCCTGCAAGAGGCGCCTGGGACATGACACTGACTCCCCTCCCCTCGCTGGCCTGCTGACCAGCAAGACCAAAAGGCATCTGGTGAACTATGCTACCCAGATGTGAGCAAAGCCGACAAACCCCTAGCCCACAATAAGAAAGGCATTTTCTGGAACCTGGGGCACCTACGACCACGTCCACACACCCTCATGGCTACTATTAAGACGTGCTGCTGATAGTAGAGCCCCGTGAGTCACTAAGAGTGCTCCCCAAAGGCAAGCACACAAGCACCGCTCCATGTCACGACCATCCGTCCTGCCCATGACCCAGGAGTTGGTCAGGAAGCCTGCTGGTCCAGTCTCCCATCTACCGGGGGCATGTCCGCAGCACCCTCCAGGGCTCTGAGCCTCCAAGCGTCTCCCAGACAGTTTTCAGACAACGCAAGCTGACGCATCTTTGTGTCATTCCTCTGGGTGTTTGGTTCTAACACTTCCCCCCCGATGTTTCCCACAGGAGACCACCACGACTGGCGGAAGAGGCAGTGTCCTTGCCACCATGGACCCTGGTGAGCCTTACGCATCCGCTCTTGGGCTCAATTCGGAGGAGCCCAGCTGTGGGCTCTAAGGCTCAAGCAAACCTTGAACCCTAATTCCATACCCTGCAGCTAAGGAGGAATGAGAAAGAAACTCAAACTCCTCATACACAACCACCAGCACTGGCCTCCAAAGAAGCCCAGCCTCTGAAAACAAAAACCCTAAAGACAAGATTTTGAATCCTGCACAAGTTCCTCTGAGGAATCTTGGAACATAAAGTCATTTCCACAACTGCATGTTTTTCAGTCTTTGTGTTAATTTTTAGTAACATTCATTACTAAAATACAAAATAAGAGTTTTAAAACTCCTAGCACAGCAAGTCAGTGAGGGGAGACTCCGAAGAAGGTTAAGTGGCTAGGCTGTGCAGGTGGGAATAAGCAACTCTCACAGGCAGGCATCCAGTTACCTGCCTTGAGGAAACATGAAGCTCCTTCTCCCACAGGTGAGGGGGAGGCTCACGAGGCAGGAGGAACCTGCACACACCACAGACGGTGCCTGCGCCGGCCAGGGCCCAGCACACCTCACACCTGTGGTAGGGAGGCCAGAGCCACCCACCAGGAGACCCCCGAGGCAGACACCTGGAACCACCAGCCCTGCTGCACCCCCTGCCCGTCAGCCCTCCTCACAGGTAAGCGCAGCTATAGCACGCGTCTATGTGTCCCACTCCCAAACGACCAAGACCCTGAGGGCAGGGACCCAAGGGCCGCCGGTCTGTGCTTCTGAAGAAACCAGCGCCCAGCACAAGACGAGGCATGTGTTCGCTGGCTCCCGCGGTGCTGCACTCGCAGCGCCCCTCCAGCCAGCACACTCATGCCTCTGAGCTTCCAGGCTTGTGCCAGAACCTGAGCTTGTTTAGTTCTTTGCTGGATCCCCTAGAACAGTGACTGGCACCCAGTAGGAACCCCCAAGATACGTGCAGAATGAAGGGGAAACAAGGAAAGCAAGGCCAGCCACCACTATCCCGGACCTCAGTCTCCAGGGGTCACCAGGTAGACTGTGGGAGGTTGGTGCCCTGCCCCCTGCAGCCTGAAGGGGCATCCCCACGCCCTAGCAAGACAGCTGATGGAGGTCTGATCCACACACAGCATGTCCAGTAGCGTTCAACAGTGCTCATGCCACTAGCTCTGAGACCACACCCACACTGACGAGCGACACCATCTCGCTCTCCCTCCTGCATTATCTCCCCAAAACAGGACTGGGCACTGACAGGGAAAACACCGACTTCGTCCAGATGCAGGGCGACCTAGTCCCACACCCACCTTCCTACGTCTCTCCCGAGTCTAATACAAACCAGGACACCATTCAGCCCCATACGCACCTCTCCTAGGTTTCCACCCACGTGGCCCACCTTCCCCTGAAACATCCAATTACCCCGTCGGGCTCTCCTCACTCCCTGACCAGACCCCACAACTCTGTGCTCTGAAGAGCTGCTTCCACGCACATTCCCCTCCCAGCTGGCTAGGACACGCCTGCCTCTCCTGTGAGCTTTCTTGGGGCTGAGGCCACATCAACTGCACTTCTGTCCCCCAGGGCCCAAGAGAGGACTCAACTGCCCTCACTGCCTGTGGGTCACCTGCAAAGGGACCAACCAGCAAAGGAAAGCCAAGCCACCTCCTCTCACCAAGCATGCTTCCCAGCGTGCGCGGTTTGTCTCTCTAACAAATAGAGAGCTCAGAAAGGAGAAGGGCTAGCCCAAGGTCACAGAGCCAGCAGGCGCGCCTGGGACCTTTCAGTACAGGGCTTGTTTTCTGAACCCTCAAACACAGAGATGCCCAACTCAGTGTAAAGCAGGGGCACGAACCCTTCCAACAGAGGCTCTCGGAGGGCAGGAGCCAGGTCTCTCCGTCCCTACGCCCCACTGAGGCAGACTGGGGACAGCCTGACCCTGAGGCTTGCTCGGGCTCAGCCGCACAAGGGTCAAAGGGCTGGCCTGGCAAGGTGCAGCTAAAGAGAGAAAGACCCTTAGTCAACAAACGTCCACTCGAGTGCCGGCACGTGGTAAGGCGTTCGTGCTGGCCAATGTCAGCGCCCGAGCTGGGGTACCAGAAGGTAGTTTCATTCATCCCAGGGGCGGCGAAGAGACCAAAGGAAGGTAACACGACGGAGGGCAGAGGTGAATTTTGGACAAAGAGGTCAGGAGAAGCCTTTCCGAGGTGACTCTTGAGCCAAGTCCTCCCAGGATACGGGGGAGGGGAGAGGGGCCGGACGTCTGCGGACAGCTCCGGGGCAGGGTCGGAGATGTGGGTACCTCGGGAAGGCCAGTCTGAGGCTGCGGGCAGGGGGGCGGGGGCCCCTCCCGGGGTCTCGCGGGCACCCTGCCCCAGGACGCGGCCCGCCCTCATGCCCGCCGGCCCGGGCGGACGCCCCTCACCAGAAGAAGGTGTTGGTGCCGTCGTCGTAGACCTCGGACTCCGTGCTGCGGCGGCCCGGGCCCGGCGCTGGGCCCGAGGGCACGCCGTCCGGCGGCTCCTCCAGCGAGGCCTTGCCCGCGGGCAGCGGGGACCCCGGCCGCAGCCCCCCGGGGCCCCTGCGATCACCCCTCCGCATGGCGCCCCGGCACGACCGCTCCGCCCCGCGCCCTGACCCCACGCACACCGGGTCACCGCGAGAGCGCGCCGCGCGGAGCGCCGGGAAGGGGTCGCAGCGCTAGCTCGGCGGGGTCTCCAGAGAGCAGGGGCGGGAGTGGCGAGGAAAGAGTGGGCGCTGCATTGTGGAGCGTGTAGTCCGCGCGTCTGGGCCGCGGGGCATGCTGGGCCTCGTAGTCCTTACGTCCCGGGTTGGAAGCAGTGCTTGCTGGGAAGGATGCCGCCTGGTTGCTAGGTAACCGGAGCCGCTGGGCAGTGTCGTGCACCGCGGGCCTCCGGCGCAGTGGCCACTCCAGACCCTCCTGCCCAGACGGCCGGACTCAGTGTCCCCGCGCTTTCCTGGAGCGCCTCCTCGCAGCGTGGAGCCGTGGCCCAGGCCCGGAGGCGGGATCCCTGCTTTGTCTCCTTTTGGGGCGCTTCCTGACCCTTTACCCCACATGCGATTGCCTAGATGCCGCCAGGAGCTCCAAGACTCTGGCCCACAGGGTCGTCCCTGCCGGCGGCAGTTCTTTCGTGGGATCGCGTGAAATTGGGCCTTGAGAATGGAGTGGACATGCTGATTTTGGTTAACTCAATTTGTTAACATAGACAGGGCTCGCCCCCAAAATATTTAGCCCTGAGCCACTTTGAAAAACAGCCTGGCAGCTCCTCCAGACAGAGTTACCATGTGACCCAGCAATTCCACGCCTAGTTATTGCTAAAGATGGCATGAGTGGAGCCTATCAAAATAGCACCAGAGGGGCTGGCCCCGTGGCCGAGTGGTTAAGTTCGCGCGCTCCGCTGTAGGCGGCCCAGTGTTTCATTGGTTCGAATCAGTGATTCGTTGGTTCGAATCCTGGGCGCGGACATGGCACTGCTCATCAAGCCACGCTGAGGCAGCTTCCCATATGCCACAACTAGAAGGACCCACAAAGAAGAATATACAACTATGTACCGGGGGGCTTTGGGGAGAAAAAGGAAAAAAATAAAATGTAAAAAAAAAAAAATAGCACAAAAGCTGTCATTTCAGAAGAACGCCTTGCAAGTTTTGTTTACTTTATCTTCCAAGCTGGACCAAACAGCCAACGTTCCAAGAAGTCAGTAAGGACAAGAATAGCCTGTCGGTAAGGACTGATGGAACTGGACTTTGCTGATGACCTGAATGATGACCAATCTATGAAGTACAAACCTACTTATCTAGTACCCAAGAGGTGTATACACAACAGAAATGAAAATGTATGTCCACACAAAACTGTACATAGATGTTCGCAGTAGCATTATTCATAGTAGTCAAAAGGGGGAAGCAACCTAAGGTCCATCAGCTGATGAATGGATACACAAAATGTGGTATATCCATACAATGGAAAATTTGGCCATAAAAAGGAATAAAGTTCTGACACATGCTACAACATGGAACCTTGAAAACAGTATGCTAAATATACTAAATGTACATTTCTTCCTGTAATTGGCGTTCTTCTCTGTTGACTTCTTTCCAAGTCTGTAATTGACATTCTTTCCTGTAATTGACCGCCGGTGGTACTGCATGGGAGCTCCCCCTTCCTGCCTCCCGACTCCATTTTAAATGTTTTCCCTTTATTAATTTTCACATATGTGAATTACATATCAACAAAGCTCTTAATATATGTATATATTATGTATATATTGTGAAAGTTAATTTTCATGTGTGAATTACATCTCAGTAAAGCTGTTGTTAATATATATGTATATGTACAAGCATGGGGCCTGATTATTGTGTGACTGACTGTCAGCCCGATCGCTATGTGGAATCTCCCAATAAATCAGGGACCAAGGGGCATGCCAGGAAACACCGGCCCCACGAGGTGTGCTGTCGGGCCTTCCGGGGCCTGGCTGCTGTCACCTGCCTGCCCCTGCACCCACCCCGTGCCCCAGGCCCCTGCACCCACCCCCTGCCCCAGGCCTCAGCCCCATCCACTTGGGGTCGTCAGGGTGGCCTAGGCAGCCAGCTTCACCGTGGCCATCCACAGTGCTTGTGCGTGTGCGAGTGAAGGGAAGTGAGGCTGGAGAGGAGGGCCAGGGCTGGACCTTGTTCTGCATCCTGAAAGCCAGAGAGTCACGATGTGGCCCGCGTCACTGGCTGCTTTTCGGGGAAACTGGGACGTGCAGTCTCCAGGGCACTGGCCTGCAGAGACTGATGCGTTGGGACCCGCTTGGTCCGGGGAAGTGATGCTGGACCCAGGAGCAGGAAGTGCTCAGAGCAGACCAGGTCCCTCCCGCCCCGTCTTTCCAGCAAGCACGTCCAGGCCTGCTTCCCGCCTGCCCTGCGCTCGGGGCCTGGAGCCATCCTTCAGGGCTCCTCTTCTCCCGCCCCAGCCAGTGGCGCTCGCATTCCGGGCGCCGGTCAGGGTAGGGACGGGATCGGGGCGGGGCTAGAGGGCGAGAGAGGGGCGGGGCCTGAGGACCGGGGCGGAGACAGGTGTCAGGGGTGGGGCCTGGCGACAAGGCAGGGGAGGGGCCGGATCCGGGCGGGGCCTGAGGAAGGGTCAGGGCTAGAGAGCGGGGCCTAGGGACCGGGGAGGGGCCAGGTGCCATGGGGGGGGCCGGGGGTTGAGGGCTGAGGACTAGGGCGGAGCCAGATGGCAGGAGCGGGGCTCAATGCCAGGGGTGGGGCCTGAGGGAGAGGCAGGGGCGGGGTCGGATTGGGGCGGGGACAGAGGCGGAGCCACACGCCAGTGGGGGGACATGGGCGGGGGGCTCTGAGGACCAGGGCGGGGCCAGATGTCAGGGGCGGGGCCTGAGGACGGGGCGAGGACGGGGCAGGGGCGGGGCAGGATGGAGGAACGCGCGCGGACTCTGGCCAGGTGCCAAGGAGAGTTCCCGACACTTTACGAAAGCTGACTATCCTGCTCTTCACACCCTTTAGGCTCTATTTTTATCTCTCGCTTAGAGATCGAGAAACTGAGGCACAAGAAAGTTGGTGACACCCGCGCCCAGCTCCCTCTTCCCCCCTGGACTCCGCCTGCAGCCATGCACCTGGGGCCTAAAATCTGGGTCTTACCTCCGCCCGCCTCCTGTGCTGACCACCACCCTCCCCCCTGGCTGCAGCCCTTCTCACCCCTCCCCCTCGGGCTCGCAGGGTCCGGCAGGGTCCGCCGTAGGGCTTGGAGAGCGGCCCGAGGAGGAGCAGCTAGGGCATGCGGAAGGCCGGCAGTTAGTGGCTCTGGTGGCGGGACCGCAGGTGATGGCAGTTAGCCAAGCAGCTTTGGGGACGTGGTCCAACGCTGTGCTGGGGCTTGCCGGGCTGCCCGACGCAGCAGAACTTGAGGGCCCCCAGGGAGGAAAGAGTGCAGAGGCCCTGACCTTCCTCAGCCACCGAGATGACCGCCAGAAGCCCCAGGGCGGAGGGAGGCAGGGGCTGTAAAGGTGGCCAGCTCTGCCCTCGCTCAGGGATGGCTGCTGTTCCGTGACCACACCGCGCAGAGCCGGGTCAAAGCTCGCCTGGGCGCGGCCTGGCCTCAGATGCCAAGGTTCCCTTAGGCCTGCAGGGCTCACGTTCATGGTGGAAAATAGTGACAATGTTGGTGGAAATGCTTTCTAAAAATATTCTTGCAGGGAAGGGAGAGAAAGCTGAGAATTTGTGAAGGAACAATGACTGTATTTCCACTGGTGTGGTAAATCTGTAAAGGTGAGTGGATTACTTAAAATTGCACCCTACCATGTGCACACCTGCCACCTGGGAGTTTTCTCAAGGTTGACGGAGGGATTTGGGACAGCAGGGCTGTCAACTTAGCCAAGAATGGCTCTCTGCTTCTCTAAGACAGAAAGCAGGACCTGGTGGAAACTTAAGGCCCTGAGGTGTTGGGGGAGCAGCAGGGAGACAGAAGTGTCCCTAGCGTGAGGACATACAGGGGCCATCCTGGTGTGACAGGCAAGGACCAGTTTCTGGCAGACTGGAGGAGCAGAGGCCCAGCCTGGCAGAGGGGTCTCCCCTGACGCCAGGGAGGTCTGCCGCCCCCGAGAGAGAGGCCAAGGGGGAGCGTGTGCCTGGGACCAGCCCGGAGAGAACTCAGGAGGCCCACCCCAGCTGACCCAGCTGTGCTGCCTCTGAGAACCATCCTCAGAGACATCAGGATGTCCTAGTGTCACAGACAGGCCATGGGGGTTAGGAGGACAGATTCCCAAGGTGAAGACAAATTGTACTTACTCCTGCCTTTGGAGTTCACCGGCAGCACTCCTGGGGGCTTTGTCATCCTGACCTCTGCAGGGTGGCCACCAGCCCCTAGTTAAAAGGGTCTGAGGCACCCTGGAGAGAGTGGGAGTGGGGGGCCCGCCTCCTGCTGCACTTCGGCCCTCAGAGGGAAGAGGACAGGTGGGCAGGGTTCTCTGGAGCTCGGAGGAGGAAGGAAGGTGAACAGAGTCCAGGGTCCACTAGGGAAGAGCAGGAGGCCCACATGGGCCTCGACCAAAGTTCTCCACCCAAGATAGGGCAGCTCTGCTGACAGCCGGGGCGGCCAGGCCACACTGCGCGAGGGGCTGGTGCTCTGTGCTGTGGTTCCTTCACGGGATGCGCTCAAGACCAAGGCTGAGTCCGGGAGAAATAAAGTTCATAATAATAGACTTTATTATGACAATAAAGTAAATTTAATAATAAAGTTTATAAAAGTGGTGTGTGGTGTTGTAGAAAATTCAAAGAAAGCAAACTAAAGCAAGAAAAGTATAATTCCACCGTCCGTAGTTCATATCATCCAGCAAATACAAATACCAAATGTTAAATCTGCTCTTCCAGTCTTTTAAGGCATTTTGACTGAGTTGAGATGAAAAATGAATATACGTTTGCAGTCGATGTTTTTTCACTTGACAGTATCAGCATCTTCCTATGTTCTCAGAGACTCTTTGAAAGCATCGTTTTCAATGGCTGCTTCATCAGAACACGAATTGACCACGTTTGCTCAGAGACTTCCCTGTCTTTGAACATCTAGGTCGTTTACAATTTTTGACTCGAAGGACATATTTATACATGTTTTCATCCCGGATTTTGTTTTGGATAGTTTACAAAAAGTTAAATTAATAGACCAAAGTATAAACAATTGTAAGTCTTTCGATTCTGTTGTAGATTTGCTTTCTGAGTGGGCTGCACCTGTTTTCTCTCCAGCCCAGATGAGATGAGATCTGCCCTGACCTTCCATCCCTTAAGCGTCCCCTGGGGGCCTGGCCAGTGCTCCTCCCCCAGGCTGGGGATGCTGCCTTTGCCCCAAGGGCCCACAGGGGCCGGCTCTCTCGAGCAGCAAGGATCTCAATGTCACTCAGGTTCTCTCACACCCTCGGAAAGGTAGGAATGAGAAGAAGCAGTGTTTCTGAAGCAATAAAATTGGGAACGCCAAATAAAGAGAGCAGCTGTGTAGACACTTGAAATGATGTCTGACTCAGGGGTGACATCCATAATGCGCTGGAGGATTGGTTTATGGTAATGTAAACATCCACGGAGAAGGTCTTGAGCAGGACACTGGGAGTGGCAGAGTCCAGGAGCTGGCTGGCAATGTGGACCTTGAGTTCCGATTACTGGTGCTCAGAAACCCTTGCTGACTGTTTCCTGAACTCTTAGCCAGCATTTGAAGCCCTCTGGCCTGTGCAGAGACGTCGGGTTCGCCCAGTGTCCTTCACCTTCTTCCTTAGGAAAGACAATCACACTTCCCAGGCTTCCTTGCAGTAGGCCATGTGACTGACCACGTGAAGCGTGGTGGGCCCCTCCTTCACTCTTTCTTCTTCCTGCTGGCTCTAATGTGGATGTGATGCCCAGAGCTTGAGCAGCCATTTTGAACCATGTGGTGGAACCATGGGCTTAAGGTGGCAGAGCAACAAGTTAGTGCTAGTCCCAGACTGACCACTTCCAGACTTCATTTCTGGGAGAGAGAAATGTACTATCATCTGGGATTTTCCCTCACACCGATCTTAATGCATTTGTCCAAATCTGCTCCATCAGAGTTGCACAGGTTCTGTGCTGCCAGATCCCTCCCTTGTCTTTGCCACCTCCTACTTCACTCATGGTCTCTGCTGCTATCACAGCCTGCCATGGGGTCCCCCAAGCAGAAACATGGGTGGGGCCATGTTTTCCCTGGGGGAACCGGGAGCAAACATGTCCACCCAAGTTCCAAACCTCAGGGTTGCATGGGCTGCATAATGCTGTACCCTGACACTAGGGGTGCTCCCTGCTCCCCTGTGACATTGGGGGTGCTCCCTGCCCCCATGACATTGTGGGAGCGCCCCGTGACCTTGGGGATGCTCCCTGCCCCCTGTGACATTGGGGGTGCTTCCTGCCCCCCATGACATCGTGGGTGCACCTCGTGACAGTGTGGGTGCTCCTTTCCCCCCTGTGACATTGGGGGTACCTCCTGCCTCCCCATGACATACATTGTGGGTGCTCCCCATGACATCGGGGTGCTCCCTGTCCCCTCGTGACATTGGGGTTGCCCTCCGCAACGGTGTGGGTGCTTCCTGCTCCCCACAGTTGCCCCCTGTGCTGCTCAGTGTTTCCGGGTATCTGGCTTGGCTGAACTCCTGCCCTGTGTCCTCAGCTTCAGAGCAGCTTTCAGAGTGCGGGCACCCCACCTCCCTGTTGGGGACAGTCTGCTGTCTCCCACGGGACAGTCTTCAGTTGCTGCCCTCAGGCCTCAGTTGTCCATGCAGCCTGGGGCCAGCCATGTGTCCTCAGGACCCCAAGGGCTCCCCTTCCTGAGCTGGGGTCCACAAAGCCAGGGCTCAGGGTGAGAGAAGACAGTTTCTTTTTGGGATCTGTCTCTTCCTCAATCCTCCATGCCCCAGTTTCTCCTCTAAGGGAATCAACACTGGACATGGGGGGTAGAGGTTTGGACACTCTGGAGGGGACCTGGGGAAGGTGAGTCCTGGTGTCAGGAAGAGTGATGGGGAGCAGGGGGCCAGGTGATACTGTTGGGTGCTCATGTGCCCCCCACCCTGCTTCCCCCCAGGAGGGGGATGCCTATCTAGCTCCGCCTTACCCTGGAAGCCCTCTGCAGGTGAACTTGAAGGCTCAGGTAGGGGGAGGGGTCCCCCACCGGGCCTCCAGGAAGGTGTCTGAGGCCCGCTTGCTCCTCCCCATGCCTGCCGGCTCGGGACCAACGGAGGAGTAGGGAGGAGAGAGCAGGGAGGAGAGAGAGGCGGGGGGAGAGAAGGGCGAGTCCCACGCGGAAGTCAGGTAGACGCGCCAGGCGCCTCGCAGCCACACTCGGTACCCGCACCCCGACCGCCCGCCCTGCTGGCCCGGGACATAGTGTGGCCATCAGCATGCAGGTGAGTCCCGGCTGCGCGGGGTCCACACCTGCGCCAGCTGCCGCAGGTGTTCCCAGCCACGCCCACCCGGCCTGGGCCAGCCCGCCAGCCCCACCAGCCTCACCTGGAGAGTGCCTGCTGAGTTCCCTGCAGCCCCAGGCCGGGCTGTGGTGTGGCGGCCAGAGCCCGGCGGAGCCCTGGGCTCCTGGGGTTTGGGGCAGGAAACAGGAGGGCAGCTTTCCGCCAGGCCAGCCAGGGATTCTGGGGACCCCCAGGCCGGGCTCTTGGTGAGTGTATGGGGCCTAGATGGGGAGGGCATGTTCCTCTTTGTCATCGTCCCCCTGCCGCCTCCCCACCCCCAGCCAGGGCAAGGACCCCCAGACCTTGCAGCTTTGCCCTGCAGCTGGCATCTGAGAGGCAAGGGACTGTGGCCTCTAAGGTGGGCTGACCTGGGGTTGGGGAGGCCCAGGGGACCAGCTGGGCCCTCTACTCCCTGGGGGTCCTGCCTCAGGTGGAGGTGGGGGCTGCTGGATTCTGATTCTGAGGGACAGAGCAGGAGGCTGTGGGGCCCCCCTTGGAGGTGGACAAGAGAACATCCTGGGAAGACATCCTTCCTCCCCTCTTGCAGGGAAGAGGTCGAGGAGGTGGGGGCCAGCGCCTGGGCAGCCTGGGGAGGAGATCCACGCAATGTGGGGGGAGAAGCCAGCCTCCCACTCTGCCTCTGCCCAGGGTGTCCTGAGCCTTTCCAGAGCCAGCTCTGGCACCCTGGCCACTCAGGCTGACCCAGGCACCCCTGCCAGCCCCTTCCTCCCATGCCAGCCCTCCCAGGGTGGAGGAGAAACTTGGGGGGACCGGGGTAGGGGAGAAGTCGCACTTGGTTTGGCTGAGGCGAGAGATCAGCCCTTTGGGCAGGTGCAGATGCAGACAGTGGGGAGGACCTGGTGGCCCCAGCCCCCGGCTGGATCTGAGCATACCCCTTCCGGCTCAGATCCCTTCCGCAGCCCCTCATTGCCCCCAGCTGAAGCCCAAGCTCCACAGCTGCCTGAGCAGCTCCATGGATCGCCCTCCATAACCCGGCTTCTGCCAACCCCTAGCCTCACCTTCCGGCAGCTCCCTTCTTGTTCTTTGTGCTTCTGCAAAGCTGAAGTGCCGAGGACAGAGTCCCTGGGTGTAGTAACTACCAAGTCCTTTCAGGTGCTGAGGACCAAGTCTCTGGGTGGTGCTGAGTACCAAGTTCCTTGCTGCCCGTCATGGTCTGTCCACACATTTCCCTCTCCCAGGAAGGCTGCCCCCACTTTTTCACCTCCTGCCAACCTCTTGCCCTACAAGGCTAAGCTCCAGGCTACCTCCCCTGCAAAGTAGGCACCTGCCCCTCCAGGCCCGTGTCTGCTCACACCGTGCACTGCCCAAGAGGGCTGAACGCGGGGCGGGCTGCCTCGTCAGGGAGTGTCTGGGGTGGAGGGACACACGAAAGGATGAACTGACAGATGACGGACAGATGGATAGCTGAAGGGGGGCGCAGACGACCGGCTTGCGAAGCTGAGGAGGCAGGGCCGGGGGGCATTTGCTCAGGGAGGGTGGTCACAGGGCGTCCGGGCTGGGCGAGCACGGATGGGCTTCTCTGTGTGTGGACATTGGTGGGGGCAGGCAGGTCCCCCTGCTGGACCATGAACCTGCAGCGTGCCCATGGGGCCAAGCCAGGAGGGCAGGGGTGTGACATGCCCCTCACACAAGGTGGGCCACGGAGGGCGAGGGGAGGCCCATGCGTGTTCTGTGTGCAGCTGGGTGACCTCACATGTGTGCTGCATGTTGCCCGCTGGGCCAGGCCTGGTCAGGACCTGGGTAGTGGTCACATCTACACAGCTGTCTCTTCCATCCCACTGGTGACCTGGAGGCCAGCCTGGGAAGGGCCAGGCAGGGGCAGGAGTCCCCAGCTCTGAATCTTCCTGTCCCCGTGAGGAGGGAGGGTCTCCCAGGAGCTGCAGCATCTCCAGAAGTTTCCCCATCCGGAGCCAGTGGTGAGCCCACCGGACTCTGGCCTGTGCCAGGCCTGGGACCCTGGCCCACTGCGTGTGTGGGCTGTAGGGGGTGGGGCTAGATGGACTGAAGGGAGATAACAGTGACCCCAGAGCCTGAATCCCTGATCTGTGTGCAGGGACGTGCCGGGGGTCCGCCCATGGCAGGGCTGGGACCCCTGAGGTGGAGTGTACAGGGGAGCCCCTGCCCTGGCTCAGGGATCTGGGAGCCTCATGGGCACATGTCTTCCTGGAGGTGGGGCTGGTGGCCGGGGCATGGGGGTCCTGGACAGCCCGCTTCGGGCGCATGTAGCAGTCTGCTTGGCTGGAGGTGGGCTTGGATGGGGATGCTGACCCGAGTGGACAGGAAGCAGATTCTCAGAGCCTGCTCTCTGTCTGGCTGTGGACCAACCTGGCTGCTCCTGTGGCTGCTGGCCCATCGCCGAGGAGGGACCAGGCGGTGATGAGGCAGCCCTCAGGTGTGCGTGTAGCTTTGCTCTTGGGGGTTCTCCCTGTCCAGTGGTCCGAATCAATGGTGGGGGCCAGTGCCTGGCGGACACCTTAGGCGGCATCACTCTCCACTGATCCAGATAGCATACGAGTCCCCAGGGGAGATTGAGTCAGCCTTTTCCAAGAGGCTCTGGGTAACCGTCCCAAAGCTGTCTCTGGTGGGGCAAGGGGTTGTCTGTGAATTGGGAGCTGCACCAGGTCCAGCAGCCTCATTTCTGGGGCCACTAAGGGCTGACCTCCCACCTCAACCTTTGATGGTCCCTCATGGCCACCCCTTCTTCCCAGGCTCCTTCCTCCTGCCAGCATCCCAAAGTCCTACCCAGTCTGGCTTCCCTGAGCTGCCCCTTCCCGCCCTGGGGTCCCCTCTCCCACCCCTGATTGTCCTGCATGGTCTTCAGTCTCCGCCCTGCTAATATTAGGGGTCTCTCCTTCCAGCCTCTGCCAGAGGAGCTCGGTCCCGGGCACAGGGGGCATAGGGAGGGCCCTCCAGGGTCTGAAGCCAGCACTGGAGCTCCTGAAAACATAAGGATCCATTTCACTGACAAATTTCTTCAGCACGACACTTACTGAGCCCTATGGTGGGCAAGTCACAGAGCTGAATGCTGGTGACACAAACGTCCCCGGTCCCCTCCAGCCAATACTTACTCTCTTCCCTGAGACAGAGGCGCCTCAGCCCGGGACCCCTGCCCCTCCCTGCAAACCTGTCTGTGAACGGCCAGTTTCTCCTCTGGCTGGAGACGGGGGAGAAGTTTCAGGTCTTGCCGGCCACACCTGAGCTGAGGGATCTGTGGGTGTCGGTGTCGTGGGAGGGCAGAGCGCCCGGGAGCAGAGAAGGTGATGCTGGCGGGGCGGAGACGGCTTAGTGGGAGACCTGCGCCGGGCAAAAGGCCAGGGTGAGCCCACCCCAGGTGATTCCCACGGGGCGAGAATCTCAAGGCCCAGGCAGGAGCCGCAAGTGGGTTTGGGGCACCAGATGGCATCTACACTGGCCTGTCTCCACATGACTGTGACATCCGGTGCCTTAGAACCTGCAGTCCGTGGTTGGATTTGATGTATTTCCTGGCTTCTGTGATTGAGAAAGAGGGGGCCCAGGCTGTCCCGGAGCCAGCAGTGCTGGGTGGGCATGGGGTGGGGGCGGGCGGGTGGAGCAAGGTTGCAGTTTTAGCGAAACAAAGTAAAAAACAGACACCTACTTAAATTGAGTTCCACATAAACAATGACCTTTTCAGTATAAGTATGTCCCATGCAATAATTGAGACATACTTATACGAAAAGTGTTTGTTGTTTATTGGAAATTCAAGTGTGACTGGACGGCCTACATTTCACCTGGCAGCCCTCGAGACAGACTGGGTGGAGCAGTCCAGTGGGGCTTCCTGGAGGAGGCGGGTCTAGAGCTGGGCAGGAATGTGGTTGGGAAAGGGAAGGGATAGCAGGTGGGAAGACCAGCAGGGGCAGCAGAGAAGACGGGTGGTGGAGTAGGGTGCGGTGCAGTGGGAACCACCTTGCACCAGGCTGAGGGCTCAGCCGGGGAGGAGCAGGGCCTTGCTGGGGCTGTGGGGGTGTAGGCTGGCAGGAGCCCAGGGCCAGTGGGGGCCATGGAGGGGTGAGCGGTGCCCAAACCTGCCAGCTGGTCAGGGCAAGGTGGGGTACTCAGACAGACACAGCCCCCACAGTGGCCCCCACACCCAGTCCCCTGGGACGCAGCAGGGTCCCTGTCCCTCCGGGATCCATGTGCCTCTGGGAGCTGCCAGCTGGGACGCGGCTAGGGTCCCTCTCACTGGCGCACACACAGCGTGCTCACGCCACGCTGGGGCCACAGGATGCCCTGTGCATGGGGTGAAGGCCCTCAGGGCAGATACCATCACTGTCTGAGGTGGAAGAGGTAGATGACCTGGCCCGAGGGCAGTGGCGTTGGCATCCCCTGGCTCTCGGCTCCAAAGCCAGCGTCATCTCCTGGCTCCTTGGCCTGGGGCGCCCCCTGCCTGACCTGCTCTGACCATGTGCCCTTGTCCCCACCTCCCGCATCCCCCACCCCTCAGCCATGCGGCTCCCCCAGCGAAGGGGCCTGGTCACTTTGTCCTGGCCTCAGTGCCTGCTGTCCATTTGCTCACTGAGCATGAGCCAGGCCTGAGCCCACGCCCACCCAGACGCTGACCCCAGCACACCCAGCTCCCTGTTCCTGTGTGTGCACTTTTAGCACAGCTGTAAGAATTCCTGAAGGGCTATGGAGATGGTACAAGGTCCCCTCTGCCCTTCGCCCCACCTCCCCAACGTCAGCGCTCCACCACCTGAGGCACCCAATGCCGCCCCCTTGACCAGCTTTCCGTGTGTGTCCTTTCCTGTGGCTGGTCCTTGCAGGATCCCACATGGCACGTATCGTCATGTCTTCTTGGCACCCCACCGCGTCCATGACAGTCCCTGTGTCCCTCTTTGTCCTTGTCCTCCTGACTCTCAAGTCTGCTCGGGCTCTGGGGAAAGTCCCTCTGAGGTCTCCTCATGCTGAGACAGGACCAGAGGTTCAGGGAGGGGACCACATACTATGACCTCACATCCTGTCAGGGGGTCCCTGACATCCCAATGATGTCACCGTGACTTGACCTTCATCACCAGGGTCGAGGGGCATCTGCCGGGTCCTCCTCTGCAAAGTGACTGCCTTTCCCTCCCGCGCTTTCTCCATTAGTCACTAAGTCCAGCCCACACTCCCTGAGGGATAATGAGCGAATGTGTGACATTTGTTGATGCTGCCACAAGGATAAACAGATACTCAGGGAGAGACTGGGAGGCTGTGCACATATTCGCTTCCTCCTTCAGGTTCTGCCCACTGACCTTGGCATCCATCTGTCCGTCCGTCCTGGGTGTGCCCACAGCAGTTACTTCTGTGGGGCTCCCATCAGACTCACCATTACCCAATTCAGTACCGTGTCGTTGGTCCCTGACACCCCGCAGCTGCCCACTCGTGCGCCTGTGGTGTGATCTTCCACCGCGTCACAGAGTCTCGTCCACCCGCCCGCCCGCCGATGGGAATCTGGGTTCCCTCCACAGTTTTGATGTGAAATATGCTGCTGTGAGCACCCCGTCCACGCCTCCAGGGGCGGCTGGGCCAGGCCGGGCCGTAGGGTCTGGGATGTTTGATTTTGTTTCACAAATTCATGCACCGACGTGCACCACGGCAATACACAGGGATTCCAATGATTTGCTGCTGTCTGACCCAAAAACACCTGTGACCAGGGGCCTAGGAGGCGCCACCTCCTGGTCACTGGCCCTGCGTTTTCCTGATGGGCCACCACCTGAGCACCCTCTCCTGTGAGACCCTTTGCTTCTCTGTCTGTCCATCCATCCTGTCTCATGCGTTTCAGGGGCTCTTGGTGTAGATTCCCAAAGACACCTTCACTGCTTGTCTGTGTCGCACCCCTGGAGCCCGGCCGCAGCTGGACGGTCCTCTTGTTTCCCACCTCCCCCTTCTGTTCTCGCCCCTGGTGCTGGAGGCCTGGCCCAGGAGCTTAGCAATGAGCCCGTCCCTCTGTCTGCCCCCACCTCAGGGGGAAGAGAGCCTCCAGTTCCTGGGGGGGACCGAAGGGGACAGCTTCCCACTGGTAGAGATCAATACTTGTGAGGTGAGTCTCGCTCGGACCCTTGGGAGGGGTCTCACCCCCTCCCCCTGCCCTGTGCCTGGCCCACCCCGTGCCTGGTCCCACACCTTCCTCCTCCAGACTGAGGCCTCTGAGCAGTGGGATTATGTGCTTGTGGCCGATCAGTGCACCCAGAGAAACCCCAGGCAGGCCCACCAGCAGCAGCGGTTCTTGGAGGAGCTCAGCAGAAAGGGCTTCCATCACAAGGTGGGCTGGCTGAGGCCCGGTGCCATGCGAGGGTCATCGGATCTGGGTGGGTCCTGTGGGGGAGTCTGGGGAGGTGGCCTGTGACCTTCTGCCTGAGGTGGCAGTGGACGAAGGGGCAAGGGTTCTGAGGTGGTGTAGCGGGTCCCGTGCGGTGTCCTGCCCCCAGAAGTTGCAGGACAAGGAGAAGATATTCTTCGGGATCCGAGCCGACAGCAGGATCTTCAACCTGTACCGCACGCTCCTCCTGGAGCCTGAGAATCCTGCCCCCGGAATGGAGCCGGCCACACTGACCCCCATCCCAGCCACCACCAGGTGAGAGCTGGCCCAGAGCCTGGCCAGGAGGAGCCCTGCCGCCCACATGCCCTGTCCAGGCAGCGAGGCTCCCAGGCGTGGTCTCAGGGTGGGGCCTTGGGGCAGTTTTGTCTCTGTGATAAGGGATGAAGGCCCTTCTCACCTCTTGAGGTGTCCTGAAGGTTACACATGACTGGGTCCCCAGGACCCAGAGGAGAAACCAGCCTTAAAGGGCCAGCAGCATTTGGAGAGGCTGAGGGGATCCTCTCAGCCGTCCCTCCTGGCTCTGAGGTCGTCCCGCACAGACCCCAGATGTGGGTTCCCACCTCGCCCCTCCTGACCGAATGCCCTTCCCTGGACTTCTGTCCCGACCTCCATACACCCACCGCCTCCTCTGTCTCCAAGCACCACTTCTCCCCTTGACCCTCCAGTCCTCCCAGCCAGCCCTCCCTACTCCCTTCCCCACCACCTGCCCAGCGGGCCCAGGCCCCGCCAGCCCAGCTGGGACCCGGCAGGTAGAGATGGCAAAGAACGCTCCAAAATTTGGATTCAAGACAACAGGGGGCCTCCTGTGAACACAGGAGAACTGGCTGGTCGTGGGGAGGCAAGGGGAGGACGGATAAGGAGAGGCACCTTGATGGGGCCTGGGAGGAACAGGCTGTGGAGAGTGCCCTGGGACACCCGAGGGACAGCGTCTCACAGGAAGATGTTTTAGAGGAGCATAGCTCTCTAGTCAGGTGCCGCTGTGCTACTTCCTGGCTGTGTGGCCTTGGGCAAGTTACTCAGCCTCTCTGAGCCTCAGTCTCCCCACAGGCAAGATGGCTCACGGGGTATAAAGAGGATTCATGCACATAAAGGTGTAGGGTGTGCCCTGGACAAATGGGGGCTCCAGGTGGGAGGTGTGATTGGAGGTGGGGGGTCTGGGCTGAGTGTTGGGGTCCTGGGAGGAGAGGGACCATCCCTGAGGGAGCCTCACCCTGGAGCCACGGGGCGGCTGGACCCTGGGAGGATTTAAGGAGGTGGGGGGTAAGCTCATGGTGGGCTCCACTGAGTCCTGGATTCTGGGCTCTGGTCAGGCGGTCAGGGCAGGTGGGCTGGGGGCTCTGCCAGGATGGAGAGGGGCCTGAGCCAGGCCAGACAGAGGGCGGGGTCCACCGAGGCCACATGGGCCATCCTGAACCAGCTCCTGTGTTCCAGAATCCGAATCGTCAACTTCATCCTGAAAAGCAAAATGGCAGCCGGCGGTAAGGACGGGATGGGCAGGGGGCCTGCACGGTGGCCACCAGGACGTAGGGAGGAGATAGCAGGTCCTCCTCACCCCTCACTCCTCTCTGACCCGAGACTCCCCGTGACCCCCAGCCACCTTTGAGGATTTGGTGAAGGACGGGGTCTTTGAGACCAGGTTCCCACTACACAAGGTGAGGGGTGAGCCGGCTGGGAGAGGGCCTGAGGGCGGGACGTGGAGGCAGGAAGCTCTCACTGTCTGCCACCTATGCCCAGAGGGAGGAGGACCTGATAAAGAAATGGGCCCAGTGGAGAAACATGTTCCACAAGCAGCCGATTGATGAAATCAGGTAATGCTGCCCCAAGCAAGTCACCTGTGCCCCCATAGACACATCTGTGCCCCCACAGATGCACCTGTACCCCCACAGACGCACCTGTACCCCTACAGATGCACCTATGCACACCACAGACGTACCTGTACCCCCACAGACACACCTGTGCACACCACAGACCCACCTGTGCTCCCACAGACGCACCTGTGCCCCCTACAGATGCACCAGTGCCCCCACAAACGTACCTGTACCCCCACAGATGCACCTGTGCACACCACAGATGCACCTGTGCGCATCACAGATGCACCAGTGCCCCCTACAGATGCACCTGTGCCCCATATAGACGTACCTGTGCACACCAAAAACGCACCTGTACCCCCACAGATGCACCTGTGCACACCACAGATGCACCTATACCCCCACAGACACACCTGTGCCCCCTACAGATGCACCAGTGCCCCCATAGATGCACCTGTACCCCCACAGATGAACCTGTGCACACCACAGATGCACCAGTGCCCCCTACAGATGCACCTGTGCCCCATACAGATGCACCTGTGCACACCAGACACACCTGTGCTCCATACAGATGCACTTGTGCACACCACAGACGTACCTGTGCCTCCCACAAATGCACCTGTGCACACCACAGACACACCTGTGCCCCCCACAATTGCACCTGTGCCCCCTACAGACGCACCTGTGCACACCACAAATGCACCTGCGCCTCCCACAGACACACCTGCACCCCCCACAGATGCACCCGTGCCTCCTATAGACACACCTGTGACCCCCAGGACACACCTGTACCCCCCACGGACGCACCTGTGCCCACACTGGCACACTGATGCCATCACTACAACACTCCTTGCCCCCACATGTGTCACGCCCACCCAGGCGCTGGCGTGTGACGTCACCCCTGGGGGGTGGCTCTGACGGGGCAGCTGTGGCCATAGGGACTACTTCGGTGAGAAAGTGGCGCTGTACTTCGCCTGGCTTGGCTGGTACACCTACATGCTGGTGCCTGCCGCAGTGGTGGGCGTCCTCATCTTCCTGAGTGGCTTCGCCCTGTTCGACACCAGCCAGATCAGGTGGGAGGCTGGGCTGGGGGCTGGGAGGGGGTCCCGGGGCCAGAGATGGGGTGCAGCGGGGTTGGGGCTGGGGGCAGGGGCAGGAGGGGCCTGTGTCAGAGAAGAGCCCACACCAGCCATGCCTGCACCCCCAGCAAGGAGATCTGCGAGGCCCACGACATCTTCATGTGCCCTCGTGGCGACCACAGCCGCAAGTACCACCGGCTCTCAGACACCTGCACCTTTGCCAAGGTTTGCCACTTGGGGCCTGGCTCACCCTGCAGGAGAGGCCTGGCCTGTCCTCCCAGAGAAGGGGAAGCCGAGGTTGGGTCCCTGCAGAGCTGGGCTCACCCGTCCCCCCGGGGGGGGATGATGGGTCAGGGGAGGCGGCCCCCAGGCCACACATGTGCCTCTCTCCCCAGCTCACCCACCTCTTCGACAACGACGGCACGGTGCTGTTTGCCATCTTCATGGCTGTGTGGGGTAAGTCACCTCAGGGGAGCTGGCCTGAGCTCCAGGGCCACTCCTGCCCCCAGGCCCCTGGGCCGCCACCCCCACTCCCATCCCAGGGACACCCTGTGATGCCTCTCTGTGCTCCCGGCTGCAGCCACGGTGTTCCTGGAGATCTGGAAGCGGCAGCGCGCCCGTGTGGTCCTGCACTGGGACCTGTATGGGTGGGACGAGGACCAGGTGAGTCGGGGCAGGTGTCCAGGGCCGTGTGGCCACAGTCCTGGGTCTGCCGTGGCGGGGAGTGTGCCCATGTCAGAGGCGTGTGCATCTGTGTCTGAGGCGGGGGTCCCATGTCTGCGCTGTGTCCGGCGCCCTCTGCAGGAGGAAATGGCGCTCCAGCTGATTAACTGCCCCGACTACACGCTCCAGCCGTACCAGCACTCCTACCTGCGAAGCACCGCCATCCTCGTCCTGTCTCTGCTCATGGTAGTCCTGGGGGACCCGCAGCACGGCTGGGGCCCGGGCTGGGGACGGCACTCCTGAGGCCTACCATCCTGGCCGCCCCTCCTGCAGATCTGCTTCCTGATCGGAATGGCCCACGTCCTGGTGGTCTACCGCGTGCTGGTCACCGCCCTCTTCAGCAACTTGCCCATCCTTGGGGAGCAGGTGACCACGGCCGTGGTGGTGACTGGAGCCCTGGTGCACTACGTGACCATCCTCATCATGACCAAGGTGGGAGCGTGGGCAGGGGAGGGTGGGGAGGACCCTGCTGAGGCCCCAGTGAGCCTGCCGGTCTCCCCTCCCGCAGGTCAACAAGTGGGTGGCACTGAAGCTCTGCAACTTTGGTGAGATGAGGGCCCAGCCCCCTCTGGCTTCTACGGGAACCACAGGAAGCGGATGGGAGGATTCAGGGCTGGGGTCCTGGAGGCCGGGGAGGGGCCTTCCTGCTGTCTCTGTCGCCACTCCCATGAGAGGGCAGGGGCGCACACCTGGGAGACAGGTGAGGGGCGCAGATGCCCCTGAGTTGGCAGGATAAGGACTGGTGGGGTGTGGGGCTGCCGTCGGGGCGAGGGGTGGGTGCGGGACAGCCCCACGTCTTCTTCCAGAGAAGCCCAGGACCTTCTCGGAGCGAGAGAGGAAGTTTACCATCAAGTTCTTCACCCTGCAATTCTTCGTGCACTTCTCCTCTCTCATCTACATTGCCTTCATCCTGGGCAGGTGGGCCACCACCCCGCACCCCTCCAACTTGCCTCTCCCCCCTTAAAGGTGGAAATACCTGCTCCTTCTAATTCTAAAAGAATTCACGCTCAGAACAAGTGGAGACCCAGCATAGAAATGCGTGAAGGGAGCCCGGACTCTCCAGTCCCCGTCCCCGGAGGTGACCCTGTAGCCGGTCAGTGGGTCTGCCTGGCTTTACTACACGTTTAAGTCACACACATACGCCCAGTGACATAAACTGTTCTGTCTTCTGAACACCTCCATCTGCTTTCCGCGCTGGACACACAGTGCGGGCATCAGCCGCATCCGCGTCGGGGCCAGGCCTCCTTTTAAAACCCACCGCGAGCGCTCTTCCTGGGATGTGCTGGGGTGCACAGACCCCTCAGGTGGTGCATGTTTCAGTGACTTCTGGTTTCGAGCTTTATCCATAAAGCTGCAGTGAGCGTCCCACACGACACGCACGCATACTCGCTCACACTCCCCTCACCTCCCCAGTCAAAGTGAAACGAATCCTTCAGATTCCGTCAGTATACTTTTTTGTCTTTTCTGAAAATAATTGTTCCATTTGTTCTGGGTTTGCTTAGGGTTTGTAAAGTGCATACACATTGCCAATGAATCCCAAACTCTCTACCAGAACTTTAAAAAACCCCAACCCCTCCCAGTACGTCCAGAGCTGTGGGGCATCCCTCTCTGGCCCTGGAGGGCCGTGTTTGGCCCTCCGTCCTGGGAAGCCCTCAGTGTCCGCCACGTAGGAGCCGGGTTCTCCCGAGAAAGGCGGATGGAGAATCCGATGTGCATAGCTTCCCCTTCACGGGGGGCCGGACCGAGCGCTTGCTGGAGACAGAATTTCAGGCAGACAGTGTTTTCCTGACTTCAGAAGGGTTTTTGTCTCCGGCATGCAGCATGCATTCTGCAGGCCCCACCTGATTGCAGTCCTGACTCTGCACACCCAACCCATCCCGGCCTCTGAGGTCGCAGCCCTGCGTCTCGGTGGGTCTTCTCCATCCCACACACTTCGGCGCTGGCTTCTCTGCTCTGCCTCACCAGCTTGCTCTCCCTGGATGATCTCCACCGTCACACAAATGTGCGTCCCCTTCCTCAAGGAAGCCTCTCCCCTCACGTCCTTCCTGCTCTCCCTCCTCAGCACCGGCCGCCCCCTCCCCTGCTGGCTCTCCCCCCTCTCTGACTCCAGCTGTCCCCACGCCCAGGCTCTGTCTGTGACTGCAGGCACCATCACAGACACCACCTGGACACACCAGCGAGGCCGCACGCCCCCACCCAGGCCTCTCCCTGGAGTCCAGACTCAGACCCAGCTGCCCCTCGGCACCCCCACACAATGCCTCGCAGGCGCCCCAACCTTACCGCGTCCACAGCTCATCCCCCATCGCCCGCCTTCCATACTCCACTCTTCCAGCACCTGCCCTGCTTCCCTCCGTCACCCTCCTGTCCAGGACGCGTCCCAGGGGGCATGGGTGCTTGTCCATCACTGAGTGCTCAGCGCCCACAGCAGGCCTGGCGTGCGGACTCCAGTCGGGCAGCTGAGAGAGTGTCATGCCGGAGCCTCCATCCTCCGGTCCCTCTCATGTCTGACGACGCCTGCTTTCGTGCCCTGCCCCTCCTCCAGGATCCTTCCTGTAAGGAAACTGGGCCTTCTGAATTCACCACCTAATTTTCTTTGTTTTCTTCCATTTTTGTTCCAGCTTCTGTGAGTTTTCTCACCTGTGTCCCAGCCCTCTGGCTGAACATCCTACGCCTGTTTGCATCCTTAGTCTCAGGTGCTCCTTTCGACGTCTGCAGGCTCCCCACAGCCTGCCCCTCGTGCTGCCTGTATGGCTGTCCTTGTCTGAGGACGGGGCCTCTGTCTTTTTCTTCCCCTCTGGCGTCGCGTCTGTTCTTTCCAAGCTTCTTGGATGCTCTTCCTTTGATTGGTCTCTGATTTTGATGTCAGAGACTTTCTTAAACGTCCTCGATTCTGGGCCACCTGTCCGTAACTGAGAAAGGTGTGTGCCAGTGGCTTTGCTCTGGGCCACGTGTCTCCCATCAGACCTCTTGCTCCATTGGTCCCTGGAGGGGAATTCCTGGTCTCCTGCCTGGAGGCGGAAGGACGCTTGTTGGTGTGCTGGGAGCTCAGCTGGGGCGGGGACAGTATGGGATCACAGCGTGCACCCGACATGTTCTATCTTAGGTGCCACAGGTTCATCAGCTCTGATCCGCACAGCAGCCCATGGGATAGGGACTCTCTGATCCTTGTCTTACAGATGAGATGACTGAGGCCCAGAGAGGTTAAGAAACTACCTAAGGGTCACACAGTCTGTAGGTGGAGGAGCAGACAGAGGCCAGAGGGTGTGGTTCCAGAGCTCAGGTCCTCCAGCCTTGCTTGTGTTTGCTGCCTCTGTGGGCGAGGTCTCTGAGAAAAGAGGCACAGCTCCAGCTCGTTACTCTGGAGGCAGAGTTCCTTTTTTATGTCCCGAGGCTTGTCACATGTTCTTTTATGGTGTCTGCTTCTCATGCCCCGCTTGAAAAGGCCTCCCCCTCCTCAGGATTAGAAACCTGTTCAGCTGTGATTTCCTTTAGATGTTTATGGTTTCGGCATTTTAAGCCTTCAAACCTTTGATTCGTAAGGAACTTGTCCTGCTGTGAGGGACCCTGTTTTATTTTTTCCGAATGAAAGCCAGCCATCCCCAAGCTGTATGTGGCCACTGCATCACCCCCCTCGCCCCTCGTCAGACACCGCAGGCCCTGCTTGCTCGCGTCCAGCCTCTCTGGCTGTGTCACCCCGGCACCTTCCTGTGATAAGTGTTGTTTCACAGCTTCGCTTTTAGGCAGGGCCAGCATTCACGACTCTTCTTTTCCACTGTTGCTTGATTACGGTTATTTACACGTTTATTATTCCAGGTCGACTTTAGAATCCTTTTGTCCAACTACATCGAAATTCTGTGGGATTTAGCTTCAGATTGCAGTAAAGGTATACATTCTTTCAGGGAGAATCAACATGGATTCCCTATTAGTTTCCTGTGGCTGCCGTAATGAATGCCCACAACTCTGGCTTTAAACAACACAGATTTATTACCGTACTGTTCTGGAGGCCAGAAGTCCAAGAGGGGTCTCCCTGGGCCAAGATCAAGGTGTGGGCGGGGCTGTCTGCCCGGGGCCTTGGGGGAGCACCTGCTCGCCTTTTCAGCCTCTGCAGTTGCCTGCCTTCCTCCGCTCCTGGCCCCTTCCTCCTCCACCCTCAGAGCCAGCAGCTCAGGCTGCGTCCTTCTCACCCACCGTCTCTCTGGCTCTCCCTCTTCCTGACTTAACGACCTTGTGATCACCGTGCAAGCCTGGATAAGCCCAGATAAACCCGGATAAGCCCGGATAAACCTGATAATCCCTGCATTGTAAGGCCAGCTCATTGGCCACCGTGACACCCTCTGCCGTGTAAGATAACATACTCTCGGGCTCCAGCAATTAGGATGTGGACGTTTTCGGGGGCCCATCCTTCCATCAGAAAATATAATCTATTCGTGTCTTTTTTTATGTTCTTTTTAAAATTTTTTAAATTTAAGATGGGCACCTGAGCTAACATCTGTTGCCAATCTTTTTTTCTTCTTCTTCTTCTCCCCAAAGCCCCCCAGTACCTAGTTGTCTATTCTACTTGTGAGTGCCTCTGGCTGGGCTATGTGGGATGCCACCTCAGCATGGCCTGATGAGCAGTGCCATGTCCACGCCCGGGATCCGAACCAACAAAACCCTGGGCTGCTGAAGTGGAGCACGCGAACTTAATCACTCGGCCATGGGGCCGGCCCCTTTCATGTTCTTTAGTCGTTTTACGGTTTCCTTCACCTGGGTCCCACTGAGTTCCTGTGAATCTCACTCTAGTTATTTTATAATTTTTGCCTGCATCTGTGACGGTTATGTCCTCCTGCCACGGTGCCCAGGATTTTCTTGCATCCAGGAAAGCAAGCAGAGCTTGACAGCAATTTTGTCTCCACTCTGAGCATTTGTCCGCTGTTTTATCCACCCAACCTCTCAGTTGATTTATTTTGTTTTTCCAGGTATATAATCATGTTTCCTAAAATAGTAATTTTTCCCGTTGCAAATTTATACAGTTCCAGCAGCGAGTTAAGTAACGGTTGTCGTGAACTGGAACAGGAGTGCTTCCAGGGTTTCACCGTTGGGTATGAGCGGAACTTTGGTTTAACATAGCTTATGTTTTTTACCATGTTACGGAGAGCAGGTGATTTCCACACAAAGTAACCCCAAGTGCACAGCTTCCATGGGGGAGAAACTGAGGTCACTGTCACAGGCCTGTCTGGGACGTGCATCTGCACGTGTGAGTGAATGCAGAGAGGGTGCGTCTGGGTGTCAGCCGTGCCTCCAGCACCAGCCTCTGCTCACCTGCGGGGCGGGCGTCTCTCCTTCCTGCCTACAGCACCCTCTGTCCTCTGCCCCACGCCCACCCAGTCAGAGGCCAGCTGCCACCTCCGCCCCACTCTCAGCCTCACTGTCCTTCTAGGATCAACGGTCACCCTGGGAAGTCCGTGCGCCTGGCGGGGTTGTGGAAGCTGGAGGAGGTCAGTCTGTCCTGGATGCCTCACTGCCATGTCCCTGACCTACCCTTCCTCCCGGGCCTCCCCCCACACCCTCCTGCCTGACCTCCCACTACTGACCCCACAGTGCCATCTCAGTGGCTGCATGATGGACCTCTTCGTGCAGATGGCCATCATCATGGGTCTGAAACAGACGCTCAGCAACTGCGTGGAGTACCTGTGCCCGTGAGGACGCCCCCCCCCACCCAGGGGCCGCCCAGCCCCCACCCTCCCCTAGGGAGCACCTGAACCCGCAGGCCTAGAGCGCCACCCCTCTCCCCATTTCCCAGAACCAGCGGTTCTGAGGGCCCCTCAGCCCCAGCACCCCTCCTTCTCTCCCCCCTGGTTCTTGTCACCCCAGGTGGCTGGCCCACAAGTGTCGCTTGAGGCAGGGCCGCATGTCCCAGGACCCCGAGCTGAAGGACTGGCAGCGCAACTACCGCCTGAACTCGGTCAACATCTTCAGCCTGTTCGACGAGTTCATGGAGATGAGTATGTGGTGGAGTTGGGGGTGTGGGGCTGACGGGGGGGGGGTGCCTACGAAGGGGAGAACTTGCGGGAGGAGAGGCCAGTGCCGGAGGGCTGGCGGGTGGAAGGGTGGGTACTGGGGGGCTGGTGGGTGCCTGGTGGGAGGAAGGAACCTGGGGGGCCGCAGGCATGGGGGGGGAGGAGCTCAGATGGCTGGTGCCCCCCACAGCCCAGGTGACCCCCCATCTACCCCCAGTGATCCAGTATGGCTTCACCACCATCTTTGTGGCCGCCTTCCCACTGGCCCCACTGCTCTCGCTCTTAAGCAACCTCGTGGAGATCCGCCTGGATGCCATCAAGATGGTCAGGCTGCAGAAGCGCCTGGTGCCCCGCAAGGCCAAAGACATCGGTCAGGGCCCAACAGGGCAGCTGCACGGGGCAGGACGCTCCAGCTAGGGGCCGGGGTGGCAAGGGACACTGGGACCACACCAGTCCCCTTGAAATCATTGCTCTATGCAACGGCGGCAAGACAAGCCCCCTCACCCCACAGACAGCCCCCCAGCCCTCTCCTGGGGTCTGCCAGGATGGGGGATGGGCCTGGGGTGGGCTCAGGCCCCAGGACAGGCAGGGCTGGCTGTACCTTGCCTGCACCACCCCTAATCCTCGGGGGCCCAGGCAGGAGAGTTAGACTCTAACAGCTGGGAGCTGAAGGAGGGAGGGGTCGAGCAGCTGGGGGCAAGGACTGAGAGCAGGTGGCCTCGGTCACCCAGACCCTAAGGCTAACCCTCCTTGAGTTGGACAGCTGTCAGAGATGAAGAGAGGGGATGGGGTGCTGGACGTGGGCAGGGGAGAGACAAGTGTGAAGGAGGCCCCAGTCTTGGGCCCAGGATAAGGGGTTCCACCCTGGTGTGGGGGCCCAGGAGATAGAGCAGGCTCGGGGCTGCTGAGAGGTTCAGGCAGAAGACGGGGGAGCGGGGAGACCTGAGCCCCTCCCTGTCCATGTCAGAAGAAGGGAGTGTAGGAGCGTGGAGACCATGCTCTCTCAGCCTTCGCCGAGGTCTTCCTCATCAGCGACCTGGCCCCACGGCTGCGATGGGCTGCAGTGGGCAGAGGCGTGACAAGGCCCCCTGACCATCCAGGCTCCCAGCCTGGGCGGATGGACGGGTGTGGGTGGGGTGGGCAGTACCAGCCTCAGGGCTTGAGGAAGCAGCCCCCTTCACCCCACTGCTGTGGCCCAGGGACCTGGCTGAAGGTGTTGGAGACCATCGGCGTGCTGGCAGTCATTGCCAATGGAATGGTCATCGCCTTCACGTCTGAGTTCATCCCCCGAATGGTGTACAAGTACCGCTACGGCCCCTGCCGATGGGGGCCCCGCCCTGAAGTCGAGTAAGGGGGCACCACCACACAGCCCCGGGGAATCTCAAACTGCCTGGAGACCCCTGGCAAAACTGGCCCACCCACAGCCCAGCCTCAGGGGAGTCCAGGGAAAGGGCTCAATCCTGCCAGTATTACCTGCATACCCCAGGCTGGAGCCCAGGAGAGCTGACTGGGACCCCACTGGGGATTAAGGTCCCAGACCCAGCCGTTTTCAGAGCAGGCACGACCAGAATGGCTCCCCTCCCAAAGTCAGGCCCTTCGCAGCCTGCTCAGTGCGAGGGCAGAGGAGTGCCCTTACTCAGCCCTCAGGGATCCCACCAGAAGGCTCCCCTCAGCTCAGGCAGGGAAGGCAGCTGGTGGTACCCAGAGGCCCTTTGGTTTCTCCCATGTATAGAAATGAAGGATGGGGCAGTGCTGTGCCCCTCCCTGACTGGCCCCCCCAGACATGGAGTAGCTCCAGGGAGGCACCCCAGGGCCCGAGAGGCCGCACCCTGTGGCCGACACACCCCTGCTCCTCTGCCCTCCCAGCTGTCTCACAGGCTATGTCAACCACAGCCTGTCCTTGTTCTACACCAAGGACTTCCAGGACCCCGACGGGATAGAGGACCTGGAGGATGTGACCGAGTGCAGGTTTGGACCCCCACCCTCCCCTACTCCCGTGAGTGCCCTCTGAACTCCTGACCCCTGACTCAGGTGCTTCCCCATCCCAGGTACAGGGACTATCGCAACGCTGGGGACTACAACTTCTCCGAGCAGTTCTGGGTCCTCCTGGCCATCCGCCTGGCCTTCCTCATCCTCTTTGAGGTGGGCGAGGACTGGGGCAGAGGGGGGGGGGCAGCTCTCTCCAGCCCTCCTCTGGGACCCCCACCCCTGAAACCCCTGGTTGGCCGTCTCCACCGCCCCCAGCACGTGGCCTTGTGCATCAAACTCATCGCTGCCTGGCTGGTGCCTGACGTGCCCCAGATGGTGAAGAACAAGGTTCTGGATGAGAAGTACCAGAGGCTCCTGGAGAAGCTGAGGTGTGGGCGCTGAGGCCAGGCCCCAGCCTGGGGGGTGGGGGCAGCCAGGGTGAGAGGGAGCCTGGAGAGGCCCCAGGGTGGGGCCTGGCTCTGATCCCCACCAATCCTTTTCCTGCCTCCAGATCCAGTCCCAGGAGCACAGATGTGTAGGGGACCCCGAGCTGGTCAAGAGTTGCTGGTGCCCAGGAGCCAAGGCTCAGAGCCGCCACCACCGCCTCCTACGCCTACTGTGTAGGCCTGGGGGGCAGAAAGAAGGCCTGTGTGTGTGTGGGTGTATACGTGGGGTGCCCGGAGGCCCCTACACACGTGGGTCCGTGTATGTCTGTGGCTCAGGGCGTCTCAGGAGCACTGATGGTGGCTGTTCTGTCCGTTAGAGCTCGGGCTCGGCACAGCCCTGACTTGAACTCTTGAGTGACCCCTGCCACCCATGGAACTGACAGTGGAGTCTTCTCATGCGCTCACAACGCATGAAAACCCAGCCCATTTCCTGACCCAGGTCCTGCCCCACCCCGATTCTGGCTGGTCAGGGGCCCTGACCCCACCTCCCTGGCTCCCCTCAGCCAACAGAACTTTCTATAATAAAACAGGAAAAGACTCTTTATGTTGATTTCTGGGCCTCCGGTGGATTGCGTCTGCCCTCAGGGCTGGATGGGAAACAGGTCCAGCTGTGGAAAGGTCCGGAATGTGTAGCCTGGCCCTCCTCTGGTTTTCTATGGGCTTCCAAAGGAGGAGCGCCTTATTGAAGTCCTACCCTCCCTGCACCTGGGCCTCAGGAGCCAGAGTCAAGGCAGGCTTCCTGGAGGAAGAGGAAGAGCTGGGGAGGAGGGGGCAGACCCACAAAAGGTGCCCTTGGGGACGGTGGAGGCTCGAGGAGTCCGGGGGCTCCGAGACTCTCCAGGCAGGCTGGGCCGGTTTGGCCTCTGCCCCAGGCCATGCGGCCCCGGCTCCCAGGGGCTGAGTGGACACTCTTGAGCGCCAGCCTTGGGCGCAAAGCGGGACACTTGGGTCCGCCCTCGGCCCTGGCTGCTGGGCGGGGCTGCACCTGCCGCCGCCGCCGGGGCTGTCGCCGCTGCGCACCTGGACCAGGTGAGCCGCCCCGCCTCGCGGTCGCGCGAGTCCCAGGTCTTGGCAGCAGGTGAGTGGCAGTCGCGGCTCAGACCCACGGGGATGAGTGGAAGTCGCAGGCTCCCGGGAGCGGGGACCAGGACTGGAGCTTGGGCGACCCGGGTGCGCCTCGCCCCGAGGAGCCTCTGGGCCATGGCGGACGCGGTCCCGCAGGAAGTGGCACGGAGCCGGGCCGGCTGACCGCGTTGCCCGGAAGCCCGAGCTCGTCTGCGTCCCGGCCCCTTCGGCCCAGGGTGGGCAACGGCTGCCCTTCCTGCTCCGCCCGACGTGGGTAGTGGCTTCCTCGTGATTTTTGCGCGGAAGAGGGAGGGGGAGGCTCTGGGCGTGCGGGGACCCCCACGTCCGCTACAGACTCGGATCCCAGGCCTGAGGCCTCCCGGGGCGCCGGGGGCCGACCGAGCAACAGCAGGGACTGCGGCCACGGGTCGCCGGGCGGAGCTCTCCCCGTCAGCTCGCCCCCGCCCTCCGTGCGCGGCCCCGCGCCCCGCCACCTCTGACTTCCGTGCGCGCTCCCACGCTCCGTCAGCGCGCTCCGACCTCCGAGCGCGGTCCCGCCCGCCCCTTGACTTTCTTGCGCGGTCCCGCCCGCCCCCCTCGACCTCCGTGCGCGCTCCCGCATCACCGCGCTCTCTGCGCACGTCCCCGCTCCCGGCAGCCCTCCGAGAGCGCTCCCGAGCCGCCCTCCGCGCGCGCCGCCGAGCCGCCTGCTTACCGCACAGGGAAGGTGGGGGGGTCCTAAGGCAGGTCCACCCCCGTGGGAGGCGGAGCGCGGAATGCGGGGGGTGTGGCAATGTGTGCCCGGGGAGCAGGACAGAGCCTCTGGGCCTGCGGGGCCACAGCCTCTTATGCACGTTCTTTCCTTCAGGAGAGACGTCCGGGGGCGCAGCAGGCGCCACACGCGGAGGGGCTGCGCGTTCCAGATGAGGGGGAGATGTTCGGAGACTATGGGGTGCTGAGCAGCACACTAGGCAGTGCGGAGGGAACAGGGAGCATGCGCTGGCCGGGGGCTAGGCCAACACCGAGGCTCGGGGACAGCAGCCCCACCGCGCGCACCCAGCTCAAGTGCCTGGAGAAGCTGGGCCTTTCTGGGAACCACAGGGTGTGGGGCAGAGGGGGTGGGAGGTGCAGGGAGCGGGCTTGGAGTCGAAGGGCCGGTCTGGAGAGTGCCGGAGGCGATGTGGGTGTTTATGTTCACTTTGGAGAGTGGGCCTCGGGGGCGAGGGAGGGTGAGAGTGTCCAGGCATGGCTGTGAGATGGTGGCACAGATGGGCACACAGAGCAGCGGGCAGTCTGGCAGGAGCTGCCAAGGCTGGTTGGGGACACGGGGGAAAGCCTAGTTCTTTGCTTCCTGCCTGGGTATCCTGGGCAGGTCAATGACTACCGGTGGCGCTAACCTATGCATTAGGTGCTTCGCTGTCCACCCTCTGGCGCCAGAGCCCACAGGTGCACCTTCGCAGCGAGTTTAGTACCAGCTCCAGCATGCATCGAGGAAGCCAAGGCTCAGCGGAGGAGAGGTGCCGTCAGGCTTCCTTCCCGCCAGTTCTGAGGTCCCCAAGCCCAAGATGCACCATCACCCAAAGGTCTTGAGGGCCACAGGGGGCTTTGAACAGGGCTGGGTCAGGGTCAGATCAAGGATGTAGGAAAATTGGTGCTGCACTGAGCAGCTCCACTGTGGGCCCCACCCCTGTGTGGGTGAGGGCAGGGTCCGGCTGAAGGGGACCCTTGCCCCCCCGACTTCTCTGGGCAGTGATACCAGCCACCTGTTGCTAGGCCCTGAGTCCCAGGTCAGTCTAGGGTGGGGTGGGGGAGTCAGTGGTGACAACAGGAGATGCTGACTGGCCCCCACCTGGGCTCAGAGCCCAGGAGCCTCTCTCGAAGCCTCCTGTTTGCTTCCTTATCTGGAAAAGGGGGCACTGCCCTCCCATGACTGCCTGAAACCAAGGTCCACATGATACCACAGCCGCCTTGTAACTGCTCATGGTTTAGGGGCTATGCCTGGGAGGTAGACAGGGAGGGGCCAAGGGCCCTGCTCAAGGCCCCATTACTGGTAAGAGTTCCACAGGACCCCCTCCCGCACAGGTAGGAGGCTGCTCACTTAGGCCAGGGGGCACGACATGGAGACTCCCTCCCCTCCCGGGTGTGGCATCATGGGGGGTGTCCAGGAAGCGGACCACATCGCCCAGCTGGCCCTCCTCGTGTGTGTGCAAGATGGCCCTGACTGGGGGTCTCCTTGCCAGCACCCCCGCACATCGCCCCGGGCCCCAGGCCCTCTGCAATCCCCCCAGGCCTGGCTGCGGGAAGTAGGGTGCCTGGTGGGCTGGGGCGGGCCCCAGAGGAAGGAGCCGCTTGACTCAGAGTTACAGGAAGAGCGGGGCAGGCGGGGCGGCAAGAACCACCAACTGCCCGCCCGCCTGCGAGGGGTGGGTGCCTGGGTGGGGTTAGGGTTAGGAGAGGATGTGACTGCGAGGCCAGGAAGCTACGAGGAAAGCTCTGAATAAACGCACAAACAAAAGCCAGGTCCTCACCGTCCTTGGCCATGCGTCCCAGACAGCTGTGGTGCTTTGGACCGGGCTGGGGGCCCAGCTGAGCAGAGAGCTTGCTCCCAAGCACACGCCAATGACCTCAGTGACCGACATCCCCCCCAGGAGGAAAAAGCCGGAACCAGGTGACTTTGTGCCCTCCCACTCAGCCCCGCTGCTCCATGTGTGCCTGCATCCTCATCCTCTGACACCGTTCCCGCCTGAGGCCTGTCCTCGGAGTCTGGCCTGGCGCAGGGGAGGTCCACAGCATGTATGGGATGTGTGTGCACACATGTGTGTGCCTGTGAGAGTGAGGGGTGATGGGAGGCTGTGTGTGCGCCACTGGCGGCCAAGGGTAGGTGTGAGGTGCACTGTGTGGGGGGTGGGGTGTGTGCAATGCTCATGGCTGTGCGCCCTGTGGGAACTGTTGCAAGTGTGTGCACTGTGTCCAGGTGTGTGGCCCACAAGAGTATTGGAGGTGTGGAGAGTGTGCATGTGTGCACATGGACCAAGATAGGAGTTTAGTGCAGGTGTGCAAAGAGAGAGGGCGGAGTGTGCAACAGAGACTGTGCAGGGTAGAGGTGTGCAGGGGGAGGACACCTGGCACCTGACCATGCAGTTGGGCCTTAACTTTCGGGAGGGTCGGGCTGCCTTTCCAGGGTAGGAGGTCTGAGCGTGCGGAGGTCAAGAGACCACTGCAGGAGTTGCCCTGGGACCTGCTGGGCTGGGGCACGTCCTTCTGGGCATGCTGAGCAGGGGTGTGAGCTGCCCAGTCCTCCGCAGCCCCTCAGTGGGCTAGCTCTCCTGCTTCAAGGGCTTTCCCAGGACTGCCCTCCACCCTGAAGGGCTTCTGGAGGGAACCTCCTTGGGAACGTGCCTGATGCTCCAATTCCTGAGGAAATTCCAGCCCCTGCAAAGCCTTAGGGGTCCAAAGGGCAGGGAAGACAGCCCGAGGGAGCCAGGGAGAGGGCCTCAGCTCAGTCCCCGCACTCGGCCCCAGTGTGTCCACTCAGCAGGGACGGAGCGGAGTAGGTGCTCCATGAGTACTGCTGGACCAACGGGGTGAACCTGGGCACCCGGGAGGAGTTGGCCTGGGGCCTGCTGCCAAGGAGGCTGTCAGTGAAGGCTCCGTGCTGGGGGCTTCCCACTCCCTCCTCTCAGCCAGCTCCCTTTTGTGTCAGGAGGCACATGTGGCTGCTGCCAATCTGGGCCAAAAGTGGTCCCAGACCCCGCATAGGAGAGAAGAGTCACCTGCCGGTGGGGTGGGGGCTTCCCTCGGAGCACTGGAAGGACAAGTGGACAAAGTCTCTGGGTTTGGAAATGACAAATGGGGGGCATGCGGGCACAGGACCCAGAAGGAGGGGTGCCCCGTGAGGCCTCTCGCAGCGGACTCGGCCCAGCCTGGCCTCCACGACCTTGCCTGGCCCAGGTGTTGTGTTCACGTGCACATGTGTGCCCGCGGGGCTGGGTCCAGAACAAAGTTTTACCATTGGGAGCGTGGCTCAGGGTCAGGCCGCCTGGCACTTGTGCCCCTCAAGCTCCCAGGGCCTGGCTGAGTGCAGCCCACACTGTAGCACCCCTGTATGTGGCAGCCCTCTCCCCGGCGACAGCGGGAAAGAGGCCAACTCCTGGCGTCATGAGGGGTGCTGGGGGGGATGCACATCCACTGCCCCACCCTGGGCCATCACAGCTGCCCTGGGGCAGGTGGAAGTCTGTCCATGTGCCCCTCCCAGCCCCCTGGGCTCTGTGAGGTAGTGCCCACTCTGGCCATGTGTAAGGTGCTGGAGTCTGGGTGTCCTGCTGGCATCTATGAGGACCCTGGTGCAGAGGTGGTGCTGTCTGTGGCCGAAGTTACACGTTAACTCACCCTGTTCTTGTTTAACTTGTTCCCTGGGAATGGCAGCAGCCTGCGACCCATCCTGGCACCCTGACTGACTGGTCACAAGGACAGAGAGTGAGTCCTGCCCAGCCCTTGGGATACCGGTTGGCTCGGCCAAGTTGCCCCGTGGAGCCTGGGGTGGCCCCCCGAGGAGGTCCCGGCCAGACCATGGCAGGTAGACGGGTCAGAGAGGGACGGCACGGGCCCCACTCCCACCCCTGCCCCTCAGGCTGGCTCCACGCTGCGATGCTGCTTGGGCTTTCTGCTCGGCCTCAAGCCAGGGGTACAAAGGCCTCTGCTCACCACTCCCATGGCCCACGGTCCTGACCCCAGGGTCAGGATGGCCCTGAGCCCTCTCCCACCCAAGGCCTCCAGGCCGGGCCCGTGGGGGTCAGTAAAGCTCAGGGGTACTGGGAGTGGGCGCTGGTGGGGGACATGGGGAGCGAGGTGGGTAGATGTGGGTTGCTGGGAACCACACTACCAAGATGATGGTGGTCATCTCTGATCCCCTGCTAGGGCTCATCACCCTGATTTAAAGGTGAAAGAGTTCAGCTGTCAGGGAGGTGGGAAGGCTTGCCTGGGGCCAGGAGAGGGTCCTGGAATCCCAGGCTCCCATCTCAGGCAGAAGAGCCCCCAAACCCACGGAGCCTGGCCCCTCACCTGGGTGAGCTTCACAGCAGTGGGCAACAGGCGCACAGGGGATGTGGGGGCCCATGTTCTGGGTGGACGAACAGCCAGATGGGCCCCGCTGGGCCGCATGAGTCAGCTCAGCTGTGACTAGCCACTGTCCTCCGTCCCAATGTCCTCTCAAGACCCAGCCACTGCTGGGGGAAGACGTGCCAAGCGCCAGGCTCTGTCCACCATAGGACTTGTGGATGCCATGGTGTGGCTACCAAGCAACCCACACCACTGGCCATCTTGTTTTTCCCTGGCCCGCAGTCTGTCTGTGGACAGTGGGAGCTCGGCATCCCAGGCACAGGTAACCCACTGGGTGCTCTCTCCGCAGGTGTCTGCGACAGGGCCCCTGACTTCCTCTCCCCGTCTGGAAACCAGGTCCTGTGGCCTGCCCTGGGCAGTGTGGTCACTCTGAACTGCACGGCCTGGGTGGTCTCTGGGCCCCACTGTCCCCTACCCTCAGTCCAGTGGCTGAAAGATGGGCTGGTGCTGGGCAATGAAAGCCACTACGACCTCCATGAGGACTCCTGGTAAGAGGCCGGAGTGTCCGGGGCCAGAGTGACCCCCCTGGACACACCCATGGCCAGTGGCCTCTCTGACCTACACCTGGTCTACAACTACCTGGACTTGCGCTGGGGAGTGACTGCCCAGACATGACATGACAGAGTGCCACTCTGGACGCAGACTGAAAGTCAGTGACCGCAGGGACTGATGGCCCTGTAAACACTCACTCTATAGACCACCCAGGGCTACAGGTGCCAGCAGAGGGCCTGAACGAGGCACTGGCCGCCGGGCCAAACCTGGGATCAGAGGACCCTAGGACCCAGACCCAGGGTTAGGGTGATCGTCCCCAAACAGATCCACACTCCTCCAGGTCCTGGCCACTTCTCATAGCTTAAGGCCCAAGGGCTGCCCAGGAAGTCCAAATCCACAGCTTCCCTGGGTGAGCCCCAGACAGGTGGGGCTCTGGGGTGCCCACTGATGCTCTTGGGCCCCAGGTGAGAAGGTGTGGCCTGGTCTCCCCAGGATCAAGTCCAACTTGTCAGAGGTGCTTGCGTCCAGTGTCCTGGGGATCAACCTGACCAGTACTGACGACTATGGGGCCTTCACCTGCTCCATCCAGAACGCCAGCTCCTCCTCCTTCACTCTTCGTAGAGCTGGTGAGGGGCACACTGGGTCAAGGGCAGGAGGGAGGCCTAGGGGCACCTGGGGAGCGTAGAGGCTGGGGAATGCAGTGGCTCAGTCTGCAGCTCTGTCCCCAGGCTCAGCAGGCCACGTGGCCGCGGTGCTGGCCTCTCTCCTGGTCCTGCTGGCCCTGCTGCTGGCAGCGCTGCTGTACGTCAAGTGTCGGCTCAATGTGCTGCTCTGGTACCAGGATGCGTACGGCGAGGTGGAGATGAACGGTGAGTGGGGGATGGACGGACGGGAGCTCTGGGGGAGTGTGGGGGGGGGGCGCGGGGTGACCCGGCGAGGGAGGGGCGAGCATGGTCCAGAAAAGGGGCCAGGTCGGCATGAGGGCGGCGGCCGGGATCCGGCCCGCGGGCTCCTCTCGGAATCCCGCGCTGGGGAAGGCTTAGGCGCGGCCGGTGGCGGGACCCGCGGGGGCGGTGTCTGGGGGGCGGGCCTGCGCCCTGACCGCGGGGAGACAGTGGGGAACCCGGGACAGGAGAGTGGCCGCGCTGACCCGCCGCCGTCCGCAGACGGGAAGCTCTACGATGCCTACGTCTCCTACAGCGACAGCCCCGAGGACAGGAAGTTCGTGAACTTCATCCTGAAGCCGCAGCTGGAGCGGCGCCGGGGTTACAAGCTCTTCCTGGACGACCGCGACCTCCTGCCGCACGCCGGTACCGCGGCGCCCCGCCCCGCCCGGGCTCCACCCCGTCCCTGCCCGCGCCCCGCCCCCCAGGCGCCCCGACCTGGTCCCGCCCTACTTCTCCTAGGAGCCCCGCCCCACTCTGGTCCCGGGCCCCGCCCCTTAGGGCCCGGCTCCCGGCCCAGCCCCGCCGACGCCCGGTCCCCGCAGAGCCCTCGGCCGACCTGCTGGTGAACCTGAGCCGCTGCCGCCGCCTGGTCGTAGTGCTGTCGGACGCCTTCCTGCGCCGCGCCTGGTGCAGCCACAGCTTCCGGTGGGTTCCGTGCGGGGCGGGGGTGAGTCCCGGCCGCGCCCGGCCTGACGGTGCCGCCCCGCAGGGAGGGCCTGTGCCGGCTGCTGGAGCTCACGCGCCGACCCATCTTCATCACGTTCGAGGGCCCGCGGCGCGACCCCGCGCACCCCGCGCTGCGCCTGCTGCGCCAGCACCGCCACCTGGTGACCCTGCTGCTCTGGAGGCCCGGCTCCGTGGTGCGGGGGCGGGCTTGTGGGGGACCCCCCAAGGGAAGCTGGTGCGGGGGGCTTTGTGCGTGGGACCCCGTGGGCGGGGGCTCCGTGCCTGGTGCCCCAGGAGGGGCCTCTTCAAGGTCCTGGAGCCGGTGAGCGCGATGCATGGTGTGTCCTTTGGGGCTGGATGCCGGGGGCTTCCAGCGTTCGCACCCCTCTATGTGCTCACACGCCAACCGCCCCACCCTGGCCCCCAGACGCCTTCCTCCGACTTTTGGAAAGAGCTGCAGCTGGCGCTGCCACGAAAGGTGCAGTACCGAACGACGGAGGGAGATCCCCAGACCCGGCTGCAGGATGATAAGGACCCCATGTTGATCGTGCGAGGCCGCGTCCCGGAGGGTCGGACCCTGGACCCGGACCTGGACCCCGACCCCGAGGGGGACCTGGGTATGCCCACCCGGCCCCACCCCCCACCCTGAGAAGCTCGGCCTGCCGTGGAGGGAGGCTGCGCAGGGTTGAGGAGCCCAGAAAGGGACCCAAGTGTCGGGGACTCCTCTCTGCAGCCCGTGGATGGGCCTGATCTCTCACCACCCCTCACTGCCTTTCCCGGAGGCACTCGGGCCCAAGGCCTGGCTGGGAACCTCCAGGATCTCAATGCCACCTTGAGGAGGGTGAGCAGGGAGTGACCCCCAGGCAGGGGGTCCTGGCAGAGGGCAGGCTGTGGGCAGCCCAGCCTCAGGCCTGGTGGTGCCCCCTCCCCAGGTGTCCGAGGGCCCATCTTTGGGGAGCCATCAGCTCCACCGCAGGCAAGTGGGGTCTCACTTGGAGAGGCCCGGGGCAGTGAGGTGGACATCTCGGACCTCGGCTCCCGCAACTACAGCGCCCGCACGGACTTCTACTGCCTGGTGTCCGAGGATGACGTGTAGTCCCTACCTGCTGGAGCCGCAGGATCGCCAGAGACAGCTGGGGGCCGGGGTGGGTGGGTCTTTTCTCCACTCAGCAGGATCATGACCAGCCTGCCTGCAACTCTGGGACCCTCAGGGACAAGGGGTGTCCCCTGCCCCCCTCCTTGTGCCAGAAATAAAGTCCTTTTGGGTCCTGCCTGGGCCTCAGCCTCTCCTCTCCTTCTCTGGGCTGGGCACCCATCACTCCCATCTCAGGCTCTCCTCATGGCCACCTGGTCACCAGATCTGGTCATCCTCTGAAACTCACCCTCTCTCCATCCCCCTCCATCCTTAGCCAGCTCAGGTGTGTCTCTGGCAGTAGCCTTCTCAGGCCTCCCAGCTTGGGGGCCCCTGTTCCCAGCCTGACTCTCACCCAGATACATCCAGGGGTGAGGCCCTTTAGAGACTTCAAGTTCTGAGCTTTATAGAAGAAGCCTTTTGTTGTAAAAATATCAGTGGGAGCTTCACAACCAAATGGCCTGGCTAGGTGAGCTGGTGGAGGGATCCCAGCGTCTACTGGACCTCATGCCTCAGATGGACAGCATGAGAGTCACTGGTCAGGGCACCCCCAGGCCCAGGGGAGCAGGGCAGAGGAGGTGTTGGGTGCGTTTGCCGCATGAGCAAAGCCTAGCATGGCAGCAGCAGAGCCAGGAGTAGTCACTCTGTGCACGAGGTCCCCAGCTTTGCTGGGTCTGTGCCTCAGTTGACATCAGGGCTCCCTCTGCTGTCTGTCCCACGTCCTCCACTCTGTTAGCCAGCTCTTCCCCTGCTGGACACTCCCTCCTCCCTCTTCTGGGTCCCCTGACCTGGAGAGGCCCGTGTGTGGGCCTGGGGGGGTGGGGGGTGACTCTCCGCAGGGGCAGACATGGTGTGCTTGGGGACGCTGGGTTGGACCTTGAGGTCAAGCCAGCTGAAGAAGCATGCAAGGCCATGGCTGCTGTGTTCACGGCCACCTTTATTCCCAGTGCTGGCTGTCCCGAGGCACTGCCGGGCCACGGCCAGCCCCAACTTTGCCAGTGTGACTTGGTCACCCCCCATGCACCAGAGTAGCCTCAAGCCCTGCCCTACCCCCTGCCCTGCAGAAGCCAAATCCCCAGCCACAGCCCCCGTCCCCTCCCTGATGGCCCAGGCCCTTCAGAGTTGCACACGGGGGTCCAGAGAGGGGCCCCTGAGCCATCAGCCTTCTCCTCCAGGCCAGCCGGTGAGCAGTGCAGAGCTGAGCCTGTCCCTTGGAGGCTGGGCCTCATCACATCCTCCTCCTCTGAGAAGGCCTCGCCTATGGGCCCAGGAAGTCCTCCTTTCGATAGCCCTTCTGCAGTGGAGAGGGGGCCCAGAGTTAGGGCCCACGCCTGCCCGCCTGGCCCTGCTTGTCCCCGCGTCCCGCCCTCTGCCGTGTGCTGGGCATGGGCCCCTCTCTCTGGGTCCCAGCTCTCCTTTCTCTTGTCTCTGTGTCTCCCCTGATGCCGCCCTTTGCCCACGTCCCTCACCTGTGCCTGCCCCAGGCTCCCAAAACATACCGCCCGGAAGTCCCGGTGGAGCTTGCTGTACTGCCACAGATTGGCCAAGAGGCTGGAGGCGGCCCGGGAGGACTTCTCGCTGTCAGGGCTGGGGGAAGCGGGGGAGCAGAGGTCAGCAGGGTGACAGGCACAGCCAGAGGCAGGGGGTCTGGGGCCCCCGCTGTCCTGGGGTCAGGGCCTTCACCTGTCCCGCTTCTTCTTGATGAAGACCAGCTTGCGGAGCCCGTCGAAGTAGAGCAGGTCTCGGGCGGCGATGGGACTGGCCACCACCAGGTTGTTGAGCACGGCTATGATGTTGACCAGCACGTCGGCTGGGGGGGCCTTCTCACCCACGCTGCCCGGCAGCTTCTCGATCAGGTGACTCACCACCTTAGTGGCTGTGGGAGGCAGGGAGGTCAGTCTCCAGCCCCACCCCCAGCCACCTCAGCACCTTCGGTCCCCTGGCAGCTGGCCTGCCTGCCCATCCACCAGCTCCAGCTTGCCAGAAGCCAGTCCCACTGTCAGTAAAGACAGAGTCTAGGTGTGCACCCAGCCAGGCAGGGTGAGGGCGGAACCCAGGCTGCGAGACAGCCTGACTCACACATCTCGTCCTTGTTCCTGGCATTCCGAGACAGGTTTCGGATCAGGCCGGTCAGGGAGCGCAGCTGGTGGTGGTCCGCTGTCCGAACCCGGTCCAGCAGTGGGTTTAGGATACGCTCCTGCTCCAGAGCCAGGCGGCTCAGCACACCTGCCCACTGCAGGGGGTGGGGGGATGAAAGCAGGTGAAGGCCGCCCAGCCAGCCCATGACCAGCACTGCAGGCTGGCCCCTGTCTCTCGAGCCTCGTGTACCCTGGGGATCCTGCGCTGGACTAGCTTCTCTGTCTCACCTGCTCGGTGCACCGTTTCCTCAGGGCCGTTCTTGCTTCTGCCTTCGCACCCCAGCCAGGAGCCTCACCAAGTGTGACTCCAGCCTGGTCCCTCCTGGCTCAGACCTCCCAGGCACCTCCCCTAAAACCCTGCACAGAACCTAAATCCTCACGGCCCTGCAATGTGCCCATCAGGGATGCCGACCTCATGTTGCTTGCTGCGTTCACCTCCCTCCTGCCCTGCCCAGGCGCCGTGTCTCCTTTCGTCTCTCACTCTGGTGTCCTGGCTCATCCACCTGTCTTCATGCCCTGCTGTCTGTCTCCCACAGAGGGTAAACTAGGGAGCAAGCTCCCGTCCCCTGTGCGCCCTCATGTCCCCAATGTGTGGCCAGGTGTAGGTCCCATCAGACCGGGGCAAGTGCTGCGTGGTCCCCAGGATGCCTGTGGGACATCCGCAGAGGGATGCTCACCCTGCGGTCACCCGCGGTGATGTTCTGCAGCGCCCCGGCGGCCGCCTCTGTTGTGTGCCGGTTCAGCTCACAGCGCTGCAGCAGCCGGTTGTACAGGCCCACGATCTGGGGGCTCCACAGCCACTCGAGGCCCTTGGGGTCCTTGGACACCTCGGCAAAGGTGAGCGCGTCGGCCGTGAGGGGCAGCTGGGCAGGAGAGCGTGGAGGGTCAGCTGGGGTCAGGCCGGGGCCCCTGCTCCCGCCCGCCCAGGCCCGCGCCCACCTCTCGGAGCCGCCGGCTCTGCGGCGTAAAGCAGCCGACCACCTCGCCAGGTGGCGCCCCAGCCATGTCCCTGCGGCCCCGGCCCTCGAGCCGCTGCAGGGCGGACGGCGGCATCTCGTCGTACAGGCGGTAGGACAGATTCCTGAGCACGCACACTGCGTTCTCCACACTCTGCAGAGAGCGGACGGCGGTCAGAGCAGGCTGGAAACCCCGGGGCCCCCTCAGCACTGGCTGCCCCTCACCTTGTCCTCGCACTTGCCCACGTCCAGGGCATGGTTGATGTAGGTGACCAGGGCGTCCACCAGCCCGTGGCACTCACGCATCTTCTGGCGAGTGGTCTGGGAGGCTGAGCTGAGGTTCCTGTGGGTGGAGTCAGATCAGAGACCCCACAGGGACCCCTCCCCCAAGCAGAGCCCATCCCCACAGGGACCCCACCCCTGCTGCAGAGCCCACCCCTACAGGGACCTCGGGCAGAGCAACCCCACAAAGAGACCCAAACCCAAGGGCTGCGATCCTGAGCCCCAATCTCCTCCTTCCCCAATTTGGTCCTTGCCCCTCTGCACCTCCTGCTCCTGGTCCCTGCTGGACACTGCTGGCCCTGGTGCCTCTGCACGCCCATCCCCCATCCACTCCCCGAGTGTCCAGAGTGGGGTTATGAATGTCTGACCAAGTGCCTGATTTAACGAAACTCGAGCCTGCGGCCCCCAGAGTCTGCTGACGTCTAATACCTGCTGGCCTGTCCCACTCCCGTGTCACCACCTATGCCTTGCCCGGTCTGTCCACTCCTCCCAGCCCCTCTGGTGGCTCTGCCTTATCATGAGACCTCGGATTCGAACACCCCTTCTCCGGGCCTCCCCTGCCCCCTCCCAGGTATCCAGCTCTTTCCCCACGGCCACCATCTCGGCCTCTCCCAGCTGACTGCCCCCTGCTTGGCGCACCTGAGGAAGCCCGTGGCATTGTAGAAGATCTCAGCCTCGGAGGCATTCTGCTGGATGAGGGGTGGTCCCCCGGCCCCTGAGAGGGGGCTCAGCACCAGGTCCGTGAGCTGCTCCAGCGTGTCCCGGGCCAGGCGGTCCTTCAGGTTGTCACTGGAGGACAGGTTCCACAGGATCCCTGGGGCAGGTGGGCAGAGGCAGGGGTCAGGGACCGCCCTCTGGCCCCTCTGGCTCTTGCAGGGAGGGTAGGGGGAGGCTCCTGACCTCTCCCAGGGCCCCGCTGGGGGGAGCCTGAGTGACCCGCAGGGTCACAGGGCTGCACCGGAGCAGAGGGACAACGCTGGGGGCCGCCACAGAGACATGGAACAAGAACAGTCACAGGCACCCACGAAAGAGATGGGCCTGGGGCAAGGACAGGGACAGAGAGCAGAGAGGGACAGAGGCAGAGGGAGGAACGATGCTAGTGCAGGGCCCGGCCACCTGTGACGTTCTTGCGCAGCTCGTCGTCCTGCTCACGCAGCGTCCGCAGCAGCTCGAAGATGCCGTTCTCCTCCACCAGTGCCAGCTTGTTGTCCGCATTATCGTAGATGAGGTTGCGCATGGCGCCTGTGGCGTGGCGCTGCACCTCCTGGTTGGCGTGGTTGAAGAGCTTCACCAGCCGAGGCACAGCCTGGAGGCTGCGGGCCTGCAGGCACAGGCGCACAGGGGTTAGCACAGGTGTGCGCGCTAGATAGGTGTGTGTAGATGTATGCAAGTATATGAAGGTGTATAGAGATGATGCAGACGTGTGGAGGGGTGTGCAGCTGGGTGCACATGTATGCAGGTGTGTGCACATCTGTGCATGTGTATGCAGGTGTGTGCAGAAGTGTGCTGGTATATTCAGAGGTGGACAGGTGTACACAGGTGTGTGCAGAGGTGTTCAGAGGTGGACAGTGTGCAGGTGTGTGCAGAGGTGTGCAGGTGTATTCAGAGGTGGACAGTGTGTGCAGGTGTATGCAGATATGTGTATATATCACTCCCTCTTGCCCCTCCCCTGCTGAGGCGGCTCTGGGCAGGATGGGGTCTGCCCAGTCAGCTTGGGGATCAGTGAGGGGTGGTCAGGGACCAGAGGTCAGTGAGACTTGGGGGGGCCAAGGAGGGCGGTCAGCAGGGGTGTTCATGGGCCAGCAGGGGCGGTCACCTGCTTCTTGGCCGCTGCATCGCTGTAGCACTTATGCTGGATGTAGGCGGCTCCCAGCACCTGCAGGTTGGGGTCTGAGGCCATGAGGTACTTGACTGCTGAGGGCAGGTCAATGTCGTCAAAACTGCACAGACAGGGGCTGAGGGTAAGGCTGAACTGGGGATGGACCAGGTCCACAGTGCAGCCCCCTCCCTGAGCCAGGCCCAGCTCACCCGCTGCTGAGCCTCTGCAGAGCGCGGTGGCTGCCATAGCTGTCCAGCCCACGCATGTCCGGCAGGTGACCAGAGTCGGCCAGGCTGAGGCTGCGCACGGATGGAGCTCGGGCCACGGGCTCCAGGACACCTCCTGGCACCGCCCCGGCCCCCCCACGGCTGCGGTGGCTGCTCTGGAATCGTTGCAGGGTCCGCATGGCAGGGGCACGGATGGTCCGGCTGGGCGGCCCCTCGGCGGCCTCTGGCCAGTCCAGGCCCCCTGCTCGGCTGGAACTGGAGCTGGCCTGGCGCTCATAGGCAAAGGCTCTGTAGGCGGAGGCAGCCGAGGGCTCCAGCTGCTCGGACACCACGCTGTAGCGGTCGTCCAGGCCCCCGGCCCCCAGCCTCAGTGAGCGCAGGGACAGGGTGTCATAGTCCACCCGGCTCCCCCCTCCACCATGCTCATGGAAGGACACGGGCCGGGCAGGCATGGGCACAGCGGTTGGGGCTCCCCTGTACCCGACAGCCCCAAAGGCACTGCCCCCGTTGTGGGCAGAACTCAGCCTCCTACTGGAGCTCAGGTCCACGGCCGAGCGGGAGGACCAGGAGGCAGGGCTGTAGGCTGGCTTGGCGATGGGCCTGAAAGTCTGCGGGGTGGGAAGGGGAGGGCAGTGATGGGGTGCCGGGGGCTCACCTGGCACCCATCCCCTCTCCCTGACCCCAGAGCCCCCAGCCTCCCCCACGTAACTACAGAGCCCAGACTCTCCCCGGGCTGGAGAGGGTGTCACTCACCGAGGTGCTGTCCCCACTTAGGCCTTGGGAGCGGGAGCTGAAGCCAGCCTGCAGGGTGTGGTACTGGCCCCGAGATGTGCCTGTGGGCAGGGACACTGGTAGCCTGGTGGGCCAGATGGCAAAGTGCTGGCCTCCCCATTCCCTTCTATGACCCTGGGACCCAGGGCAGGAGGCCAGGTGGACTGCAGGTCCAGTGCCGTGGCCCCTGGTCTGTCTGTCACCTCGTCTCATCTCCTGTGACATCTGCCCTGGTCTTCCGTCTCCCACAGCCCCCTGCCCCTCAGCTGTGCTGGGGGACAGACGCGCTCATCCCACTGACCTCCTGGCTGCCTAGAGAATGTACCAGGGACTCCATCCTCCCTCCAGTCCCTGCCAGGGCCCAACACCTGGCCCCCTCCTCCAGGAAGCCACACTGACCTCCTGTAAGCCCGTCCTGTGCTGTGGTCACACGAGAGTGACGCTGCACTCACCAAGAACTCACAGTCTCCCTGGACCAGTCTGCCCTGAGGGGCAGCTCCCTGTCCCACCTGGCAGAACCACACCCACCCCATCCAGCCACACAAACTGAGGGCACCGGCGCCAGCCTGGCTCCGTGATGATGGACAGACAGGTGGGTGGGTGGAGGGTGGAGAGACAGGAAGGGGTGGGAGGCTGGGGGGATCATTGGAAAGATGGGTGGGTGGATAGTCAGACAGGTAGGTGAAGGGAGACCTGAGCTGGGAGGATGGAGGGACAGGAGGATGGAGGGAAGAATGGAAGGACGGGAGGAGGGATGGAAGGATGGAGGGACAGGAGGAGGGTAAACAGACAACTGGATGAAAATGTGGGTGGATACAGAGTGGACCGACGGGTGGGTTGGGTGTGGTTGGTCAGATGGACTGATGGGTGAGGGGACAGACAGATGATGGGTGCTGGGTAAAGGCCAACGGAGACAGTACAGCGAATGAACGGGGGGCACCGGCTGATGCCAGGGGCTGGTCTGTGGATGGGGAGGCAGTGTCTGGGGGTCAGCCTCTGCCAGGGTCCCTGCTGGGGCCACACCTGCAGGGAGAAGAGTCACATCTCCCCAGAAGTCCGGGGCAGAGTGGCTTGGCTGAAAGGACCCAGTGGTGAAAGGAAGGGGGCCACAGCCCCTCCTCACCCTGCCCCAGACCCGCCCTGGTTAATGAGGCTTCTAGGCTGGGACTATTAATCCTCTGACGCTGGTGAGGCTCAGCCTGGGGACCTACCTCCACCCCCAAATTATAATCCTCCTCCCCCTAATTGACAGGGTAGCCGCGTGGTAATTAAGCCCTCCCTGCTCCCTACTCTACCCCATGACCCCTGGGCACCCAACTTGGTCACCAGCAAGGCTGAGGCCCAGGGAGGGGAGGACCCAGGAATCCAGGCTGCCCTGGCAGCCCCCGCACTGGCTGGCCTTCTTCTCCCCCCGCCAGCAGCTGGAGGCCAGTCCTGGGGAAGGGCCCTCGAAACATCCTGTGAACCACTGTGAACCAGGGTTTCAGCCCCTGACATCCTGGGATGTTCATCCCACTGTCTAACTTCCACTCCTGTTGCTGCATCCTGGCAAGGGAGGAGATGCACACTGCAGAACAAGTGCCCTGAACTCACTGCCTCTGTGGGACCCTTTAACACTCATGCAGGCACACTCACACGCACACACTAACATTCACAGCCTCGCATGCACATACTAACAACATGCTCCCATGCGTGTATACACTCACACGTGCATACACGCATGCTAACACGCATACACTCATGCACATACACTAACATTCGCACCCTCGCACGTGCACACTAACAACATGCTCCCATGGGGGCATGCACTCACACGTGCATACACATGCACACATCATGCTAACACTCACACACTCATGCACACACACTAATATTCACAGCCTCACACACACACACTAAAACACGCTCCCGTGGGTGCACACACTCACATGTGCATACATTCATGCCATCACGTGCACACACACGCACACACTAACATTCACACCCTCGCGTGCACACACTAACCACATGCTCCCATGTGTGCATGTACTCACGTGCATACGTGCACACACACGTTAACACGCACACACTCATGCACACACACTAACATTCACACCCACACACGCACACACTAACAACACACTCCCATGCGTGCATACACTCATGTGCATACATACTCGCATGCACGCTAACACGTACACCCTCACATGCACACACACGCACATACATGCCAGTGGAGCCAGGAGTCCTACACAGGGTCTGCTGCCTGGCTCTGTGGGGCACTCCCCACCTGCGGTTACACAGAGAATATCTGGGTCACTCCAGCAGGGCCCTCCCCTGCAATTCCACCGGGAGACCCTGGTCCAGACAGGTCTGGCTCCCGCTCAGGATTCCCGGAGCCCGCCCCCTCACGCTTCTGTCTGTGCATTCCCATGGGGCGTGGGGGGTGCTGGGGAGGAACGATGGAGTCTGCGTGTCTATGTCTCAGTGTGTTTGTGTCTCTGTGGGACTGACGTGTGTGTCTTCGTGTCTCTGAGACGGTGTGAGTCTGTGTTACGTGGGACCCGACTGTGCATGTTCCGGGTTTGCTGACAGAGATGGGCCTGGCTGGCTCGCCACGTGCTGTTGTCTCCCACTTGGGGCTAGGGGCCAAGGCAGCAGGTGGGACCCAGCCAGGCTTGGCCAAGAGGACCCCCGAGTCCCCGCTGGGTGGTGGGAGGCCCCACCCATGGCTTCTCCCACGCCCGGTGGGGCGGGGCCGGTGACTCAGGGCAAGGCCTTGGTGAGTCAGGGAGCTGAACCCTGGAGCCCGCCCCACCATGGCCTCTAGCCCTGGCACCGCCACACCCACCAAGGCCACCTCTGCCCACGACCGCCCTCCCCGCCGCCCAGCGCCCACCCTGCCGGTGTCCGCCTACCTCTGGCTGCCTCGGCCACCCCCTCGGGATCGGCTGCCCCATTGTGCCTCGGCTGCTGGCCCAGCTGCAGGAGGCGGGCACGGACCTGCTCCTGGACGCGGGCTGCCCGCAGCCGCTCAGCCTCTGGCCCCTCGGCGCCCCGGCGGTCCAGCTGCAGGTCCGAGGGCAGAGCCAGGGAGCACACGCCGGCCTCAGGCTGCAGGGCCGACAGCAGGAAGTTACCGTCCTGCATGGCGGCCAACGAGTACGGGGCTGGGTCCACCTGGCTTGGGCCGCGGGGCCGCCTCCAGCCGGAGCTGTCTTCACCGTCTCGTCCTGCGCGGCCCTGTCCCCGAAGTCCCCTCCCTGCTTGCCTTGCCCAGAGCCGGGCCTGGAGACAGACACCCGCCCAGCCCTGAGCTCAGCTGGGGGCGGGGACACCTGGGCCAGGTGGGAGGGAGGGGCCACTGCCTGCTTAAGGTGGAATTTGGGCGGAAGAGCAGGCCTTGTGTGGCCCAGATCCGGGCCTGGCTCCCGGCTTCCGGCCCCTCCAGGACCGGGCAGCAGGGGTCTGGGCCTGACTTCGTTCCCAGTCTGAAAGGCCAAGTGGGCCCTTGGGATGGGGGTGGGCTGACCAGGCCCCAGTGTCCTGAGCATTAGGGAAGGCCAGGGAGGCCACTGGGGAGCCTATGGCTGGCCACCTCCGGGAGTCTGAGGGGGTGGACTCCCCTCCCTGGGGGGCTACGGGCTCCAGGTAGCTCCAGGGACCAGGCAGCCCAACCACAAGGCTGGGGTGGGGCCTAGGCAGTGATGGATCATGAGTGACTATTAGGGGTCAGAGATCAGAGCGAAGGATCAGGGTTGAGGATAAAATGATTGTGGTGGAACTTTGGGGGTGGATGGGGGTCCTATGGAGCCCTTGCCCTGGTCCCTGGTGCCCGAGAGCCCCTAGAGGCATGTGGACAGACCAGCCTACCCCCTGGGTTCATGACCCTCCAGACCTCCATCCTGTAGGCCCTGGAAGTTGCCCCAGCCCCCCACCTCTGCAGAGGCCTCCGAAGGGCTGGCTTGGCCCTCTCTGGCATCCCTCCCGGGCTCCTGCCCCCCAGGCCATGAGGGTGGGAGGCTGTTCCCAACTTGTGAGTCAGGGCCGGGCTCCACTCGGCGGGGCTGCCCCAGGGGATTGACTCAGAGGGGCCCACCTGCCCAGGCTGGTGGGGCAGGAGCTGGGGTGTTTGAAGAAGAACCCAGGAGTCTGGGAGAGCAGGGCCTAGGAGGGGCTGGAGTCGGAGGTGGGTGGGGAGGCCCGGGCCCAGTGGGGCTGGCCCCCACCCAGCTGGACCAGCATGCTCCAAGGCCTCCTGGGTCGGCCTGGTGTGGATCAGGACAGGCCCCCAGTAGACTGAGCAGGGGCGAGGGGTAAGCCCAGGAGGGCTGGAAGGTGAGGGCTGAGCGGTGCCTCCTGAGTTCCCCTGGAAAACTCACCATGGGGCCCACTGAAGCAGCCTCTTCTCTCCCTAGAGCCCATTCCTCTGAGCCCTGTCTTCCACAGAGGCCCCTTCCCTGAGCCCTGGGACAATTGCCTTAATCTGCAGTCAGTCCTGGCAGGGGACGTGGTCCCAGGTGGGGATACTGATGGGGGCGGAAGGCGGTAGCCTGGGGGTGAGGAGGGGTGTCAGGAGGCAGTCCTGGGGTGAGGTCAGTGCTGGGGAGGAGGGAGCTGCGGGGGTGGGAGTCAGAGGTAAGTGTTGGGGGGGTAGAAATGGAGGGGAGGCACCCCAGAAAGCGCCCTGGGGTGGGGCTGCCAGGCCAGAGGGGTGATGCATGGGTGGGAGACCTACCCTGCTGGTGCTCCGGAATCTGCTGGTCCCATGGCTCATCCCAGCGCCCACTGTTGCTGGCCCAGGCTCCATCCTGGGCCTGGCACGTCCGTCCGGGGCAGCCTCTCACTGCGGGACGGGACTGTGGGGGCACTGGGAGGGCGGGGCGGGAACGCCCGCATGCCCAGCTCACCAGACTGGTTGCTTCCCTGGGAGATGTGTTTTGTGTGGAAAAATCCCGAGAGACAAGTTTGTGCGACGCCGAGCGGGCCTGGAGGCGCACGGCTGGCATGGGCCTAGGGCCCGCCCTTCACTCGGGGCCACCAGGCCTGCAGCATGACTGGGGGAGGCCAGCCTCCAGAGGCAGGCTGCAGGCGGGGGTCTGAAGGGCTTGTGACGAGGCGCCAGGTGGAGGGCCAGAGCTGCACAGGGGTGAAGGTGCTTTGGTGGGGGTGGCAGCCATGGGAAGGAGAGGAGGCCTGGGGCAGGGGTGGCATAGCCGCAGGTAACTCCAAGCCCTGGTTTTCAATAGCCTCGCAAGTTACCGAACAGCTGGCAGGGGCCCCGAGGCCAGTTCTGTGGGGCTTCCCCCTCCTCTTGGCAGGGAGGGCTGGAGGTGCCCCAAAGCCATTCTGAGGAATACGTGGACTCCTCCCCATGCAGACCTCCCGCCTCTGTGGCTCAGTGCCCCAGGAAAGCCTGGGGTCTCCGGCGCGCTTTCTCTAACTGCTGCAGGGCCCGAGGGACCAGCGGTGGCCAGAACCTGTCCCCATCGCTCTCAGTCCCAGGCTCGCAGCCGCGTCGCAGGCGGAGGAGGGTTCACCCAGAGAGCTTAGAAAACAGGGCAGTGCTGGCTGTGCGGGCAGGGCCTGGGAATTTGCCTGTGAGCCCTGCGGTGGCTTTGGTGCACCATCCGGTTCAGAACCTGGAACCTGAGGGCCTCAAAGGGTGAGTGAGTGAGGTGGGCGGCTCTGGGGAGCCTGGACTCTGCCTCCGGGAGTCCCAAGGAAGGCTATGGGGGCTCCTCCCTCTGACTGGGCGTAAAGGACTCCTGGCAGCTGTCACAAGTCTCCGGAGGAGGATCTGGGGGCACAGAGCAGGGCTGGCGGTCGGCAGGCCTTCAGGGCGGAGGGCAGAGTAGGGGAGGGGTGGAAGGAGGACCTCCTGATGCCGGCTTTGGTGACCTGCTGCGAAGGGGGTGCTCAGCAGGGGGGAGGGGCTGCCAGGTGTGTGGTGCGGAGCTGGGGGAGGCACAGGGGACCCCCGCCCCCAACCCCTGTCCGCAGCCTGGAGGTGGCTTATGAAGGAGCAGAAGAGGGAGAAAACCTCGAAGACGCAAACAGCAAAATAACATTCCAAACAAAATTCAGGGGCGCGCCGGCGCGCCAAGAGGTTAGCTAGGTCGCCTGGGGCCGCACAGCCTGCAGGGGTGGGGACGGGCCAGCGTGGCCCTGCCGCGAGTGACGCACCAGGTGCGGGGGCGCAGCTGTGGCGAAGCCCCCAGGCGCCGGTCCCGCTGCCTCTCGGCTCCTGCCTCGCGCGTCCTAGGCGCTTCCTGTTTGCAAACCCGCGCCCACGCTCGCCAACCTTCCAACTTCGCGCGGTCTGGCTCCCGCCAGTCCAGCTCAGGGCCCGCCTCTTCCACTGAGGCTACCTGGACTTGCGCGGGGGGCGCCTCCGCGATCCCCGGGGTCCCTGGGGGGACGCAGGGGCCCGGCATCCTGTTTGCCCCCATCTCCCGCCTTTGGCTGGAAGGTAGCTGAGGGATACGGGTCCCAGTCGGCCCGAGGGAGCGGGGCACACTCTTCATCCGACCCCCACCCCACCACCCGTCCACCGTCTGTCCGTCCGTGCGTCATCTGTCCGTCAGAGCAGACTGAGCTCTTCCTGAGCACCCGGCGCTGCTCTGGGGAAGGTTGTGTGACCAAGCTTCTCGAGGAGCTCTCCTTCTGGGGTCTGGCGGGGCGCAGACGATGAACAAACAAACGCTTGTCCTTCGTCCTCACAGGAACCCCAGGAGGGCGGAGCTATGCCGGCCTCCAGTCTACGGTTGGGGAAACCGAGGCTCCGAGGCTAAACAGCTCCCGGAAGTTGCAATGCCGGCCGGCTGTGCAGAGAGATTTCTTACCCTGAGCGACAGCGGGAAAAGAGTGGTCTTGGGGGCTAGCGCCGGCTGGGAGGATGGAAGTCTGGGCAGAGCCCCGGGTGGTCCCCTAGCCAGGTCTGGGCCACTTCCTGGGGCCACTTCCTCCGCTGGGGCCAAGAGGGGGGATCTGTGCCCTTAGCCTTCCCTGGGGGTTTAGCTTTGGTTTTGTTTTAACACAGATCCGCTCCTGGGAGCCCGTCCCAGCACCTGCCTCTCGCAGCCCTCTGCTCTCACGTCTTGGCCCCTGCATGTGGCTCGTGTGCACACGCCAGGGCTGCGGATGTCTGTGGGCTCACACTTTTCCCTCAGGGCTTGGCCGGTCTTGTGCTGACTTCCCGGCGGTGGAGAGATCAGAGCTGTAACTACCACTGCCCGCACCGTCCGCCCTCTGCTCTGAAGCCCAGAGACTTCACACACACACACACACACACACACACACACACACACACACGCGCGCGCGCGCGCGCGCACTGCATAACTTTCTAGCATCGGTGTTTCCCACTTTAGATTATGGTCTGTATTTATCTCAGAAAAGTTTTCTTCTGCTGTATCACTTGCATATTTTTTTCTCTTTCACTTCTCTTGTCTTCTTGCTTGTCTGTGCTCCTTCGTCTGTTGTCTTCTCGTGAATTGCTTTTAACTCTGTTCTTTTCCATTTCATTTTGTATCTTTTCCACAAGCTGGTCTTCTGTATTCCTGACTGGGTTTTTGACAATGGCTATTCTTATTTTTTGAATAATAGTGTTTTTTGAATAAAAGTAGCTTTTATTTCTGTCAAGGTTTTATTTTTCTCTTCCATTTTTCCCCCATGTGTTGTCAGATAATTTTAATTTCCTTTGTTTTTGTCACTGACTTTTTAAGGAGACATTTTTTTTTAGCACAATTTTAGGTTCACAGCAAAACTGAGAGGAAGGTGCAGAAGTTTCCTCTACACTCCCTGCCCCCATGCACGCACAGCCTCCCAGTATCACCATCCCCCACCAGAGTGGGACATTCGTTACAGTGCTTGAACCTACGTTGACATGTCATCATCACCCCAAGGTCCATAGTTTACATCAGGGTTCACTCTTGCTGTTACATATTCTGTGGGTTTGGACAAATGTATAATGACGCGTGTCCACCATTCCAGTGTCACGCAGAGTAGTTTCACTGTCCTAAAAGTCCTCTGTGCTCGGCCTGTTCGTCCCTCCCTCTCCGCTAACCCCTGGCAACCACTGGTCTCTTTATTGTCTCTGTAGTTTTGCCTTTTCCAGAATATCATGTAGCTGGAATCATACAGTATGTGGCCTTTTCAGATTGGCTTCTTTCACTTAATAATATGCATTTAAGTTTCCTTCATGTCTTTTCATGGCTTGATGGCTCATTTCTTTTTTGTGCTAAATGATATTCCACTGTCTAGATGGACCACAGTTTATCCATCCACCTACTATTGGGCATCTTGGTTGCTTCCAAGTGTCAGCAATTATAAATAAAGCTGTTGTAAACATCTGTGTGCAGGTTTTTGTGTGGATGTAAGTTTTCAGCTCCTTTGGGTAAATACCAAGGAGTGTGATTGCTGGATCGTGTGGTTAAGAGTATTTTAGTTTTGTTAAGAACCACCAAACTGTCTTCCAAAGTGGCTGTACTGGTTTACAATCCCTCCAGCAGAGAAGGAGAGTGTCTCTTGCTCCGCATCCTCACCAGCGTTTACTGTTGTCAGTGTTCCGGATTTTGGCCACACTGGTAGGTATGTAATGATATCTTACTCTTGTTTTAATTTGCATTTCTCTGATGACACGTGGAGCATTCATGTGCTTATTTGCCATCTATATATATTCTTCAGAGGGGTGTCTGTTGAGGTTCTTTTGCCCATTTTTGAATTGTGTTGTTTGTCTTCTTATTATTGAGTTTTAAGAGTTATTTCTATAGTTCAGGTAACAGTCCTTTATCAGATGTGTCTTTTGAAAATATTTTCTCCCAGTCTATGACTTGTTCTCTCCTTCTTTTGACATTTTCTTTCACAGAGCAGAAGTTTTTGATTTTATGAAGTCCAACTTATCAATTATTTCTTTCATGGATCGTGTCTTTGGTGATGGATCTAAAAAGTCATCACCATACTCAAGGTCTTCTGGATTTTCTCCTTTGTTGTTTTCTAGGAGCTTTATAGTTTTGCATTTTACAATTTAGGTCTGTGATCCATTTTAAGTTAACTTTTGTGAAAGATGTAAGGTCTGTGTCTAGATTCCTTTTTTTCCTTGTGGCTGTCTGGTTGCTCTAGGACCATTTGTTGAAAAGACCATCTTTGATCCTTTGTCAAGGAAGAGTTGACTGTATTTATGTGGGTTTATTTCTGAGCTCTCTATTCTATTCCATTGACCCGTCTAGTCTTTTGCTAATATGACACAGTCTTGATCACTTTAGCTTCACAGTTGGTCTTGAAGCTTGTAGTGTCCTGCAAGTTTCTTCTTTCCTTCAATATTATGTTGGCTGTTCTGGGTCTTTTGCCTCTCCATATAAACTTTAGGATCATTTTGTTGAGATTTGTTGCTGGAATTTTGACTGGGATTGCATTGAATCTATAGATGAAGTCGGGAAGAACTGACATCTTGACAGTATTGAGTCTTCCTATCCATGAACATAGGATCTCTCTCCATTTATTTAGTTCTTTGATTTCATTCATCAGAGTTTTGTAGCTTTCCTCATATAGATCTTGTACAGATTGCTAGATTTATACCTAAGTATTTCATTTTTTATGATGCTAATGTAAATGGTATTGTGTCTTAAATGTCAAATTCCAATTGTTCATTGCTGGTATGTAGGAAAGTGACTGACTTTAGTATATTAACCTTGTATCCTGCAACCTTGCTATAATTGCATATTAGTTTCAGGAATTTTTTTGCTGATTCTTTTATATTTTCTACAGAGATGATCATGTCATCTGCAAACAAAACAGTTTTATTTCTTCCTTCTCAATCTGCTACCTTTTATTTCCTTTTCTTGTCTTATTGCATTAGCTAGGACTTCCAATCCTCTCCGATGTTGAAAAGGAGTGGTGAAAGGGATTTATCATTGATTTTTAAAAATTTGCTCAGATGTCACCTCTGACCACTTGCCTCCCCCACCTGCACTCATGATAGCTCTCACCACAACCTTAAGGCCTCTGCTGGGATGTCACCTTCTGACTTGCTTTTTCTGACCACTGTTTACAACTGCGGCAACTTGCCATCCTCTTTCCTGACTTTATTTTTCTCTACAACAGTTGCGACCAGCTAATATGCTAGACATTTTCTTTGTTGTGTCTATCGTCTGCTCCCACCACCCTTCACTAGAGTGTAAGTTACATGAGGGCAGGGATTCTTGTCTGTTTGTTGACTGCTTTTTCCTCAGTGCCTGGCACAGAGTGGATGCTCAATAAATAGTTGTTAAAATGGGTTAATAAGTTACAGTGTATGTTGAGTTCAGAATACATGGGATTTTGTCTGAAAGTTTCTTCTGTTTGCTGAGGTAATTACATTTCTGATGTATATGCTCCATCTACCTGTGGCTTACATTTCTTCTCTCCTTTCTTCTTCTTCCTCTTCTTTTTTCTGCAGTATGTGTGCTTACGTCCAGTGCTCGTTCTTGTTAGGAAATACTCGTGAGTGGAGACAATTAGATACTTAGGGAGGAGTGGGCAGTATGACCTGGGGGCATCTGGTGGCTTCTGAGTAGGCATGTGGCAGGTTAGCTGTGTCCTCTGCCCTGTGGGCACTCACTCCCTGAGGACCAGCAGGACTTGCGGTGAAGCCCACATGTCACAGGTGAACTTAGTGTCTGCGAACACCTGCTGCCTGCCCTGGTCTGAATGCCCCTTCCCCCTCCCTTCCAGCAGGGCCATCTCTAGAATCTTCTCAGGGCCCTACTGGCATATCCACCTGGTTCCTCTTTCACTGACATCCGTTTTGCTGCCCTGTGTTCATGGTGAGCTATGACCTAGGGATACAACCTGGGTAAACATCATGAGGACGGTTTGGTCTGCCTGGCTGACATGCTGCCTTCCTGCTGAACGTGAATGAGGAAGTTCACAGAATTATGGCCCCAAAGATGGCCACACCCTGATCCCTGGAACCTGTGACTGTCACCTTATGTGGCAAAAGGGACTTTGCCGATGTGATTAAGTAAAGGATGTTGACTGAGATGGGGAGATTATCCTGGGTTATCTGGGCGGGACCAAGGTAATCATAGGGGTCCTTATAAGAGGGAGGCAGGAGGGTCAGAGTCAGAGAAGGGAGTGCGATGATGGAAGTAGAGGTGAGAGAGAGAGGGACATGACAATGATGAGATGCTGGCTTTGAGGACAGGGGAAGGGGCCATGAGTCAAGACATCCAGGTGACCTCTAGAAGCTGAGAAAGGAAGGCAGCAGATTCAGTCCTAAGGCCTGCAGAAGGAGTGCAGCCCTGCTGAAACCATGACTGTAGGACTTCTGACGTCCAGGACTGTAAGAGGATAAACTCCACTGTGTCTGTGGAAATGTGCTAGAGCAGCCACAAGAACTCACACAGGCACCCAGCACGGGCACAGCACTGGCCTCCCTCCCATGACCAGGACCCAGCCTAAGACAGGCTGAGCCCCCCAGGGAAGAGCTGGTCCTCGGCAGCATCATCCAGCCTCAGGTCAGTACCCCTGGTGTGCTCCGGACCCTGAACTTCCAGTTACATTAGCCAAAGTCAGACAGGCGAACTCCTGTTATGGCGTAAACCAGTCTGAGTTGGGTTTCCTGTTTCTGGCAACTCAGTCCTGGAAACCCCCAACCTGGTCACAGGACAGTCCCCCCTGGGGGGGCCGGTGCTCCTTCACCTGCCGGGAAGAGCAGGGAGGGTGACATGCATGCTCTGTCTTCAGAATGAAGGGGCCCGAGGAGATGGTCAAATGTTCTCTCCTCACAAGTGGGGAGGCTCCACGCAGTCGGCGTCTGTTGTTGGTGGCCACACGACTTCACAGGCTCAGGGCGGCAAGGACGAGGTCCAAAGCCTGCTCCCCTCCAGGGCCCAACACAGAAGCTCAAGGGGAACCAGCGAGAGGCAGGAGTGGTCTTGGGGAGAGGAGGGTGGGGTCAGCACAGGGCATCAGGAGCAGGGACAGTGCCCAGGGCCACCCATGGGTGCTGGGCTCTCTGGTCATCCTGAGGCTCATCTCTGCCCCCTTGAGAGAACCAGGCACAGAGGACGAGTCAGAACTAAAAAAAATATTTCATTTCATTCTGAATAAAAAACGGAACAGACAGAACTCTCGGAAATCCTGAAAACAACGTCATCGCTACAGCAAAATTTCACAGAAATCATCGCACAGAGTGTGGGGACCAAGCCCGGGCCCCGACCCGCTGTGAAGGTGCCTCTCTCTGGGGAGGGGCGCAAAGAGGGCCACGGAGGCCAGAGAGGAGCAGGCACAGGTGGTGGCCGCGCCCTGTGACAAGCCCGGCCTCCTGCTGCCACTGCAGGACTGTGGCCAGGGCTGGGGGGTGGCCTCGTCTTCACGGTCGCTCCATGCGGGAGCCCTTGCGGCTGCGTGTGCCCCACATGCCCCGCTTGGAGTGGTAGTGGTGGTAGAAGTTCCGCAGTCGGAGGCGCTCCACCTCCAGCCCTGCCTGCAGGACCCTGGGGGAGAGGGTGGGGTCAGGGCCCTAGGGAGGGGTGTCCTGCAGGACCCTGGGGGAGGGGGGGGTCAGGGCCCTGGGGAGGGGTGTCCTGCAGGACTCTGGGGGAGAGGGGAGTCAGGGCCCTGGGGAGGGGTGTCCTGCAGGACCCTGGGGGAGAGGGGAGGTCAAGGCCCTGGGGAGGAGTGTCAGGACCCCCCCCCCCAAGCCTGGAGAATCTTGAGGGGGGATGGGGTGGTCAGGGCCCTGATGGAGGGGGGTAACTGGGGCTGCCCTGATTCTTCAGGATGCTGGAGTCGGGTGGGATGAAGTAGTCAAAACCCTGGTCCAGGGTCTAGGGATGTCAGGGTTTCCATTACTATAGCATCCCAGTGGGAGAACAGAGACTTAGGGCCACCACCCGGTCCGTGGGATATGGAGGCAGAAGTGGTTCAAGGGCTGTCCCCGAGTTTGCAGGACCTGGGGGTGGGAAGGGGTTTCGGGAAGTGGGGCGGGATCCCAGGGTCTCTCTAGGTCTACAGATCCTGGGAGGCTGAGGAAGAGGAGGACAGAGTCCCCTTAGCATGTGAGAACCTCTGGGGGTCCCCCTCCCCTCAGAGGAGGAGGATATGGAAGTCTCTTCCATCTGGTGAGAATGGGGCAGCAGTCACCTGTCCAGGAGCTCCCAGTCCTCGCCTCCCCACTGGTCGCGGAACTCCTCAGTGTTCATGCCTCCAACGCGGTCAAAGTCTGACTTGTAGATCCCAAAGAGGCCAAAGCCATTCACCTCCCAGTACCCTGGGGCGGGTGGGGCGCCCTTCAGAGCCAGGTCCTGTGGGGCTTCTGCCCCGCCCACAGGAAGGGGTCTGGGGCAGGGTCCCACCACCAGGGGGCTCTCGGGGTCACCTTTCCGAGGTGCTCATAAACCAGGAGCTCTGAGCATGACTGGTGTGCTAGAGGAGGTTCCTAGGGGCCAGGCATGATCCCGGGGGTATGGGGGGTGGGGGGGAGGGAACCTGGGTACTACAAGGGTCCTAGACACTACAGGGGGTCCCGGGCACTATGGGGGGCACTGATGAGGCCCCAGGCCTATCTTGGGGGTTGGGAACGGCCCCCGGGGGAGCCTAGATTTTACTCTAGCGTTGGTGGGACCCCTGGCGTTACTGGGGGGGGACATCCAGGGCATTACCGTGCGGGTCCCCCGGCGAGCTCCCACAGCCCAGGCGCATGACCACAGGCGCGAAGGCCAGCTTGCCCTCCACACAGTGCTTGCGGATGCCATCCAGGATGTTGGGGGGGAAGTAGATGTGCAGGTCGCACAGGAAAACGATGCTGCTGGCATCCTGGAGGTCGCAGGGAGGTCTGAGCTCCACCTCTCCTCCTCTCCGGCCCCCAGCTCACTCTCCCGCCTGCCCCACCCCGCGCACGCACCTCCACTGCATCCACTCCAGCCTGCAGGCCCGCGGAGCGCTCAAAGTTTCCGGTTCGCCTCAGGTATTGGTACCTGGGGTGGGGCAGGAGGAGAGTCACAGGCACTGATTCTGGGAGCAAGGGCAGGAAAACCCACCTCCCTGAGGAGGGAAGATGCGCTCGGTCCTCCCTGGTGGGGGTGGGGTTGGAGAATGGGGTGGAGGGCGCCGTTACCGGGGCAGCCGCGCCGCGCGCAGGGCCCGCTCCACGTCCATGTCCTCGCTCTCAAAGTCCACCAGGATGACGCTGAAGTTCGAGTCCCCGGTGTGGGCGTGCAGTGCGGCCATGTCCGCCAGGAACTGTGCCACCCAGCGCGCCTGGTTCTTCACTGGAGGAGGATGGGGCTACTGAGCCCACCCCGACCTGGCGGTACCCGGCCCAAGGCCAGTGGGGCTCCCTCCCCTTCCCATGTGGCCCCCTGGAGCCCCGCTACCCCATCCTAGGTGCCCGTCTCGCTCACCCCCGCGCACCTGGCACAATGAAGTGTACCATCACGTCCTGACGCCAGGCCAGGCGCAGCGGCCGGCAGAGCTCCGGGCGGCCGTCGGGGCGCGCGGAGGCGGCGGGAGCGGGCTCGGGACTCTCTGCGTCCCCGTCCCCGTCCGCGGCGCGCGCTCCCGGCAGCCGCAGGAAGACGTACTCGGACAGGCGCCGGCGGCCGCCCCCGCGCTCCTGCAACTCCAGCTCCAGGAGGAAGCGGCTCCCGCGCGCGGAGTCGCGGCGCTTCTCCACGTTCACGATGCGCAGGAGGGCGAAGCGCCTGGGAGGCGGGGCCGGGTCAGCCCTCTAGGGCTTTGAGCCTGCAACTCCCGCCCCCAACCTCAATTCTTCCTGCAGAACGCCCTATTGCCCTAGCCCCAGAAACAAGGGCCCATTCAGGAGACGCGGGCGGTGGGGGCAGGAGCGGCTGCCACACACACGTCGCCCCATCACCTCAGGCCCGGCACGGAGTTCCCAGAAGGCGGGAACATTTCCCATATTCCCCACCCCGCCTCCCCAGGGCAGCCCACCATAGGAAGTGTCCCCAAGCCCAGGCCGGCCTCCTCTGGGGTCTTTCTACCACCACTGAGATCCACGGTGACCTTTATGTCATGCCCAGGGACCATCAGGGGCACCCACTGCCCACTGGGAGGTTCGGATGTCCTAAAGCAGCTTCTGGGACTGTCAAAAGTCTCTAACTTGTGGCTTGAGCAGACTTGCTCTTCTCTGGGGTCTTTGTCCTGAGTGTCCCCCATCTGGATGCTTGCCCCAATCCTCCCCAGTGCCCCCTCTCCAAGGCCCTGGGCAGCTCCTCTGAGAAGCCTCCTTCTTGCCTCCCAGGCACCAGTCCAGGGGCTGTCCTGACCCCTGAGGGAAGAAGCAGCAGGCTGCTGGTGAACCCCTCCCTGGCCTGTTCCCTGCACTGGGCCCTGCTGAGTACCTCGCTCCCCCTCCACCCTGCCACACCAGAGGCTTTTCCTCACCCTGGGAAAACAGGACCCTGCCCTGACTATGGTCACTTCTTCCTCCTGCCGCCTGCCCTCCCTTTGCAACCAGTGCCCCTCACGGACCTGGGAGCCCACCTGTGTGACCTCCGAGGGGTCCACACTCCTCTCTCCAACCCCTGCCATCCCCACCATCCTCTCCCTGAGCGTCAGGGACTTTCTGCCCCAAATGGCCTGGGTCAGTCTACACTCTTGCTCCTTGGGGCACCCCCACCCATGCACTGCCCAGGGAGGGTGGGGCACTGCCATGACCATGCTGCTGGATAGACCCCCTCATGCCATGGAACGATGAGCTGCTCTCAGGAAGCTTAGAGCCAAGGGCAGGCTCGTTCTCTCAGCCACCCAGAATCAAGGCCCCCCACTAGAGGGTCCAGGCCATCTCATCACCACCCTGCACCATGACTGTCCCTCACGGCCCCTGGGCTTCCCCTTCTAGGCAGCCACACACCTATCTACAGCTCAAACCCCTGTCCTGCTCAAAACCTTGAATCACAGGCAAGAAAAAGGAGTCCTGAGCGTGCCTTTCGAGGCCCAGGACAGCCCTTCTCCGTCCTCTGCCTCCCAGTCCCCTGGCCTCCTGCCCCATGCCTTTGCTACTCATTCTGTCTGTGCAGATTCTGCCCCTCCTTTAAGGCTCCGCACAACTCTGAGGACTCCACAGTGCCTCCCCTCTGGCCAAACTGGGGCATCCACTCTCCATCCCCCTACCAGCATGGGGTGGAGACAGGACTGGATTTCCAGAGCCTGGGGGAGATCTGAGAGGGCAATGGGGCAAGACCTCTGTACCCCCTCCTGGAGACAGGCTGAAAGTCCTCTAGGAAGACTCAAGAGCGCTGTGCCAGGAGAAGAGGAGGGGTCCAGGTCTAATGTGACAAGGTGGGGTTTGCAGGTGCAGGACAGGAGCCAGCCCTGGGTTGTGGATGGGGGGAGGCTCCCAACACTGACAGGAACTCTAGGCAGTAAGCAGCCTCAGAAAGGAGAAAAGACTGGGGCAGAAGACACTTCCTTGGGGTGTGTGTACCTCCCCCAGATCAGCACCCTGTTAAGCCCTGGGGAAGGTCTGAGAGCCCCACGGAGGGCGCAGTCCCCCTTCCCGCGTGCGCCCCTCCGCCATACCCGCCGTGGCGAGCGTTGAGCCGCTCCATGTACTGAGCCACCACGTCCACGGCCTCAGCCTCGGGCAGCTGCAGGTTCCCAGACACATTGCAGCGCAGGTCATTCCAGTCGGAGCGCAGCAGCTCGAAGTCCATCGCGCCCACGCTGAACGTGCGCTGCCAGTTGATGGCGTCCTCGCGCCAGTGGCCCAGTGCCGGGCCGGCTGCCTCCTCGCTGTCCTCTGATGCAGCCTCGTCACCAGGGGCCCCATCATCGTCCCCTTCCTCCTCCTCCTCGCCGTCCCCAGGCAGCTGTGGCCGGGACACTTGAGACAAGCTCAGGAAGGAGGTCACAGGCCGCGCTTCGGACGACGAGTTCAAGTCCGCCGTGGGTGCCGCGAGTCCCAGCACGCGTGCCTGGCCCTCACGGCTTCCCTGGGTGGCCTGCACCCGGACCAGGGGCCTCAGCTCTGTGGCCTGAGGGCTGCCGGTCCTGCGGCCTCGAGACCGGGGAGGGCGTGGGGGCGGCCGCAGCTGGACCCTGGGCAGAGGTCTAGGGCGCAAGAAGATGCCGCGGAAAGGCGGCCAGGGTGGGCCGCGTGGGCTGAGCGGCGCCAGGGCTGGGGGAGCCCGCAGTCCCGGCCGCATCCGCGTCACGTACACCTTCGCGGGCGGCTTCTGGGCAGCAGTGTGGGGGCGGGGGGCGCGGCCCAAGAGGAGGGGCAGGGGGTGACCGGCCCAGCTCAGCGCCCGGGAGCGCCTGCGGGCCAGCTCGTCCTGGGCACTGGGAGGCGTTGATGGGGCCGGGGTGGCTCTGGCCTGGGCGGGGGTCCCCAGTGCCTGTGTGGGGGTCTCCGGGGCGGGGACTCGGTGGTCACTCTGTGGTGGGGGCGCCTCGGTGGGCTCCAGACTGTCGAGCGGCTCCCCCTCGTCCTCGTCGTCCAGGAAGTCTGCGGGAAGCGCAGGTGAGCTGCTCGGCCCAGGTGCACGCGGGCTGGGGCACTGGGGACACTCACCGTCGGCGTTTAGAAAGAGGAAGGCTCGGCGCTGCACCTCCTCCTCCTGGTCTTCATCCCCCTCCTCACGGTCCATCTTCATGTATTTATAGAACCCAAACCTGCGGCGGGGGCGCGGCATCAGAGACCCGATCTCCCTCCGCAGGACCTCGCCCCCTTTCCTCCTCGCGCACCCACCTTTCCAGGTACAGCGGAGACTCGCGGTAGAAACACTTGTTGTCCGTCTCCATGTGAGTGAGGCGCGTGTGGTCATTGGGGTAAACGAAGGACAGGTACACCTGGGGATGGGGCAGGGGGCTCAGGGAAGGCTGCAGGAGGCCCAGGGGACCTTCGGAGGGGAGGCCCGGGGCTCAGGGAAGGTCTGGGCGAGGGGCGCTCACAAACTGCAGTCCCTGGTATCTGGCGATGGGAAAGTCCTTGACCACGTAGGTGGGGGCGTAGGCACAGGGCTGCAGCACGTTCTCCAGACTGGAAGGCTCCACCCGAGGAGCTGCAGGAGGGGTGGTCACAATGTGGCCAGCCGGGCACACCCGCCCACCCCCCTCGGGCTCCCTCTCACTGAGGAAGAAGGTGTCTCTGGGGTCAGGCCGCAGCATGTCGGCTCTGGGCTCCTCCTGCCGCAGGCGCCCCCCCACGTGGCTGGCTGGAGACTGGGGGATGTGGGCCACGTGGTCCATCTTCAGGGCCGACTCATCTGGGGACAGAGGGATGTGTGGGGTCCCCAGGAGGGCCATGAGACCCCCCCTCACTCCTCCCTACCCCCATCCAGAGATGTCCCAAAGAGACCACCCATCAAGAGCCCCCCCCTGCCCCCCCCCCCCACTCCCGAATAGGCACCGGGCTCCGAACCTGTGTACAGAGAGATGTGAGCAGAGCCTATGACCTCGAACTTCAGGCCAGGCAGGAAGGCTCTCCACTGGGGGTGGAGAGGGTGATCAGGACCAAAGGGTGGGGGTCAGGGTGGGAACAGGCTGAGCCTGGGAGGAGGGGGTCTTCCCTGACGTGGGGGTGGAGGACTAGTGGCAGCAACCCCTTCAAGGATGCAGGCAGCTGGGAGGCTGGATGGAAAAGGAGCAGCGGGGAAGCTGGGGGAGGTCCAGAAGGCTGGGAGCCCTGGTGGCAGATAAGGAGCCCCCATGCTCCCTTCAGGCTTTTCCTGACTTCCTGAGCATGTCCTCGCCTGCTGGTTACGGCTTCCACCCCACCTGCTCCCGGGTTCTATAGCCGTCGCTCTCCCAAAGGTCACAGCTGGCCTTCCAGGGGCCAGAGCCAGCACCTCCCCCGCACCCCCACCATCCATTTCCCCAACTCCTGGGGCTGCTCCCTCTCAGTCTCTTTTGCAGACTCTGTCCCTTCCCCACCTCCTCAAGTTGGGGCTCTTGGGGGCTGTCCCAGGCCCTCTTCCCTTCCAGCTCCTCCTGGGCCCCCTCAGCCACTCCACTGGCATCCGCAAGGTCACCCTGAACTTGCGTCTCCAGACTGGATCCTCCACCAAGCTGAGCTGGGGTGACGCCCACCAGACATGTGCAACATCCAGCAGAGCTGGGCTGAGAGCCCCCCACCCCCAACACGCAGCCAGGCTCAGGCCCCTCCCCTGCACCTGCTGCTTCTTCCACCCCCTCCCTGGTTCCGGACCACAGCCACCTAAAAGTCCTCCCCCAGGCTCGCTGCACACAGAGGGTTCTTCCTGAAGTGCAAACCCAACCGCCTCATTCTCGGGAGGAAGCCAGAGCCGTCAGGTGGCACTGCAGGCCCCGCCTCATCTGGCCACCAGACCCTCAATCTGGGTGGTTCCACACCAGTGCGGTTCTAGAGATCTGGAATTCACCGGATGCACCCCTGCCCAAATTCTCTCCACGGGCTCTCCCCGTGAACATCTCTCATCTCGCAAGACTACTCAGGGGCCGCCTCCTCCATGAAGCCTCCCTGAGCCCCCAGCAGGCAAAGTGGACTTCGGGCCCCTGTCCCTGAGCATCTGCCTTGTCCTCTAGACGGGAATCTCCTCAGGACAGGGTCCACACGGCCCCGGGGGAGTGGGCAGAGGGAGAGGGCAGAGCAGGGGAAGTGGGTCTCCTGAAGCCCCGTGACGGCTGGCCACACTCACGCCCACTTCCACGTGGTCCGAGCCTCGGTCGTCCTGCTTGTGCAGCAGCTCGAAGTAGTACCTCCGGGAGGCCATGAGCCTGGGGACACGAGGAGTCAGGGGGACGTGCCTCCACCGGGCCCCAGGGACCCCAAACAGATGGAGAACCCAGAGGAGGCCGGGGCCAGGGCTGGTCCCTCAGGGCCAGTAGTTTGGCTGGGATGGCACAGGGGCAGTGGTTCCTGCGTCCAGCCTGTATGCCCCTCACACACACACACTCATGCACACACACCTGTGCGCACACACACACTCCCTAGTCACTCACCGCCTGGGCTTGGACACCTGGGAGCTGAACTTGGTGAATTCCCCAGGAGCCGTCCACTCCGAGCCAGTCTGGGGGGCGACAGAGGGGCAGGGGCTCACCCTCTCCTTGGGGGCACCGGCCCCACCCAGTCCCCATGCCTAAGAAGCTGGAAGGAACAGGTAGCCGAGGCCGCGGGAGGCTCAGTGAGACAGATGGGGGTGTGGACAGAGGGGCTGGAGTGGGAGGGCAGACTGGGGTCAGGGCCTCGGGGTTGGGTACCTTGCCCACAAAGGCCACCAGCTGGGCACCCGCTGGGCTCTCGTTTGGACTCAGCCAGAACTCAGAATTGTCATCCGAAGCCACAGAGAACTGCACATCTCCTAGATGCAGGACAGGACTCAGGGGGGTGGGGGGCCCCTCATGACACCCGCCCCTTCGCCCCCCCACACATACACCCCTAACCCGCACCATCTCTTGCCGGGTGGATGAAGCCAAAAATCCGGAGTCCATAGTTCTTCCACTTGGGGGACACGGCCAACTTCTTCACGGTGGTGCGAGTCTGAGGGGGCAGCGACCGCTGATGTCGAAGCCCACCGCCTGCCCTGCCCCAGGGCCAGCCCGGCCGCCCCCCAGCACTCACGTGAGGGAACAGCGGGAAGTGCAGGTTCCTCCTCAGGTGGCCCACGGCGCCCCCACACCAGTCCTCAAACACGTGCAGGTTCACCTGCCCCTTGTACTGGGGGTGGGAGGGGGCCTTACCTTCTGCACAGCCCACACCGGCCCACCCCCCGTCCACCCAGAGCTCACCTCCTCCCGCCACGGGGGCGCCTGGTGGGTGAGGTTCTGCGGGGTTGGCCTGCCAGCGCCCCCAGGAAACAGCATGTTTGGGTCCCACCCTTCAGGCTACAGGATAGGAAGGACACCAGGATCAAAGCTGAGAAACGCGGGCAGGGAGGGGTCACACGACCAGACACGCACACACACACATGACACGCTCATACACCAGTCAAGACACGCCAGCCACACACACCGGGACACGACTTCACAAAGACCCCCTTGGCGCAGCTAGACGCAAGACCTCGAATGCATTGCACCCTGGCCACACACCCGGACGACTCTTGTCACACCTGCCCCTGCAGGCCCTCGACCACGTACATGCCGACACACCGACACACCAGCACACATGTGCAGCCCCTGTCTACCCAGACTCAGAGCTCCGGGCCGGGATGTCTGTCTGTCGGGCCATGCTCAGCACTGGAGCGTGCACGAGTGAGCTGCACCCATGTCCTCCATCCACACAGGCCACAGGTCCCTGTGGCCACTGGCACACAGGCAGCCTTGGGGTTCCACGTGTGCCCACATGTGCTCCTCCCCACGGCCCCACTCACAGCCTGCTCCTCCTCATGGCTCTCACTGGAGTCCTCCACCCTCTGCGTGGACAGCATAGCCCGGACGCCCCGGTCGTCCGTCACGCCGCTCAGCTTCTCGCCATCTGTGGGTGGCACACAGGGCGTGGCTGGGCCCTGGCTCTCTCCAAGGCTACAGCCCCTGCTGCTGGGCTTGGCTGGGGAGCAGGGACCCCTATCTCACGTGGCTGGAGCAGGCAGGCAGGCCACTGTGTCTCCTGCAGAAGCCTCTCCTCCCCAGTCTGCTCCCTCGTGCCCTCGGATGCCCCACCCTACAGCTAGGCAAAGACTCTCCACTGGGCCCTTCTCCCACAACCACCTCTGGGGGGGGCAGCCCCGCCCAAGCCCTCCACCTGGCTTTTCCCAGCCCTGGGCTGGTTTGTGGGAGCAGAGTCATGCATGTGCATGTGCTAGTGTATATGCGTGCACACACACACCCATCTGCCCATCCTCACCAGTGGCTCCACCTCCAGGAAGGCCCTCAGGACTGTTCTGTGTCCTCAGCACTCTTCCCGTGTGCTCGAGTGTTTTGTGTGCCTCCCTCACCAGAACTGAGAGCTAAGGGTTAGTGTCAGAGCTTGTTGTCAGGAAAGCCAACACTGTTGTCTCGAGGCTGAGCCAGCCCCAGCCCATGGCACATGTGCCACCTGCTGCCCTCGAGGCGGGGGCCCAGGACCAATGGAACCCCGGCACCAGCCTGGGCAGAGAAGGGACAGGCATGCTGGTCCAGTTGCCAGAGGACCTGGGGCCAAGGTGGCCTGAGAGGGAGACTGTCCCCTGGGCGCACCCTTCCCAGGTCTGCGTGTGGACACTGCCAGAGCTTGGAGCCCCCAAAACCCTGCCAGCCTGGGGCAGACAGGGTTTTGACATCCATGCCCATCCCTCAATCCAGACCCCAGGAGCTAGGTTCCTGTATGGACACAATTGCCCTGGGCCTCTTCTGTGGGAGAGGGTAACTGCTCATGGTGTCCTGCCTGTGAGACCCCTGTGGTGCCTGCCAACCTGCTCCTCGTTCTGGGTTCTTCCCCCAATCGCTGTCCTCTGTCCAGCTAGGAGGTGAGTCCCTAAAAAGCCTCCTGGCCAAATCCCACAGCCTGGCCCCAATGCCCGCTGCCCACCAAGTTAAGTATGTGGGCATGGGGAGCCTTCCGCAGGGGGTCCCAGCCAGGCTGCCACCACTGTCCTGCGGGGGCTGAGCCCTGCACAGCGAGGTCCAGATGGGCCTCCTGCCTCCCGGCTCACCCTCCCTCGGGGACCTGTGCCTGCATAAGCTGCTGGACAGCGGGACGGCAGCCCTCCTGCCCCACTCCAGTGCCGTCTCCCTGGTGGAAGTGAGGCAGAAGGGCCTCAGGCACGTCCAGCCACTCAGCTCCTCACAAGCCCTGCCCTGGTGGGAGCCCAGGCGGCCCAACAGGAGGTGGGGCTGCAGCCCGGAGCCGAGACCCATGGGCTGCAGCTGCTCCTAGAAGGTGCCACAGGAGGGTTTGATCTTCCAGGACCCTGAACAGCTCCTGCCCACCCAGGAGCTGCAAGGGCAGGCTGACCAGTCCCCAGCCTCCCTGCTGGTCCAGCTGAGAGCAGAGGGGGCCCCAGAAGGGTTCCATGCCTCTACCCCCTCCCAGCTGCTGAGCTAGACTCCGCGGCTGCTCAGGAAGTCAGACTGGGGAAGCCTGTGGTTTCTTGAAAAACCGCGGAGGCAGCTGAGGAGGGGGCTGGTTTTGTTCTCTGTCACCGGATCACGCTATGGGGTCCTGACTTGTTTGCTGACAGCCATGGGGAGGCAGAGGGTTCTTTTAGGGACCGGGCAGTGCTGGGGGCCTCTCAGGGGTGTGGCCGCTGTGAGGCGCATGGACTCTGGGGGGTTAAGACAAACCCCAGAGCCCTGGCTGGGGCAGTCTGTGGAGCCAGGTGTCCAGGTACATGGAGGGGAGGCAGCAGGGCTTCGGCGAGTGGGAGGCAGGAGTGGGACTGAACAGGGAGGTTCAGACCCCAGGGGAGTGGCCCAGGATGCTGTGAGTCAAAGTCAAAGTTCTGAGACTCTGGGAAGCAAGATTCTCACGCCCCACCCCCCCCCATCCTAAGGACACCTGCTTCCTTGAGAAGGGTCAGAGGCAGCCTAGCTGGGATCTTCCCTGCTCTGAGTGGGGGCTTCTGCTCCTGCCTTAGTGGGGGGTTACTCCTAGGGCATCTTCCTCTCCCACCCCCATCTCGGGTTCCAGGCACCCTGCTCCTCCTCCTCTTCCCATCCCAGGTCTTCATCAGTGCCTTCCGCCTGCAGGATGCTCTCCCCCCAAATGCTGTGTGTCAAAGGTCACCACCTCCAAGAGGCCCTCCAGGATCCCCTAACCAAAGCGGAAGGCTCCTCCCCTGGCTCCTTCACACAGTGCTCACCAGGACCTGGTTTGTCTGTCCCCATGGAGGGTGAGCTCGAGGAGCCGGGAGAGTTCACCCCTCGCAGTTCAGGGCTCCCCAGACTGGATGCCCCCCGCCCCCCGCCACTCCTCCCCGCAGCACACAAGCATCTCAGTGCTTGATCACAGGTTTACCCAGGGCACCCCCTCCAGGAAGTTCCAACTGCACGGGTCAGCTCCCTCTACCCTGCTCCTGGGTCCAGAGGCTGGATCTCTGCCCCTGCCCGCTTCCCCAGCAGACGGGGAAACTGAGGCTCTGCGAAGCAGGCAAGTGGTGGAGGCGCAGCCAGACTTGGCCTCCGGGAAATCCCGGCAGGCAGGGCCTGGGGGAGGAGATCTCTCCAAGTGCCCACCGTTAACCCTGTCGCTACCGGCTCCAGACCAGATCCCGGAGTCCGCTCGGGCCGAGGGACGCCCCCCAGGGGGGTCGCGCACGTCACTGCTGACGTCATCGGACGCCCGGGCCGAGCCGAACCGCGCCCCCCACCCCGACAGCGCCGAGCTGGGCAGGGCGGACGCGGTCTCCGGGCGGGTCTGGCCTTGGCCGAGACTCGGGGCGGTGGGAGGACCCGGACCCGCGCCTCTCGGGGCCCTCGCCGCCCCGTCCCCGCCCCCCACCCCGGGCGCGCCCCTCCCGTACCTCGCCCGTAGCCCAGCCGCTGGCGCAGCGCGCGGCCCTGGCGCACCAGGCTCAGGTGCACGTACGTGAGCCACGCGGCGCAGGTGAGCAGCACCAGCAGGAGCAGCAGCTTGATCTGCTTGCGGATCTTCTTCACCGGGAACCACGGCATCGCGGCCGGTCCCGCCCCGCCCGGGCCGCGCTCAGCGGCGCCGCTGCGGCCCCCGGCTCCCGCGCGCCCCGCGCCGCAGCCCCCGGCCCCGCATGGCCCTTTGTCCGCCGCCCGCGGCCAGGGGAGCGGCCGCGACCCCAGCCTGCCTTGGCCGCGGGCCCGGTGGGCGGCGGCGCAGCTCCCGGCTGCCCCGCCCGCCGCCCGGCCGCTCCGGCTCCACGCTCCCGGGCCGCGGCGGGACCGAGCAGCATCCACGCTGCGGTGCTACCCACCGTGAACCGGCGGCCGCGCGGCGCCCGCCAATCGGGGCCCGGCCAGCCCACCGGGAGCCAATCCGCGACGCGGGGGGCGGGGCCGGCGGGTTAGGGTGTGCCCGCCGCCCGTCTCCACGCGCCGCGCGCGCATCCACCTGGGCGCGCCGGGCCGCGCGGCGCGGGGGCGCGGGGACACGGGGTGCGGGGCATGGAGAAGTGCGGAGGACCGGGGACGCAGGGATGAAGGGTGTGGGGAGCGAGAGGTGTGCGGACAGGGGTTGCGGGGTACGGGGATGTGCGGGGACAGGGGACACGGAGGACCGGGGACACAGGGAGGAGGAATGTGGAGAGCGAGAGGCGCAGGGACAGGGGTTGCGGGGTACGGGGGGCTGCGGAGGGCCGGGGACGCGGGGACATGGGGTGCGGGGTACAGGCGGGTGCGGAGGCCCGGGGACGCGGGGACAGAGGGTGCGGGGTATGGGCGGGTGCGGAGGCCCGCTATGAGTTGGGGGACAGTGGGGACACAGGGAACGGGTTGGGGGCAGGGTGATGGGGAACACTAGGGGCTTGGGGAACGTGGGGGAAGGCTGAAGAATGGGGGCAGCACGGTCTTGGAGTTGGAGCAAGCCTCTTGAAAACAGTGCACCCAGAAGGAATGGGAGCTGGAGCTGGAGGAAAGAGGAAGGAAGTTTGGGGGAGAGACACTGGGTGGGTGAGGATGCAGGGTGAGGGGCTGGGCTGTGTGGGGGCGGCAGACTCCGTGGAGGGAGACTCAGGAGGGTCTGGAAGCACATGGCTTCACCCTGAGGAGGATGAGGAGCTGCCAAGGGATCTTAGCCTGCAGGGCCAGGGTCTTACTTGGCTGCCAGGTGGACAGGGGGCAGCTGAGGGGCCAGGTGGCGGCCTCCCCTGGGAGCAGAGTGAAGATGGAGAGGGGTCTAAGGGGTGCACTACTGAACTCTTCCATTTCTGACTTGAGCAGTGCGTCTGAGGTGGGGCTCATGCTGAGCGGGTGCAGAGTGTGGTTGATGACAACTTTGCCCGCCTTGGTTCCCACTCTTGCTGGGCCCCTCAGCCCCTCCCCAGCCTGTCTGTCTCTTCCATCCCTCCCTCTGCCCAGCTGCAAGGCTGACTCTTGCCTTTATCCCTTCCTCTGTCTGTTTTGGTTTTTTCTTTTTTTTTTTTTTTAAAGATTAGCCTTGAGCTAACATCTGTTGCCAATCTTCCTCTTTTTTTTTTTCTCCCCATAGTTGTATATTCTGGTTGTAGGTCCTTCCGGCTCTGCTATGTGGGTCACTACCTCAGCATGGTCTGACACATGGTGCTAGGTGCTTGCCCAGGATCTGAACTAGCGAGACCCTGGGCGGCCCAAGCTTAACCACTCAGCCCCAGGGCAGCCCCTGTTCTGGTTTTCTATTGTGTGACAAACCACCTGACATTGATGTGTAAAGCAACAAATGCTTGTTATGCTCTTGGATTCTGTGGGTCGGGAATTTAGACAGGCTGAACTGGAGGGCTTTTCCTGGCCCGTGCTGTCCGGGCCTCAGGTGGGAAGACAAGGGCAGTGGGCTGTGCCCGGGGCTGGCGTCATCGGGAGCCTTCTGCTCCCTCGTGTCGGTGCCTTGGTGGGGACAGCTGGGTCAGTGGGATGGTTGACCAGATCACCTGGACATGGTTACTCCGGGGTGGTGACCTCTGGGCTCCAGCAAGCAAAGCAAAGCACCTGGTGAGTCACAGCCCACTGACTGCCAAGTGCTGTCACAGGCCACCCAGGTTTAGAGGAGGGACATGGACCCCACCTCAGCCTGGAAAGACTGTCTAAGAGGTCACAGTCGTGTTTTCACACTGCCACACCGTCCCTCTGTGCCTTTTGTTTTAACTGGGGGGCGTAGGATCAAGCTGGCTGAATCCCACTATGTCATCTGTCGTCTGTCCTTCAGACAACAGCTGCAACCTTTCCAAGCTTTTCCCACCCATCACCTCCCGTTCTCGTCCCTTGCCCCTGCCTCTCTACTTTCCATATTTGTTATCCGCACATTCATTAAAACAGATGTCAAAGTGTGTGTATTTTAAACGTTTTAATAGTACTGTGCTATACAGCTCATTATGTTTCTTAGTTTTCTCCAAACCTTGTTTGTTTACATATATCTATGTTGCTGTCTGTGTGTTGATGCTTTCTGTCTCATCCCGCCAGTGCACACTCACCCAGCCAGCAGGTACTCACCTAGGACCTTTATCTTTATGAGCCAGAGAGTAAGGGGCACAGCCGTGAACCAGACAGATAAGATCCCTCCTTTTATGGAGCTTATATTTTTCTAAGCAGAGACAAACACGTGAACAATAATAGTTTCAGCTACTGGTCAGAAAATAAAATGAAGCAAGGGAACAGAGAGTGATGGCATGGAGGATTTCTTCAGCTAGAGTGGTCGCTCTTTGGGGAGGTGACCTCTGATCTGAGACAGAAAATCTTTGGGAAGTAGACACCAGGAGGGAAGTGTTTGGGACCCCGCTGCCTGTAGGGGTCCAGGCAGTCTCGATTCTCCTGGAAACCAGCAGATGAGATGAAGGGCGAGAGGCAGGGCAAGCGAGAGGACAGGCTGGGATCTGCCGGACACGTCTGTGCCGTCTGTGACCATGTCTGACCATGACAACCTGTCAGAGTAACGGCTACTGCCCACTGCTGTCTCCCCAGCCTCACACGGTTCCTCCTTTACCCAACTCTGACCTGAAGTGTACAGGGGAGGGGAATCGGGGAAATGGATTCTCAGCGCAGCCGACAATAGACCACCCAGCGGAGTCGCCCTCTGGACAATTCAGCGTGGACACACACTTCTATTCTAAACCGTGTTTAACTTTCAAACAAAAACAAAGGCACAGTCATGTTTCTGCTTGATATGACATGGCTATCCCGACCCCAAACCGGCTGATCCTCTCCAGAAGACACTGGGCGAAAGTTTCATATCATCTTACCCACCTCCAGGCAATTCGGCTCCTGAGCAACATGCTCTGCTGGAGTGTTGAACACGCAACCACCCTCAAAGAAAGTGTTGGAGAGTGAAGTGACAAACACTGAGATGTGGGTTGACTGTTATCAACATGTCTTGTCGGATGGAGGAGAGGGAAGAAGAAAAGACGGAGTTGCTTCCTAGGAGTACAAGGTTGCCTTGGGTGAAGGGAAGGAGGGAGAAGCACATGGTGGCAGTGGGTGCCTCTGCCTGCCTCTCTCCATGCCCGCTCCACACTCCCTTTGTCCTCAGCTGGTCTTTGTCCAGGGGGAGTGACCTGAGCCTTCACTCCTGGAGGGGCTGGGCAGTCCTAGTCTTCCATTGGCATTTACTCCAGGAATTAGGGGTACTCAGAGACACCCTGGACCATCTGCTGCCTTCCAGAGTTTCTCCTCCTATCCCCGTCTGTAACGAGAGCCCGATTCTCCCCTATAGGATTGGTCATCCCAGCCAGCACGGTGGCCCTCTGTCCCTTCCCTGGTGTGAGAGGCCCCAAGTGGCCAGCGGGCAGTCTCAACTTCCACTCTGGTGTGTCCCCTGGTGGAAACACTCTAGGGCTTGGCCGGGACCGAGGGGATTCCTAGGCTGTGGGACTTTCAGTCTTAAACCTGGGAAAGTCCTGGGCGAACTGGGTTAGTTGGTCATCCTAAAGCACTCCTCCCTTGGAAGCTAAGACCTCTGGACCACAGAGCCCAGAGGGCAGGGAGAGAAGCAAACATTCCACTAGTGGACTGTCTGGGACAGGAGGGCGCGGCCATTTCCACTTTTTGATACCTGGGCCTGTGAGTCCTGGCTGCAGGAGAAGCTGTAGATCGCTGACTCAGAGCATCCTCTGCGTCTGGAGGACTTTAGCGCAGCTCCGCGATGTTCCCCCCAGCTGGCACCACGATCACGTCTTCCGAAGGCCCTTCCATCCTTCCGTCCACTGTTCTGTCAGGCCAGCAGCTTTGGGGAGATGGGAATGTGACAGGACCAGTGAATCCCGTGAGCATGGACCCACTGCTGCACTTCATTTGCTGTGGACTGAGTTCCTTGGTCAAAAGCGATGCTGTGTGGAGCACCATGAGGGTGGGTACAGCATTCTGTAAGTCCACGTGGGGTGGTTTTGGCAGAAGTATTGCAGGCAAGGAAGGTACATCCATGCCCTAGTAAGTGTCTATTCCAGTAGAAACAAAGTGCTGCCCCCCAAGATGGTAGGAGGGGCTGGTGTTGGTCTCCGCTGTTGGCAGTTGAGCACCCCACGGTAGGCAGATTGGCCTGGTGGGTGGAAGTTCAGGTTCTGGGGCTGTGCATAACCTCCCTCCCCACTTGGCTCTTGAGCCCTCTGGCCAAGGGTGAGGGGTCCTGGGGCAAGAGGCTGACATGCCCACAGGATAGGTCTCTTTGTGCACCTGATTATTAAGGTCCTCCTCTGCTGAGGCAGCTCTAGTGTAAGTATTCACATGGGACACAAATTCTTCACACTCTGCACATGCAGACAAGTCTATCTACACAGCTTTCCCCAGACGCCTTGTCACCAGTTTCCCAACCACGCTCCTGCCAAGTGCCTGAGCGTCCAGCTGAAGAGCTGGTCACTGTCTGTGAACCAGCTGGCTCTGTGCCTCTTGCCCTTGTCCTTCCAGGCTGTGGGAATAACCAGGCACAACACTTGCTACCTGCCCACGATGGGGGTTTGCCTTCATCTCTCTCATGTCCCCTCCTGTAACAGAACAAAAAGGAGCTCGTACTGCTCATCACAATCCAGTGCTAATCAATTGCAAACGAGCCTGTGGTTGAGAAAGGAAAGTTCATATGATTAACTAGCATAATCTGAA